TGGGGTATATAGGGTTCCCCCGGCACGAGTTTTCTCAGTGACCAGGGTATGTCAACAAAAATGACTTCAATCATATGCGCGGATTCAAGAAATGGGGATCCCCCAAAAACGGGGAATTTGACCATGAAAAAAACGATTTAACCATCAAAAATAGGGATTTGACCATGAAAAAAACAGAATGAACCAACAAAAATAGGGGTTTTGATGCAATCCTCGCTTTTCAAGGACTAAGGGGCCCCACTTCTGACTGGACCGGGCTCTTTTTTATTGAGAAAACACTGGGATGCCTGAAGCCAATTGCATTTCTACCTTCCTTGCAAAGAAAAGCCAAAGATCTTCAAAGCCGTGGGAATTTCCAGTCAGTCACATTTATTGAGCTCATCTCCAACTCATCCAAGTTTGTTTTCTTTTTTTTTTCAGTGGGACTCATGTGAACCTGGCATCTTGCGGTTATTAGTCAGTTATTGTTTGTCCACTTGCGAGGTGAGGTTCCCCAGTACTGTGAACGTTGGTTTAGTTTCAGCCCATTAGTTCTCTATGATTATCCCCTAATCAACCCAGTTTCGACCAAATTATGTGCGTCAACTGGGCTTGGATGGTTGCATTCTGGGGAATCATTCCCAGCCGAAGATTTCAGCTATTTTCAGATTAGTGAAATATGAAATAATTCAGCCAGCTGTAACATTGGAACCTCCAAAACGAGTTACGCAACATGAATATCCCATATTAACACTTAATCACATAAGTATAGTTAAATATAATTACTCAACTAACATGAATATCCACTAGTTATTCTGTACCTAGTAATAAAACGAGTTAAGTATAGTTAACTAGTGGATAATCATGGATAATCCCGTCCCCCTTCATATGAAACACCCATTTTTTCGTGGACATTCCCTACTTTTTACCATGGTTCCGTTTAGGCTTGTTTAATATTAGGGGGATGGGATTCATATGATCACCAACCATATGGGATGATTTACCATCTGGTTATGACTAACAGTTTGCCATGGAAAATCACCATGCTATTAATAGGTAAACTATGAATAAATGGGCCATTTTCCATGGCTATGTTAGTCATAACCAGATGGTAATAAAAACGAACTGGTCCGCTGCTCCGATGGCCAGCCAGGTGGTTGCCATTACGCTCTTTGCCATCTGCAACGCGGTGAAACACATTCGCTCTTTGGACCACAACTGGTGAGATCGGAGTGTTTCAAAGATCGGGATAGAAACAGAAACACCAAAAACATTGGGGATACTAAGATAACTGGATCAACTATATATTGAAGATAGGTCATGTTTAGTTTTTTTTCCAATTGTGTTTGGGATGATTTTCTGACAAAACATATTGTTGGGATGGGTTGAAACTAGAACCTACAAACCAGATTAATTGCTTCACATCTTCGGTTTTGTTTCCGTTTTGGAGTCCAAACATGTCCAGACTGGCACTGGATTTTTTGGTATCCCAATGTTGGAACGGCCAATGAATGTTTGTTTTCCCAATGGGAAATCCACCAGATGTTTACCCTCTGGTAATTTGTTACATAGCCATTGAATATGGCCATAGACATAGTTGATTTACCTATTAGACATGGTGATTTTCCAGTTCGCAAAGTGTTTCTGGTTGGTGGTTTGGAACATTTTTTATTTTTCCATATATTGGGAATAATCATCCCAACTGACAACTGACTAATATTTTTCAGAGGGGTAGGTATACCACCAACCAGGTTTGTACGTTTACCAGAGGCTAATTTTTGTGGACCCCCTAGGCAAATCCAGTTCGATCACCTGAGTCGGTGCGTGAGCCAGTTCGATGATATCCATGTGATATTCCCCCAAAAAACCCAACGCTGCAACCAAGTGATGTGCGAAAGAAAAAACAGCTAGCTAAATCAATCCCTCTAGAAATCCCGTTGCATCCCATTCAAAATCCCATTCAAAATCAGCACCATATCTTATATTGATGTTTTATATATATATATATTCATTTTTACCATTTATATAATTTTATATATACCATTTATGTTGTATATCACCATCCCATTCCGAAATCCCATTTCAAAATCCCATGAAATCCACCATTTTTACCGGGAAAATCCCATAGCTATCGCTCGCACCAGACCCGTCACCTTGATGATATCATGGTCGATGTACAACATTCATGGGATATATGAATGGGACAATGGTACAATGGTAGTACAACAAGAATAAAGCACCCATATTTTAAGGTTTATACTCATGGTAATTTTGGATGGTTTACCTTTGCTAGCATTAGATAGTCATTGTTTGTTACAATCCAAAGTCTTTAAAATATCCATCATGAAAACAATCCAAATTCATTGTTACCTTTTCAGAATATCCATGTGGGACATATGAAATGATGGATATTCTGAAAACTATGATCATCATGGATCTTTGGGGATGGGTCAAGACATTCACCAACCATTTTTCACGGTACCGTTTGGGTACCAGGCTTTTGACCCAGAAGCATATGGAATGAAATATGATTTGTATATTTATTTATATTTTATGTGATGGAATGTTATAATACCATAATTATAACTATCATTATAATAACTATCATTATAAGCAACCATAATTGTAATATATTGTAATCATACCATATGGAATGGAAATTCACAGCAACATCTTTTTTTGTCCCCATTTTGTAAAGCTCCACTGACATTCTGAGCGCTGCGCCGAGGGCCCTTCGTTCTGCAGCAATACATGCAGAAAAGGCAAGCCGGGGTTGGTTGTTGGTTGTTTCTTGGGATATATTTGGGATATCTATGGGGTATAGTGGGATATACTTGGATTACTCATGGATTACTATTCTAGAATGGAGATTGGGAAACAAATGGCAAGAAACTTCAAGATTCGGGATATCACCTTGGACCAACATGGAAATTCTGATTTGTCAACCTTGGGGCTGTCAGCAAAGATTGTAGCCAGCAGATATGGCGGATATGGGTGAAAGTTCAAGACCAGAGAAGCCACAGATTGGTCCTGGGAGTCCTAGTTTAGGGAACCGGGGAGTCAAGCAATTTCAAGCATCCATATTTAGAGAACCAATGGAAATACTGTAAATGACCAACATGTACTAGGAAAATGCAGGTTGGGTGGCCCTGATTCGAGGTGAACTCCCTTTCAATCGCTCTTCAGCATCTTCATTTTGGTTGGTGTTTCGCCCATATTTTCAAGGGAATATTCATCTGTAGCATAAGTAGGACATTGGCAAACAAGCATGACATTGGAATATGAATATCTGAGTGAACCTTCTCATTTTTGGTGGTTAGAGCCCATTGTTGTAATTTCTATTCTAGATTATAATATATAATTGATCAATTTCGGATGGAATCTGGAGGTGAAACCCCATATTGTCAGGGATATGTTCATCTATTCAACTGTTCATCTGTTTTTTGTTGGCGAAACATTGGGAAATTCACCGGGTTTACCGAGTGATCGGTTCATATACATATGTTCATCAGTTCCGATCATAGAAATATCCGATGTACCACACTAGGTTCTACCTATATACCCGCCAAGGGCCAAGTTCGTAATCCTATAATATACCATCCCTCCAATTAACAGAGACCCTGCCATTTTCGTCGGGGGAAGACTACACGGACGATGGACGATGTCGGTGAGTTATTTATGGGACATCCCATTAAAAAACATCAGCGACGATGACATGTTGCTGACATACCCCAAAATTTGCCGGAGAATTTTGGTGATTCTTCCCATCATCTTCCCATCATCTTCCCATCATATTCAATATTCCCATGATATTCCCACTTTCTTTTCCCAGCATTTTGGTGGTTTAGCCCATCATATCGTTGCTTTTTTCCAGCTGGAAATCCCTCGGTGAAATCCCCCTGTTTGAGGCCTGGCTTGCTATCTGAGCTCTGTGAACTGCACCCTGGCCGGATTTGGATCAGCCGATGAGAACCGATGAAATCCTTGGGACAATACCTAGGATTGAGTACTTTTTAATAATGAGAATGATGATTTAAGAGTGAAAATTATGATTTAATGGGAGTTATGATTTTAATTGCTGAGTTTCGATTTTTCAGGGGAATATGTGGCCGGACAATCAACTGTGGCTGGCTAGAAAATCACCGAACGAACTCACTTGAGGTTTATAGCTGGGGATAACATCGAAGCAAAGGGATTTTGCAGCTAGCCATGTTCTAGTGACGAGTTGGCTACCCTCTGGTAAACTAACATAACTATGGAAAATCACAATTTTTTTTGGGAAAATCCACTATAAATGGCCATTTTCAATAGCTATGTTAAATTACCAGAGGCTAATTTTCACCTTTCCGGACTTGCCGGACTTGGGAGTGCGGCTGTAGAAGTGGATAGATTTCGCCCAGCCGGGCCCCAGTCCTCCCAAGTGGATGATATCAGTGTGGTCGTTTGCCATGGGCTCCTGAAATCAGGGATTGGAAGGCCCGGATGGCTCAATATACCTACAAGTCGTGAGGCCCCCGTTCGATAGCGTTCAGTTGGTGCACATAACTCCAATTTCACTATGGTTTATGGTACGCAAATAACTATAGTTACTGGGGCGAATCTAAACCAACTTATAACTGGGGGGCCTCACATTGTAGACCACAGATATCAAAGACTGAAAGTGGCTTCAAGGACTGTGCTTTTCGGCACCAGCCAGTTTTTTTTTATTTCTCCAGGGTAGCAGGGCTTGAACATAGACCAAGGTCATGAAATACCTACGCCTACGCGAGTTTTTAATCAGTGGTTTGTTCAACCCATTGTATCTGTCAGCTGTGTATATTTATATAATTTTATATTTATATTTAGCATACATATAACGTCATATAACGTATCCGTATATGTATAGTATACACTATGGGCTGTATCCTCTACACAATCATACAAGCCCTGCCCTTAAACGGGTTCCATTTACTTTTCTTCAGCCCCCTTTGCAGCCGCTCCGCTCTTCTCCTCTTCTGCGCGGACCCACAGCGGCGTTTCAGGCTCCAAAGTTTGCAAGCCATTGGTCCCGAAGCAAGTGCCAAGGGGGGGGCTTGGAACTTGGCTTGGGCTTGGCGTATGGTAAAAAAAAACCACTGGATTGGCTCAAGGGAAAATGGACATCTGCAAGAAATCATCGTTTTCCCCTACTAAAAAAAGGTGTTTCAACTGTAGATTTTCAGTCCCCAAGCCATTGATATTAGACATGGCCGCCATGACCCAACTGTGATCTCCTCGCCCTGGATGCTCGGATATAGTGAATCTAGTTCTTGGTTTCAAGAATTACCAACTTGCGTACAAGTGGGATATAACATACACACATGTATGTGTCTATATATCATATAATATTATATATATATATGATATAGTATATACTATTGCCAACTTTGGTCTACTATCGTATGATAAAAAACAACACTTACCAATCGGATACGATTCGAACGCGTCCATTTGGGATGCTGAGCCAATGGAGACTGCCTCCCAGCAGATAACGAAAAAAAGTTAGAGCATCCCATTAAATCACCAAAAAAAACGTACTTTTTTTAAACATATCTTCCTAGTACATCCCAGTTATATCTCTATAATTTCAAGAAATCACACGAACGGAGCTGTTTTTTTTGAGGTGACCATAACTCAGACAGTTCTTTTTTGGATGAATGTGCAGGTGTTGCGGTGTTGCGCGTCACCGGCGGCTTTCTGGACTCCCGCTTCGGGCAGAGCCCCTTGGCATCCCGCAGGGCGAAGGGCCCCTGCACCATCAATTTGGGATGGTTGAAAGCCTACGGATAATGGGATATACCACCTATCAGCCTATCAACTGGTGCAGGATTTCGCTGGCCCATCCACTGTATGATCTGTATGTTTGGTGTCTCTGCATTTGAGGAAAGCCGACAAGATGATCTTATTGGCTATGTTTGGAAGCATCACCGCCCCTTATCCGGACAAAAATGACGGAGACTCAGGATGTACAAAGATCATCCGCCACTAAATCTGCAGGGTTTATCAATCTGCTTCCTGACTAAAGCCCTCAAACTTCATGCCATTTTTTTCCCAATCCACCAATTGGATCAAGCACTTAGATCGGCCATGGGAGTGGCTAATTGGCTCCTCCTCGTGCGTTGATCATGGTTAGTATGTGGATGAACCAAGCATTTTGTAAATGGATTATTGGGATTACTCAACTGGGATTACCCCAGTTTTTTTAGATGTTATTTATGCAATTTACATCAATTTACCAACTAGTTGAGTAAGTTAACTAACTCCATGTCATACCTAAATCATCGTAAATCTAAGCATAGGTTTGATACCAGGTGCTTCCCCTAACGCCACAGCTGGAAATACCTGGGAGTTGTGGTGGTTTGGTGGTGGTCTGTCCATGGGGTTCCGAAAATCAGGCTGTTCATGGTGACTGGGGGATAAGGATTGTATTCATCATAATCTATCCTAATATATTAATTGTACTTACCCACATTCTTGAGGTTCTAAGCCTATTTTAGGCAGTTCACCCCCCATGTTCTCAGCGAACATCTGAGGCTTCCGGGTGAAACGCCCGTGTCCCGTAATCATGTCATAATTAGATAGGTACTGTAGATGATCTATAAATGGGTCATTTTCCATAGCTATGTGAAAACTACCGCAGGGTAAAATGGCTTTTTCTTGCGACCGTTGCGAGGCCGCTCGGAAGCCTCGCAGCTGTCGCAGATGTAGGGACGCCCCCAGGGACCATGGCTATAGATGGGGGGAAGATGTCAGACTTCGCCAAAAATGTGGCATTGAAGGTATGATGATTGGGAATCATGACTACAAAAAAATGCTGAATAGCCTTCAAAAAATATCCCAAAATCCGTGGTTTTGTGGTGGATCTATTCATATTGGGGTCTCTTATGGATTCTATTTGAATATATTTGATATGAGGGCCGCGGGGGGTTGAGATTGGTTCTTCCCACAACAGGTGGCCCACAACAGGTGTTTTTTTTTTTAATGAAGGTCAATATGTTGGATCGGAGAGTTTGATGTGCGATTTATTGGGGATTCATTATTTACTAGACATGATGCTGAGCAAGGGGAATCAGCCCCCAATGGCCTTATTTCATTTTTTTTGATTTACGTCCTCATTAGATCTCGTTAGTATATAATCAGGCAGTCTAGAATCTAGGTGGCACAAAAGCTTTACGTGTTTGTTGGTTTGAACGCATATTTCACAGTCCAAGTTGTGTTCATGATTTCTAGGGCACCCTGCCCGGCTGGTGGCAATCAAGCATCATCCCCAAGGAAAAAATGGCGAGCCCTAGAATATAGATATAGATAAATATCATACACGAGAATATCCAATAAATATTACCCTCTGGTAAATTAACAGTTGGACCCTGAAAATCACCAATTTTTAATGGTTTCACTAGTCTTCCAACCCCGATGACTGACAGGGTCTATGTTAATTTACCAGAGGGTAATAGTAATTACAAAATGAAGCCCTTCAATCATCAAATTCATCAACCTGTCATGGACATGTTGACATCGACCCAGTTGATCACCTGGATCTCCATGGCAAGGCTTGGACTCTCGCTGCCGCATGGCATTGTCGCCTGCGCAGCTTGGATTTTGCGGGTCGCCTTTTCGGGTCGGTTGCGGATGTTGCATGGGGGGAGGAGCCTCCAACAGCCCCTCTGGTTATGTCAAACAGTTTGCTATTGAAAATGGTCATAGAAATCCTGGATAAATCCACACTCAAAAATGGTGGATCTTTCAACAGCTAACTGATTAACTTTAAACGTTTACCAGAGGGTACCCTTTTTTCAGCCATGATTCGTCGATCATTTTCCGAAGAAACAACAGGGGTTTTCCATATCTATGTCAGTTCTATGTGGGATGAAGCAAGCTTTGTAAAAGTGGGATGTATCCATGGGATACTTCATGGGATATTTTTTAGTGAATTTGGCATTGGAATAACCAATTTTTTTGGGTCTTGTCTGAAATTTGGATAGAGTAGCCCTGAATCTGTTAGTCATCATGATCCCTACTCAATTTAAAAAGTGGCCGTTGAATCTGGGGCCTTTTCGATTCGCCTCATTTTTTTTGAAATCAAGGGGCCTTGGAATGAAGCTCTTGTAGAGGTTACCGGTATGAGTTTTTGTCAAGAAACGTGGATTCCACGTTTCAGTTTTTTTTTATTATTTCTGCTTCCTTGACGTCATCAAGGCAGCGAGTGGTTCGCTTCGAAAAAAACCTCACTGCTGACTGCCAACTTGGTGCAGCTCCAGCACTTGACAAAGACAAGGACGAAAGCTTCGTGAAACCGCCGGCCATGCTCTAAAACTGAAAGCGGAATCAGTCCCACTTGACATATGGATGGCCCAACAAGAACAAGTGACAATTGTAATATAACGAAAATGACCACGAGGGGGATTTTAGGCTCAATTCAATGCAACATAATAATACTAATTACATAATTGTTGGTTGGAATGTACACATTTTTGGGAATGAGCAGACAGGACAGCAACTAGAACAAGTACGTTATACAGATCTAATATTGCTTACAACAAACCACGCTCTACACCAAGAACATAACAAAAGGCTATATAATTATATACATATCACCACGTTCCCCATCATTTACCTGAAGTACTGCTTCTAAACCTCTAGTCTAATCTCCAATGACAGAATTGGATGATAGGACAAATTTTCCATGGAATATCATCCCGAAAGGGGACAACCATCTTCCATTGACTTATCCAATGGAATCCAGTACTCATACCCTCTGGTAAACGTTTACACAAAACTATGGAAGATCACCATTTTTTTAATGAGTGAATCAACGAACTGTCGACTGGGCCATTTTCAATAGCAAGCTGTTTGACATAACCAGAGGGTAATACTCAATACCCAAATCCAAGGAATTGTTGCAGAACGCCATGAATTGTTTTTTGACGAATATTTGGGGCTTTCAAGACGAAGTCATGGTCATGATTTCATGACTTGGATGATGACTGCGAGTACCTTTCCATAATCTTGTACAGGTCCTTACAAGAAAATCTTGTAAAGATCTTGCGTTTCAATCGAGGTCCTTTTTCTTGATCCCCCATGACTTTTGGAACTTTCCACTACTTAAATTCCCATCATCATTCCAATGGATCATTCCAATGGAAATCCGAATTCCAATAAATCCAATTTACTTTGGACAATTCGGAATGATTCCAGATTGATTTTGATCATCTGGATCATTCCATTCCAATCGGAAATCGATAAATTCCAATTAAAATCTGGGTTCCACTGGATCCAATCCATTCAATTGGTATAAATGGATCCAATAACGGATGTTTTTTTCGTCTAAATCCCAGGATTCCCAGGATTCCTGGCTCTCCGACCCCAGGCGCTGAGAGGTCTCCTGGCTCAGCGACCTGAACCCGAAAGGTGCGGAGCGCAAGTCGACTCCGCGCGGCTGGGGTCGTGGATGAAAAACCCATGGAAAAAAGATGGAAATATCTATGGAAAAGATGGTACCCTCCGCTAAGCATAGAAAAAGCTAACTTGAAAATGGCCATAGAAATAGTGAGTTTTCCCATTAAACATGGTGATTTTCCATTGTTATGTAAACGTTTACCAGAGGGTATGGAACATGTATGAACCATCTATGGGAATCTATGGAAATCGATGATGGAGATCTACGGACATATCTATGGAAAACTATGGAAACCTAAACTATGGTTTTTCTCTATGTTTCCATATGGGGTGAATTGATGGAAGACTATGAAACATCTGGCAAGAAAAACATAGTGGGCATCTGAATTTTGAGATCATGAATCTAATTGACAAGCATATTTTGGGGAAAACACCAGAAGAATGAATGCTACAAGCATTGTGATACCACCAGGGACCAGAGGGGCTGCAAACTTTCACTGCAAATGATCGATTTTCTTTTTTTGTGTCCATGTTTGCTTCTGTTTTTGTTTGAAAAAAACGGCTTTCTTACAAACTATCTATTCCTTTTCTTGATGTATTTACACTATCAATAAGTAACTAATTTTCACTAAGTAACTCTCGCTCTTCGGGTTAACTCGGCCAGTCATCAAGCATTATCAGTCTTACATGTAGCCATTCATGACTCACTAAGTAACTAAGTCTATATATATATATATGATATATATATATATATAATTTAATGATTGATATATCTACTCCCCTGATTTTTTTACACAGACCCTGCCATCAGTCAGGGCTTTTTTTAAGTGACGCCATTCTCGTGACAGGCTGGAAGAACATCACCAGGTGCTTCTGGCCGTAGGGAGACCCAGCGCTTAGCTTCGACATTTTCAGGAAATGGATAGAACTGGCACTTAAAAATGGACCATTTTCTATCTACCCTCTGGTAAACTAACATAGCTATTGAACATGGCCATTTATAGTTGATTTTCCCATTAAAACTGGGATTTTCTATAGTTATGTTAGTTTACCAGAGGGTAAACCATCTTGGTTTGGTGTGAATGGATAGAAATGGCACACTTCGCCCTTCGAAGTGTGGACACACTGAGTTTTTTCAAGGTTTTTTTGAGGATTTTTGACTCGACAGCAGTAGTGAAACGAAATATTTCAAGCATCACGAAAATCAGCGAGGAAGGAGGTACATTCAATCATGTTTGTCTAAGTTTAATTACCTTCAGTTTGAAATATGGCTATGAGTCAAAGCCCTGGTACCCTACTAGGTACCCAACAAAATATCTGGCTGATGGATGTTTATTCACCCAGTCATATTCCCATTCAATCCCCAATTTAATTGATGACTTTCCCATTAGTAACAGCCATTTATGGATGATATTCCCATGATATTCCCATGGTAATTTCATAGCTTTGGGCTCATCCCCACTTATACTACCAGTATCTACCAGTCATATTATGGGTTTCTAGGGGGGTAACCCCCAAATCATCCAATTCTGTATATAATATAGACCTTCCTCATGTTTGGAATGATCAGCTCCATTTTGGCTGGGTTACCCTCAGATTCATCAAGATCCCTGAGGACAATCATCCATTTTCCATAGGATCTTCCATTTCATAAACCATCCAGCTATTGGGGTTTTCCCTATTTTCTATGGGTTTCTATGGCTTTCTATGGGTTTTCTATGGGTTTCTATGGGTTTCTATGGGGTTTCTATGGGTTTCTATGGGTTTCTATGGGTTTCTATGGGGTTTCTATGGGGTTTCTATGGGTTTCTATGGGTTTCTATGGGGTTTCTATGGGTTTCTATGGGTTTCTATCCCCAAATCATCCGGTTTTCATAGGATGTTCCCACCATCCATTGTAGCCCCAAGGCTCTGGACCTCTTCCAGATCACCACGGTGAACAACCACCAGACCACCGCGCAACTGGGGTCGGAAACTCCCAGGATCCACAGGTTTTGAGGTGGTGGGGGAAGGTGGCTCCGAAGGTGTTTTATAAAAGGTGGATGATTTTTGAGGGTTTAAGTATGTTTAAGTATGTTTAAATACATGTTTAAGTAAATGTTTAAGTATGTTTAAGTATGTTTAAATACATGTTTAAGTATGTTTAAGTATGTTTAAGTATGTTTAAGTATGTTTAAATACATGTTTAAGTATATGTTTAAGTATGTTTAAGTATGTTTAAGTATGTTTAAATACATGTTTAAGTATATGTTTAAGTATGTTTAAGTATGTTTAAGTATGTTTAAATATATGTTTAAGTATGTTTAAGTATGTTTAAGTATGTTTAAGTATGTTTAAGTATGTTTCAGTATGTTTAAGTATGCTTAAGTATGTTCAAAAGTATGTTTAAGTATGTTTAAGTATGTTTAAGTATGTTTAAGTATGTTTCAGTATGTTTGAGTATGTTTAAGTATGTTTAAATACATGTTTAAGTATGTTTAAGTATGTTTAAGTATGTTTAAGTATGTTTAAGCATGTTTCAGTATGTTTGAGTATGTTTAAGTATGTTTAAATATATGTTTAAATATATGTTTAAGTATGTTTAAGTATGTTTAAGTATGTTTAAGTATGTTTCAGTATGTTTGAGTATGTTTAAGTATGTTTAAATACATGTTTAAGTATGTTTAAGTATGTTTAAGTATGTTTAAATACATGTTTAAGTATGTTTAAGTATGTTTAAGTATGTTTAAATACATCTTTAAGTATGTTTAAGTATGTTTAAGTATGTTTGAGTATGTTTAAGTATGTTTAAATATGTGTTTAAGTATGTTTAAGTATGTGTAAGTATGTTTAAGTATGTTTAAGTATGTTTGAGTATGTTTGAGTATGTTTAAATACATGTTTAAGTATGTTTAAGTATGTTTAAGTATGTTTAAATACATGTTTAAGTATGTTTAAGTATGTTTAAGTATGTTTAAATACATGTTTAAGTATGTTTAAGTATGTTTAAATATGTTTAAGTATGTTTAAGTATGTTTAAGTATGTTTAAGTATGTTTAAGTATGTTTAAGTATGTTTGAGTATGTTTGAAATACATGTTTAAGTATGTTTAAGTATGTTTAAGTATGTTTAAATACATGTTTAAGTATGTTTAAGTATGTTTAAGTATGTTTAAGTATGTTTAAGTATGTTTAAATATATGTTTAAATATATGTTTAAGTATGTTTAAGTATGTTTAAGTATGTTTAAGTATGTTTAAATATATGTTTAAATATATGTTTAAGTATGTTTAAGTATGTTTAAGTATGTTTAAGTATGTTTAAGTATGTTTAAGTATGTTCAAGTATGTTTAAGTATGTTTAAGTATGTTTAAGTATGTTTAAGTATGTTTGAGTATGTTTAAGTATGTTCAAGTATGTTTAAGTATGTTTAAGTATGTTTAAGTATGTTTAAGTATGTTTAGTCGGACTTTACGGCAACGTTTGAGGGGTTCAGCGGTTCAGCATCTTTTTTTTTGTTCAATTGTTTGTTCAAACGTTCAGGATTTGATGGTCTAAATCTACAAGCATGCTGAGACCTCGAAGCTTGCCAGGGGTGAAAAAAACCTGCAAGGGTCAGCAGTGTCACCACACGAAGTTTGCTGAAAAGAGGGGCATACATTTTTATATTACCCTCTGGTAATCAACCATGGCACTCGACCATTTTCATTTCGTGCGATGCTTTTCCTATGTAACAATTATGCTTTTCATGGATTTCCCAGCCGGCCTTCCCATGTGTGATGACACACTGTCAGACTTTTCCATCAACGTTTACACGCCTTGCCTTTGGTGCTCACCTGTTTATAGTGGCATTGGGGGTGCCATGGGGGTGCAGAGCTCTGCAAGGCACGCTGGGATGCTGCATGCCATGTTGGAGTTACTGGAAAAAACCGAGGCCTTGCCGGACAATTTTCTTCGGACGGTTTGCAGTGCTTGGGAAAGGGTAAGATCAATATATGATAATATATGTACCATCTGGTTATTTAACATAGCCATGGAAAATCACCATTTTTAATAAACCATCTATACCATTTTCCATGGCTATGTTAAACAACCAGAGGGTATATATCAATATATGATATGCGTTGCATCCAAAAATAGTTGAATCCACCACCAAAAAACGATTGGTACACTGAATCACATTGGTTTTGAATGTCAAACACAGATCAATATTCCCTCCGAATATTGAATGAAATCCAAACGAAAGCCGGATGGAGAGTAATGGATCACTATCTTCTCCGTGTTTGACTTCAGATTAAAGACATGGTTCTTGTTGGTAATTCCTTAACTTTCTCTTTATTTACAATGTGTATCCTACTTTCTTTTTGAGTAGTTAAGTCATGTTCCCTATATATTTCCCCATCATTTCCCCATATTTTCCGATATGTTTCTGATATGTTCCCTGATTTTCCCTATATATTTCCCCTATCATTTCCCCATATTTTCCGATATGTGTCTAATATTTTCCCTGATTTTCCCTATATATTTCCCCATCATTTCCCCATATTTTCCGATATGTTTCTGATATGTTCCCTGATTTTCCCTATATATTTCCCCTATCATTTCCCCATATTTTCCGATATGTGTCTAATATTTTCCCTGATTTTCCCTATATATTTCCCCTATCATTTCCCCATATTTTCCGATATGTGTCTACTATTTTCCCTGATTTTCCCTATATATTTCCCCTATCATTTCCCCATATTTTGAGATATGTGTCTAATATTTTCCCTGATTTTCCCTATATATTTCCCCTATCATTTCCCCATATTTTCCGATATGTTTCTGATATGTTCCCTGATTTTCCCTATATATTTCCCCTATCATTTCCCCATATTTTCCGATATGTGTCTAATATTTTCCCTGATTTCCCTAATATATTTCCCCTATCATTTCCCCATATTTTCCGATATGTGTCTAATATTTTCCCTGATTTTCCCTATATATTTCCCCTATCATTTCCCCATATTTTCCGATATGTGTCTACTATTTTCCCTGATTTTCCCTATATATTTCCCCTATCATTTCCCCATATTTTCCGATATGTGTCTAATATTTTCCCTGATTTTCCCTATATATTTCCCCTATCATTTCCCCATACTTCACCGTCATCCCAAAGTCATGGGGAATTTCGAGCTCCGGGGGCAGCCGTTCGCCGGGCAGGTGGCCTCGCTCACAGTGGTCACCTGGATGCTTCGAGGTTTGGAGCTTGTCTCTGAGGCGAAAAGCGACGATTTCATTGGGCGGGGGCAGTTTTTCATTGGGGATTTCATTGGGTATCGAACATATATTAAACATATTCCATCATATTCCCAGATTTCAGAAAATCTCGATTGTCAATGGATTGGATTAAGGGAAAATTTACTGGTTTAAGCCCTGTATTTAATGGGAAAATCCATGGTTTCCTGTAAATTTTCCCTTAAACCAATCCATTGTATAGGGATTACCTAGGTATAGGGATTACCTACTTGGTGGCTCATCCCACTTAGTAAGTGGGTTATAACACCAGTTATAAATGGATTAACCCTACTTATCCACTTATAACTGGGGTTATAACCCACTTACTAAGTGGGATGAGCCACCAAGTAGGGCCTAGCCACTTACTGCCTGGGATATAACTGGTTTTATATCTGGTTTTACCTGGTTTTCACTTGGGGATATCAGACTGATCCTTTTTACCTATGGTTTTGATACCTGGTTTTCTGATGTTTTTTTTTGGGGGGTATTTCATGATTTCATCCTTCATTTCCGGGTGAATCTGGGTAAATTTCATCACGACCTCACGTCGTTCTCCCGAGCCCTGGGAAATCATCCCCGGCCATGGCCGCAAGATTCAGGTTAGTGAACTAATATGATTTACCCAGATGAATGGTTCATGGGGATCTCACCAACATGGGCAGATTTAGGGGTGTAGTTTTGGTGTAGCCCGACAACGACCTACACCTCTTCGTTGGTTACAGGAATATTTAACCTTATGGAAGGTTAAGAGTACCCCCCCAATGGGAAACCCATCAACAATAGGTCAAGAACGTCCGAATAAGGCCTTATTTGGTGGGGGGGGTGACCTAGGGATGGGATCCATGGAATTTCCGATGGAAGAATTCATAGATGACAAGTATTAGTCCCAAAAGGACATCACTGGGTGTAGAGAGTATGGACTTGCTGAAACTGAATAGTTCCTTCTGGTGATTTCAAACATTTGAAGGAGAGTCTGCAAAGAAAAAGTGAGGAAGACGGAAGACCTATGAATGGGAAGATGAACCAACGACATGGACATGAAACCAAGAGATAGCAAGGGACAAGACCAACTACAACGGAAAACGAGGGATGTATGAAACCAGACATGGGCTGAAACTGGAGGAAAACATGCCATCAAGTTTGGGGAGTGATGTCCAGTAAACTTCTGTGATCGACAATTTGGGGCTGGGAAGTGCCTGATTTCACAGAAGTCCTATTGATGTGTACATAGAACAAGACACTACACCACCAACTTCCAAAAAATCTCTGTTGATTTCATTCCCACTTCGTAAATTTCTGCAGTCTTTTTGCCCATTGGACAATCACCCCATAATGATTTTCCCGTATCAAGTTGGGATGTTCCAGCTTGCCATGTTACAGAGGGTATCAAATATAGCCACACACACATATATATATATATAATACATACATACGTACGTACATACTAGCATGCATGCATACCTACGTGCAGACAGACAGACAGACAGGCAGACAGACAGGCAGGCAGGCAGGCAGACAGACAGACAGACATACAGACAGACAGACAGGCAGGCAGACAGGCATGCATGCATGCATACCTACCTACAGACAGACAGACAGACAGGCAGGCAGGCAGGCAGACAGACAGACATACAGACAGACAGACAGGCAGGCAGACAGACAGGCAGGCAGGCATGCATGCATACCTACCTACAGACAGACAGACAGACAGGCAGGCAGGCAGACAGACAGACAGGCAGGCAGACAGACAGACAGGCAGGCAGACAGGCAGGCATGCATGCATACCTACCTACAGACAGACAGACAGGCAGGCAGACAGACAGACAGACATACAGACAGACAGGCAGACAGACATGCAGGCATGCATGCATACCTACCTACAGACAGACAGACAGGCAGGCAGACAGACAGACAGACATACAGACAGACAGACAGGCAGGCAGGCAGACAGACAGACAGATATACAGACAGACAGACAGGCAGGCAGGCAGGCAGGAAGACAGACAGACATACAGACAGACAGACATACAGACATACAGACATACAGACATACAGACATACAGACATACAGACATACAGGCATACAGACATACAGACATACAGACAGACATACAGACATACAGACATACAGACATACAGACATACAGACATACAGACATACAGACATACAGACAGACAGACAGACATACAGACATACAGACATACAGACATACAGACATACAGAAAGACAGACAGACAGACATACAGACATACAGGCATACAGACATACAGACATACAGACATACAGACATACAGACATACAGACATACAGACAGGCAGACAGACAGACATACAGACATACAGACATACAGACATACAGACATACAGACATACAGACATACAGACAGACAGGCAGACAGACAGACATACAGACATACAGACATACAGACATACAGACATACAGACATACAGACATACAGACATACAGACAGACAGACAGACAGACATACAGACACACAGACAGACAGACAGACAGACATACAGACATACAGACATACAGACATACAGACAGACAGACAGACATACAGACATACAGACAGACAGACAGACATACAGACATACAGACAGACAGACATACATACATAGTGCATTCTATCAAAGGTTTGGTTACATAGCCACATTGCAGGATGCACATCAATCCATTCATACGGGTCTAGTACTGTAGTCAATATACCCATTGTGTATACGGAATCTCATAAAAATAAGCTGGGATGACCAGGGGCACCATTCATCCAATTGCATATCCATTATATATCCATTCTATATCCATTATATATCCATTATATATCCATTATGTATCCATCATGGTTGATCTTATATCCCCATGATCCCAATGATTGGTAGTATTCATACCATGGGATGACTACTTCGGGGCATCCCAATTGGAGGGTAATAACCATATGGCATAGCCCAGTTAGACTAATGGCTTAGGGATATTTTATAGGGCTTATCAACCACATCCATTAACTACCTTTTCTATGCACATCCTTTTGCGATTTTATGGGGAGATTACCATCAACAATAGGGACTTCTCTGACTTAACCCTGAACAAAAAGTGGGTTCTGGGGCGCCCAATCCCACCCCATCCCCGGCTCTGGAACCAGGTGTCGGGCACGGCGGCCTTGGTCCTCTTCCGCGACTTTGGAGGGCTGCAGGCGCCTTTTGGCTTTGGTGGAAGCAGTAGCGATATGTAGATTCCCAATCGATGGATTTATCTATGGATATAATGGATATACTATGGTAACAATGTTCACTTTCAGTCCAGGCTTATCTTTATGGTTGAGAAAATCATCAATTCCCAACTTGCAACAGCCATGTGTTGGGGAGAAATCCACATCCCACTCAAATGTGATGGAAAATCCCCGAGCTAAATGGAGGTTTTAATTAAGAACATCATCTATACAGGTCTATACAATCTATACATGGTGGATATCCACAACCCCAGTGACTCCCAGTGATTCCCAATGTATCTAGAGTTAGTTGGCGAAGATCTCCCAAGGTACCTGCCATAAGCCCAAAATGGTATCGCTTAGAGAGTGTTCCAGCCAACTTCTCCCACGGAAAATCCCACAACAAATCCCATGACATCCCAATAAATGCCAGAAATCCCATGACATCCCAATAAATCTATGGATTTATCATATTTCTCTACGGATATTTCATGGATATACTATGGTTAATCCCACAAATCCCATGGGAGTCTCCACATTTCTAGCGGAATTCAGGCCTTCTCCGTGCGCCTGCAACGTGAAGTGGCACTGATCCTGGTCCAATGCCCCAGCCACGGAGATGACCGAAAGTTGGGAGATTTTTCATGGGAAAATCTAGGGAAATTTATGGACATTTTATGGACATCTATGGAAATCAATTGTGTGTGGAAGACTATCATTGGCTTAGTCAATCAGTTTTTTTTCTTTGCCACCCCATTGTTGTTGCTTCAATTTGATCAGGTCTTTTGCTTGAACATACCTGCTCTTGTCTAGCAAATCCAGTTTTTATTTCTCACCCCTCTTTTCCAATGTTGAAATCAATCCAGTTTTGATGACTTAGTGGATAAGCTCGGCATTTGTTGCTTACACACCGTTTTCCTCCAATCGTATGTTTCAATATCTAACAATTTTCATGTGTTCAATTGCTTGAACTCTAAGTTTTTGACACTGGAATATCCGAATTCTCCTGGTTCAAATCCTATCTGGTTGGTGGTGACTGGAACCATGGAACTTTATGACTTTCCCATCATATTGGGAAGTTTCGTAACCCCATTTGACGAAGTCATATTTTTCAGAGGGGTAGGTCAACCACCAAGCAGATAATTATTAACCATCATTAACCATATATTAACCATTAATATTAACAGTAGATTTCCAACCAATGGTAGGTTGAAACCACCAAGCAGTTTTTCTATTTGGTGAAATCCCCGGATTTTCCCCAGGCTTTGGATTCGGCGGAAACTGTCTGGAAGACTCAGAGAACCTAAGAGCTTGGTGCATCCCGGGCATCGTAGGTGATCATGGAGAGATACCAAGAAACACAACGGGGATATGTGGAGCTATTCTTATAAGGAATATCATTATTGGGATGTACGGATACATGGGTATACTGTGTCTACATATATATATATACATATATATATATATAGACTATACTTATACTATATGATAGGCATACATGGATACTTGGGGCTTTTCTTAAGTGGTGAGTGGTGAATAACCATGGTTGGTTCCTTGAAAAAATGGGTCCTATCCAGCCAGATGAATGGCTTCCAAGCAGCAACACATCTTGGGGTCTTTTTGTGACATGTGGATATTAGCTACCAGGAAATGAGGAACTTCAAAACCAACAACTTGTGATATATATATATATATAATGGGTTTGTTTTTTTTAGGTTTTAGCCAATCAAAAGTAACTCCTAACAATCAATTTGTGGTATCACCGGGTGAAACTTGGTAGAGCCAATGAATGTAGGGACAAACCTCTGAAATGCCAACCAAAATAGGGATTGGACTGACTGACAGCAGCTGGAATTTAATAACAAAACATGTTTGCCGCCATGACGTACAGAGTTCAGTTTTTTTTTGCTCAATCAACACCGATTGGACAATCCTCAACAACCAAAGAGATGGGGCTTAATTGAGCCCCAAGATAAGAGATTTCACACCATACATTACCGTTTTTCACCCTTTGAAGATTGCCTCGAAGACAAATTCCTCTCTGGTGTCTAGCCGCTTCTAGCCTGCTTGATGAACGCTACATTTCGGCCACTTCTATCCCACTTTTCTCTTGGGGCATGCACCTGCCAATAAAGCCACATTTGCATCCCAGATTCATGGCAGTAGTTATTGTAACATCGAAAGAATATTTATGCGTTTTAATCAAATTCAATCTATTGGCATGCAGATGATGTATGGCCAATGAGAATCATGGCAGACAATGCAAATATTTCCAAAAGCAAAATGGAATGGTATGCTATGGACTTTGCACCGTCGTATTTCCCAATAACATTTCTTCAATCACATCTTTCTGCAGCCGTGCCATGGAAAGCAGTTCTGAGAGCGGTCAGGTGGCTGACGATTCCATTGAAGTTGTGGTCTCTTTGCCAAGTGGGCGTTGTGAAGCAGTTGCAGCCCAGCAGTCTGGTACCATTGCTGACTTGAAAGTAGCTGCGCAACAGTCTTTGGGGCAAGGATTCCTGAGACTTGCAACACCTGATGGGCGTCTTTTAGATCCAACAGAATCTCTTCTGCTTTCCGGGCTTCAGAATGGAGACAGCCTTACTGCTGTTGCACAGCAGCCAAAGATAGCTGCAACTTGGTATGCGTTTGCTTTGTGGTGTGTTGGAGGAGACAGAATTGTCACGTGGGGTGATCCAGACGAGGGCGGTGACAGCTCCAGTGTCCAAGACAGGCTCAGGAATGTCCAGCAGATCAGTAGCACATATTGTGCTTTCGCTGCGATTTTGGCAGATGGAAGCGTTGTGACATGGGGCCATCCAGACAATGGTGGTGACTGCTCCAGAGTCCAGGATCACTTGAGGAATGTGCAACAGATTTATGGCACATTCGGTGCTTTCGCTGCCATTTTGGCCGATGAATCTGTAGTGACGTGGGGCGATCCAGATGTTGGTGGTGACAGCTCCGGTATTCAGGATCAGCTGCGGAGTGTTCAGCGCATTTCTTCCACGACATATGCATTTGCTGCAATCCTGGCAGATGGAAGTGTGGTGACCTGGGGCGATCCAGACGAAGGTGGCGACAGCTCCAGAGTCCAAGATCAGCTCACGAATGTCCAGCAGATCAGTGGCACAGATGGTGCTTTTGCTGCGATCTTGGCAGATGGAAGCGTCGTGACATGGGGCGATCCAGACCATGGCGGTGACAGCTCCAGAGTCCAAGATGAGCTCAAGAATGTTTGGCACATTTGTGGCACACACCATGCTTTTGCTGCGATTTTGGCAGATGGAAGCGTTGTGACATGGGGCCATCCAGACAATGGTGGTGACTGCTCCAGAGTCCAGGATCACTTGAGGAATGTGCAACAGATTTATGGCACATTCGGTGCTTTCGCTGCCATCTTGGCCGATGGAACTGTAGTGACATGGGGCGATCCACAACATGGCGGTGACAGCTCCGGAGTCCAAGATCAGCTCAGGAATGTCCGGCGGATTTGTGGCGCCGCTGATGCTTTTGCTGCAATCTTAGCAGATGGAAGTGTGGTGACATGGGGCAATCCAGCCTGGGGCGGTGACAGCTCCAGAGTCAATCAGCTGACGGATGTCCAGCAGGTTAATGCCACATTGGCTCCAGGACAGGATTCCTTAACTGGTGCTTTTGCCGCCATTTTAGCCGATGGATCGGTCGTGACATGGGGAGATCCAAACTCTGGTGGTGCCAGCTCCATGGTGCAAGATCAGTTCAGGTACATCTAGGCGCATGTCAGTGTAAAATGGCTGCTCGATTTGCCCAGTGTTTCTCGTGAGCCATCGGTGCCAGCACCTGTAAGGTGCTGTGCGTTCATGGCCATTTCGGATTGATGATGACTTTGACAATCATTTTAAAATGGTGGTTTTGAACAACTTCACATTGAATCGCTGTTAGAAAGCTGTCAAAACCATTGAAAGCGTTCGCTGAAGATGTCATTTTCGATAACTTTTCCAAGACTTAGCACTTTTTTTTCAAGTCACGGGGCCGCCTCAAACTTTATTTTTGCCATATTGTGGCACAGGTCAGAGAAGTCTAGAGAAGTTCTTGTGACGTAGCATCAACTACTTGATATACAACGGAAGTGCAAGCATGTTATTGCCCCAACCCCCCCAAGTGTATGACGTAGGCACAGGAAAAGTACCTTAAGTACGCAAGTGCAAGGACGTTATTGCCCCAACCCACCCCCCAACCACCAGCCCCACCCCAAGACGTAGTAGACAAGTATATAAGCAATGGAGCAAAAAGGACAGGAGCACGGCACATTATAGGCGCAGGCACCTAAAACATGTCAAAACGTAGACAGTATCTAACCGGTTAATGGGGGTTATAAACCAACAGAACTGGGGCGCACCACCATGTTCATGTTGGTCGCTTAGTCTTGGAACTGCCAAGTGGGCTACGGAAGATGAAAGTTCATTCAGTCTACTTCTATTTGTCCCAAACACAGTGTGGGAAACCAAATAACAAGGAATCCCCAAGTGGGAAATGGCCCCCAAATGCTTGAGAGTTCGATTTACCCGATCATAATCTATGTTTGTTAAACCCCCATGCACCTGCATCCTCAAAAAAAAGATGAACAACCGGCCATTTCCAGAGCGGTTTCTTCCGTGAAATGAGCGTGGATACCCCGGGGAATCACAGACGCTTACATACCTGTCCTGCCGACAAATATGTGTTTTCTACTTGAAGTAAGGATTAAGAATTAAAGTCAGAATGAACATAATTCCAACCAAAAAACATGCTATGAACAGTAAAGAAAACTTACTATGAGCACAAAATAGCACAAACAACTAAGCATATAACACCACAAAACGATATCAAGTCACATAAAAACAACAAATAACACTATATAAAAGCTTTCAAGACCGTTAACAGTGGCTCCATAAATCATAACTAATTCTATATATACATATCAGACCACAAAGGGATAAATTAACAACGAACCAACTAAATAGATAGATATACGGTACCTAATATATAATTACACATCACCTGAGATACATCAACTATACGTAGAGCATCATAAATAAATATATATACATATATTATATATATATATACCCTGTGGTTATTTAACGTAGCTATGGGAAATCACCATTTTTAATAGGTAAATCATCATGTTTATCATCTATTCTAGGGGCCATGGCTTCCATAGCTATGCTGGTTGGTGGTTTGGAACATTTTTTATTTTTCCCATCATATTGGGAATGATCATCCTAACTGACTTGAAAGTATTTTTCAGAGGGTAGGTATACCACCAACCAGAAACCTATGGTGACTTGGGGATCCACCATGTTAAGAACCCCCCCATATATGATATTCAATTAGAACACCATCATGGTGGATGGTTGTGGGATGAAACCACGTTGAATAACTATAGGGTATATATTTGGTTGGTGAACCCATATAATAACCATATAATAACCATATAATAACCATATAATAACCATATAATAACCATATAATAACCATATAATAACCATAGAAGAACCATAGAAGAACCATATAATAACCATATAATAACCATATAATAACCATATAATAACCATAGAAGAACCATATAATAACCATATAATAACCATAGAAGAACCATATAATAACCATATAATAACCATATAATAACCAAGAACCATATAATACCATATAATATACCATATAATAACCATATAATAACCATATAATATACCATATAATAACCATAGAAGAACCATATAATAACCATATAATAACCATATAATAACCATATAATAACCATATGTTAACCATATAATAACCATATAACCATATAATAACCATATAATAACCATATAATAACCATATAATAACCATATAATAACCATATAATAACCATATAATAACCATATAATAACCATATAATAGCCATATAATAACCATAGAAGAACCATATAATAACCATATAATAACCATTTAATAACCATATAATAACCATATAATAACCATATAATAACCATATAAGAACCATAGAAGAACCATATAAATAACCATATAATAACCATATAATAACCATAGAAGAACCATATAATAACCATATAATAACCATATAATAACCATATAATAACCATAGAAGAACCATATATTAACCATATATTAACCATATAATAACCATATGATAACCATATAATAACCATATAATAACCATAGAAGAACCATAGAAGAACCATATAATAACCATATAATAACCATATAATAACCATATAATAACCATAGAAGAACCATATAATAACCATATAATAACCATATAATAAGCATATAATAACCATAGAAGAACCATATAATAACCATATAATAACCATAGAAGAACCATATAATAACCATATAATAACCATATAATAACCATATAATAACCATAGAAGAACCATATAATAACCATATAAGAACCATAGAAGAACCATATAATAACCATATAATAACCATAGAATAACCATATAATATACCATATAATAACCATATAATAACCATATAATAACCATATAATAACCATATAATAACCATATATTAACCATATATTAACCGTTATTAACAGTATATAAACCACCAACCATATATATCTCACCTGGTCACAGCATGGACAAATTCACCTTTTCCTCCCACGGCTCCGAGGTGGTCGAGTCGGATCCCCCCAGGGACGACGCAGCTGAGGAGGAAAAACAGAGGCGCTGGCGGCTGCGTTGGGATTTGCAGCTGATTTATAGCTCAGTGGACGCACAAATATCTTGGTGAATTCTATGGTTGAGAAAGGGGATATGACTACATTATATATAAAGATGAAAATGATATATACATGATATATATATAATAAAGAACATCATTGATATATTCTATATATAATAATTGACTATGGTTCATGGGGTTTCTTTTCAGAACATCACTTTTTCGGGGGCCTCACCTTGGGGTCTCAGGAGATCAGGGGATCTGGGGGGATCAGGTTTTGAAAATCCCAAATCGCATTGGTGGGCCTGGCACCCACAAAATTGTTGATACCCTCTGGTAAATAAACATAGACCCTGAAAATAGCCCATGTTTAATGGAAACTAGTCTTCCAACCCCTATCTGCCAGGGTCTATGTTAATTTACCAGAGGGTAATATATATATAATATATATTACATCTGTTTAAATCTCTTTTTTGGCTGGTTATATAATTATATATAATTATATAACCCAAAAATGGTGCTTGCTCGAAGCCTCCTATGATCATCCACAACTAGCAGCGAAATTTCGGCGTTACGATTTGGGGGTGCCAAGGCTTCTCATTTTGTGACACGATCACAAGAGCAATATGAGCCATGAAGAATACTTCTGTTAATAAGCATGGCCCCAACCCATTATAGGTAAATGATAGCTACCTTTGGGTGGTGAAAACCACTTAGGAAAATGAGATGGGATAGGGGTATTTTTGACTAGAAGACTGTGGTGACCTTTGGGAATCTTTGTACATGAGAACCCATCATATCCCGCTATTAGATACCCATAGTGGCGAAACCGCTACAGTATCAAACACTAGCACAATATCATTGGTACCTATATTAAAGCGTGCATATATATATATACACATACATGTTTTCATATACACACATATACACATACATGTTTTCATTTAACAATAAAACACAATACATACATATATATATACATCATAATTACATCCATAAGTTTTCTTGGTCGCAAATCATGTTCAGTCTTTATGCTTAAATGGCTTAAATCACCATTCTCAATTCTTAAATCCAGATCGTTGTTTTCGGAAGGTGCCTCGGTTGTGCACGCGAAAGCCGACTCAGTTGTGCACGCTGATGATGATGATGATGATGATGATGGTGATGATGATGCTGATGATGATGATGATGATGATGATGCTTGTAATGAAGTTAAGCAACGGGTGTGGCTGGTAGATCCTACCCTTTTCTTCCCTAGCCCCACCCCACCCCCCGAGGTTGAAGTGTGATGGTAAGTCGAAGAAAGTCGAGTAGCGGCTGTGTCCCTATAGTGATGTTAAGCAACGGATGTGGCTGGTAGATCCTACACTTTTCTTCCCTAGCCCCACCCCACCCCCAAGGTTGTGTGTACAGGTGAGGCAATTTTGTGTGCGCAAGTGACTCGCCGACCGTTGTGTGCTGCCCAGATGATGGTACACTAGCCTGCAGGAAGCAGTCCCCAAACGGTAGGTAAGATTGTTTCCAGGCTAACGACTGAAAGTATGGTGGATATATATATATATACACGTACGTATATATACACATTTATAGCTAGTTGGGGTAACATAAAGCAACTTATACTGTAACCAATTTTGGGGTGTATCCACCATATATCCAGCATTATTCAAATATTCATTAAATCACTACCACTGATGGTTATGTCCCATTATTTCCCGTTATTTTCTTATTAAATCCCAAATTATATCATATATATATACACACTCCCACATGGTATCCCATCTCAATCCCAGTTTTTCGTATTAGTTACAGTATTTCATGAAAATCCACCATATAGATAGATGGATGGATGGATGGATGGATGGATGGATGGATGGATGGATGGATGGATGGATAGATAGATAGATAGATAGATATATCCATTAAATCCCCATAAAATATCACATCCTGAAGATTTTTGAAGCCAACCACCCCGTGCGCCCCGCAGGTTCCGACGCCTCTTCGAGGAGGTGACGTTGCGCCGGCGGCTCTGTCGCCAGCTGCCGGGGACCTCGGCCGACTCGGCCGCGTCTCGCCGGGGGCGCGTTGCGCGAGCGAAGACATGGTGGGAAAACGGAGATTTCAAGCCATTCTAAGCAGTAAAAATGGGGATTCTAAGCAGCAAACATGGTGTTTTTAAGCAATAAAAATGGTGATGAACTTCAAAAACTTGGGATTTTACCAGCAAAAATTGAGATTTCATCAGAAAGACTAATAAACCTGTAAACAAATCGTGTTTTTTCCCATGAAAAGTGATGGTTTCACTAGCAAAACAACTGTGGTTCAACCAGCAACATTTGGAGTTAAAACAACGAACAATTCGGATTAAGCGACAGACATTTATTTTTTGATGGTTAAACCTTGGGGTATCCTTCAAGCCACCTTGCCAGTCACCACCAGAATCCTCAAACATTTTTGGTACTGGCCCAAGATTCACATTCACTATCCACTGTCACTGTGGGTGAGATGAGAAACCAATGTGAACCAGATCCCAAATCCCATGTTTTATCATTTTATGATCATTTTCCCTATTTCTATTGCCATTTTGGGCACATTCTCCGTTCTCACGCAAACCCACAAACCCTTTGGTTGATTCTACCTGGCGGCACAATTTTTTCTTTGAAATAATCCATGAATCCCAGGGTTTTTACGTTGCATATTTTCATCGCTGAAATATCCACATCCCAACAATTTTCGGCAGGTTCGGTGAACTTTCTAGTTTGCAGTATAGACAGCCAGTGCCAATGATTGCCATGATTGGCAGGTTAGATCAACAGCAACAACATTTGGCGCCAATGGCACGTGTTCGCCAATCCAAATTGGATTGTGTTGGTTGACCAGATCCCTTTTCTGTGGCTTGAAGCTCCTGCTCCATGAAATGAATGCATTCTCTTGCCATTCTATTGTGCCCCCTTTCAACTAAAATTTACCTTTTCTTAGAGCCATGAGATCTTGAGGGTGAACACACCCAGTTGTGATCCCCTATCAATCTCAGTTTCCCTTGGATCCAGGGTTTCGCAGATCCATTTCCATATGATTCGAACCCCCTGTGGTTGAAGGTGGTTGAAGGTGGTTGAGCTACTACGGAACCCCCGAAGTTTTTTTTAGGCTCTAAACCAATCCATTGAAATGCGCTCAGCTTGAAATAAGGCCAGCAATTCCTAATCGTCTGCTGAAAAAGCCGTTGATTTTCTATCAAACCAATCCATGAAGAAACACTCAGATGGTCAAAACCCCTGTGGTTTCCAGCCCAAAGATCATAAAAAATCCCCAGCCAATCTCCAGAAATGCTGAGGTTAAAGAATATCCAGACTGCCTTGCAATGTAGTGAAGTCCTACAGGTCGCCTCGCGGGATTTTTTGGTGGCGAAAAAAACCCAGTGATGTTTTTGGAGCAACAAATGCAACCGATTAGGACGAGTGACGAGTGTATCACTCGGTTTTTTCCGATACAAAACATCAGTCCTTAAAAAAAGGGATATACATATTAGGGCAAACATCATTTCGCACATGTATGATTTACTGTGAGAAGCGATAGGGTGCCTTGAAGATTGATATCACACCAAAGAATTAAGTTCCCACTGCGGCCAGCGATAGGGACCTTGAGGAGCGATACCCCTCAAATTGATGACCATAGAATTGGGTTTGTTTGTTTTTTTTTCAAAATGTGAGAAAAACATCCCTGGGAGGATACTCCCAAATTGATCCATAAATATCCTCCTGGGAATTTAGCTTAAAAAGTTCAGGACATGATGTCTTTAAAAAACTGCATTCTTTAAGGGACATACCTGGCCGGCAAAAAAAACAGTTCTATTTTTTAAGGAAATCCTGTTGTTTGACGGTCTCCTATTCTTTAAGAGGCCTTCCTTGGATCCTCCTGGGAATTTAGCCTAAAGAGTTCAGGACATGATGTCTTTAAAAAACTGCATTTTTTAAGGGGCATACCTGGCCGGCAAAAAAAAACAGTTCTATTTTTAAAGGAAATCCTGTTGTTTGACGGTCTCCTATTCTTTAAGAGGCCTTCCTTGGATCCTCCTGGGAATTTAGCCTAAAGAGTTCAGGACATGATGTCTTTAAAAAAATGCATTTTTTAAGGGGCATACCTGGCCGGCAAAAAAACAACAGTTCTATTTTTTAAGGAAATCCTGTTGTTTGACGGTCTCCTATTCTTTAAGAGGCCTTCCTTGGATCCTCCTGGGAATTTAGCCTAAAGAGTTCAGGACATGATGTCTTTAAAAAACTGCATTTTTTAAGGGACATACCTGGCGGGCCAAAAAAAACAGTTCTATTTTTAAAGGAAATCCTGTTGTTTGACGGTCTCCTATTCTTTAAGAGGCCTTCCTTGGATCCTCCTGGGAATTTAGCCTAAAGAGTTCAGGACATGATGTCTTTAAAAAACTGCATTTTTAAGGGACATACCTGGCCGGCCAAAAAAAACAGTTCTATTTTTTAAGGAAATCCTGTTGTTTGACGGTCTCCTATTCTTTAAGAGGCCTTCCTTGGATCCTCCTGGGAATTTAGCCTAAAGAGTTCAGGACATGATGTCTTTAAAAAACTGTATTTTTTAAGGGACATACCTGGCCGGCAAAAAAAAACAGTTCTATTTTTTAAGGAAATCCTGTTGTTTGACGGTCTCCTATTCTTTAAGAGGCCTTCCTTGGATCCTCCTGGGAATTTAGCCTAAAGAGTTCAGGACATGATGTCTTTAAAAAACTGTATTTTTTAAGGGACATACCTGGCCGGCCAAAAAAAACAGTTCTATTTTTTAAGGAAATCCTGTTGTTTGACGGTCTCCTATTCTTTAAGAGGCCTTCCTTGGATCCTCCTGGGAATTTAGCCTAAAGAGTTCAGGACATGATGTCTTTAAAAAACTGTATTTTTTTATCAATTTTAAAAAATAATTTCTATCAATAAATTATGTCCACAATGAGGTTTAAAACATTCAGTGGGTCATTCTCAAGGTATTGGAATGAAATTTTGAAGTTTTTTTGTTCGATTTTTTTTTGTCAAAATATGTTGAAAAATGAGATTTCTATCCATAAATTCAATCCACAATGAGGTTTAAAACATTCAGTGGGTCATTCTCAAGGTATTGGAATGAAATTTTGAAAGTTTTTTTTTTCGTTTTTTTTTTCAAAATATGTTGAAAAATGAGATTTCTATCCATAAATTCAATCCACAATGAGGTTTAAAACATTCAGTGGGTCATTCTCAAGGTATTGGAATGAAATTTTGAAAGTTTTTTTTTGTTTTTTTTTGTCAACATATGTTGAAAAATGAGATTTCTACCCATAAATTCAATCCACAATGAGGTTTAAAACATTCAGTGGGTCATTCTCAAGGTATTGGAATGAAATTTTGAAAGTTTTTTTTCTTTTTTTTTTTGGTCAAAATATGTTGAAAAATGAGATTTCTATCCATAAATTCAATCCACAATGAGGTTTAAAACATTCAGTGGGTCATTCTCAAGGTATTGGAATGAAATTTTGAAAGTTTTTTTTTTTCGATTTTTGTTTGTCAAAATATGTTGAAAAATGAGATTTCTATCCATAAATTCAATCCACAATGAGGTTTAAAACATTCAGTGGGTCATTCTCAAGGTATTGGAATGAAATTTTGAAAGTTTTTTTTTCGGTTTTTTTTGTCAAAATATGTTGAAAAATGAGATTTCTATCCATAAATTCAATCCACAATGAGGTTTAAAACATTCAGTGGGTCATTCTCAAGGTATTGGAATGAAATTTTGAAAGTTTTTTTTTCCGATTTTTTTTGTCAAAATATGTTGAAAAATGAGATTTCTATCCATAAATTCAATCCACAATGAGGTTTAAAACATTCAGTGGGTCATTCTCAAGGTATTGGAATGAAATTTTGAAAGTTTTTTTTTCGATTTTTTTTTGTCAAAATATGTTGAAAAATGAAATTTCTATCCAAAATCTTAAAAATATTCAGAACATTTCATGCTTGACTTCAACTTGGGTATCCAATTCTTTAAAGGGGCACCCCTTGGTGTGCAACTTGGGTCTCCAATTTTTTAAAGGGACATACCTGGCTACTGTGTTGCAATCTTGGTTCATTGGGGTTAGATTCTTTAAGGCTGAAATTTGCCCTGGTTCGCATTCTTTAAGAGGCTACCAGTGGTCCCTTAAAGATTCAGGGGTCAGGGTCGGAGGCCGAATTGCAAGGGGGATCATAAATTGCCAATTACTAGTACTGTATATAATAATCATAATAATAGTAATAATAATAATCATAATAATCATAATAATCATAATAATCATAATAATCATAATAACCATAATAACCATAATAATCATAATAATCATAATAATCAAAATAATCATAATAATCATAATAATCATAATAATAATAATCATAATAATCAAAATAATCATAATAATCATAATAATCATAATAACCATAATAATCATAATAATCATAATAATCATAATAATCATAATAACCATAATAATCATAATAATAATAATAATCATAATAATAATAATCATAATAATCATAATAATCATAATAATCATAATAATCATAATCATAATAATCATAATAATCATAATAATCATAATAATAATAATCATAATAATAATAATCATAATAATCATAATAATCATAATAATCATAATAATCATAATAATAATAATCATAATAATCATAATAATCATAATAATCATAATAATCATAATTAATAATAATAATAATAAGAATTAATAATAATAATATATATATATATACATTAAACGATGGCGACCATGATTTCAACATTGGGTTCCCATGATGGCAACCTGCTGCAATTCCCGGCCGGACGTCCAGGGCCTGGCCGGCATCTTCCAGGGGCAGCTTACAGATGCCCTGAAGCTGGCCGTCAAGGCCGGGCCGGGTGGATTTAACGAAGAACCAATGGGAATTTCATTGAAGTGTTGGTATATGATATACAAATGATAGGTGAATATATATATATATGATGTATCTAAGTGTATCTATATATCTATATCTATATCTGTACATATATATATGTATTATTTGATATCTATGTGATAAATGATAGGTAAGTTGGTGATTTCACTAGGCTAACGATTGGATCTATGGTGTGGATACGTATTTTTACATGGGGATATAGCACAACTTCTGGCTGGGGTGGCGCTACACAGACCGCGAGTTTTTCACTGTTGAACTGTGCGACTTGGCTTTCGGAATGAGTGGTACCCTTTGGTAACTTAACAGAGCTATGGAAAATAGCCGTGTTCGTGGGTAGATCAAATCATCTATAAAGTTGGAGAATCCAACAAAAGTTGTATAATGTATACATACATATATATATATTCATATATATATATATACAGATTATATACATAGCTACTTTTGACTCATTTCCAGAATCATGATGCCAGCTCAACACCAAAACAGGCACCCATGAAGATGGGTCTTCAGCTCTTTGGCACCGCCATCGACATCGTCTCCAGCTTCATTCAAGACGCAGCTGGGCCAAGCGTTGCCACCTGGGGAGGCTGGCTGGTGGTGCCCCAGTTGTGTCTGTTGGTTAACCATAGGAAGTGGTTAGAAAAAAATGGTTAACCAACAGACACAACCCAAAAAAAAAGATCTAACTGATATCGGAAGTGGTTCATAATGGTTAACCATTATTATATATACATCAGAACACCAGTTAAATTGGAGGTATCAACTTGAACTGAGCTAACGAACTGGGGTACCACCATGGTTTGGGTTTGGGTCATAAGTTTAATTTTATTGGTACACATATAGAAATCCGAATCAATCGTACACATAATTGTTCACACGTTTGAACCGAACAATAAATAGCTGGGTTTCACCCCACACAACAACGTCCTCAATTATTGGTAGGTCAACTCCTTGATCTTTCACATGCCCTTGACTCAACGTGGTTCCTGCTTGGGTGTGCATCGCAGGAATCCTAATTGCTCAAACGACCTAGATCCTGATCCCAAAACCAATGTATTCATGGGACAACTCCCCACAGAACCACGGTACCACGCCTGAGGATCCCTCAAGAGTTCCTCAGATGATTGAGAGCGAAGTACTGCACCTTGTCGAGGAATTGCCGTGTCGCTACGTTCTTCCTTAAATTTTCTGAAAGTGACATCAGGAGGGCCCCATTTTACCACGTTCCTGGGAATGCGGAATAATATCAAAGTATGGACTTTTTTAAATATAATTTTGTATGATTAGGTTCGAATGTCTTGCCATATCTCCCAAGAACATAAAGCGCGAATAATATTTTTTGAAATCATCAGTACTTAGTCATGCAAAATTTGGCAGGGTGTTGACTCTTTGACCCCTCGAAATTGGATTTATATACATGATCAGAATCACCAAACTTGAAATATCCTGGAATATACACCAAACATTGGCAACTCGAAATGATGAACAAGTGGGATTTTTACATGAGTTTACCTCCAAAGTGGAAGGTTTTCACCCAACATGGGATATATGACGGCCTTGGCAGCGAAAAAATGGTTGTCAGAACTGGGGATTTCATCAGTCGATGTAAGTTGGCTAAGCATCATTTTTTATATATTTTTACATGGCAACAAAAATGATTTGTGTTCTGGTGGGATTATGCAACAGCAAACATTCCCTTACAAAATGGAGCATCATGGGTTTTGAAGATAAGTTATCCAAAAATATCAGATATCAACATGTCAGAGGAAAATCCCCATTTTTCAGTCACTATCTCTAGATTTTTTGCGACTTCCACAGCGAGGCCCGAGATCATGGGAGCCCTTAACAAAGATACCCTACGAAGTCTGGACGCCCAGTGCGGTAGATGGAGCTCTTGGACCGTGTTGAAATCATGGGGCAGCTGCTGTTCCAGCCGATGTTCGATAGTAGATATTGGTGGCTGTCAAAACCCATGGAATCCCCTTTTTTGTTCACATCAAAATAGCTGGGTTAAAATGGATGTGAATCACCCCCTAAAAATGGTATTTTCATAGGTATTGATCCATAGATATTGGTAACCCACGCAATGTTGATGGGATGTTGATCTTGAATATGATTGGCAAGTGCATAGTATTTACTATGCACTTAAGCCAATCATCAGCAAACAGATCAAACAGGTTTATATGAATCCCGGATTGATAGTCGTTATTTGGTCGTTTAAAAGAATAGGTTTGTCGAATGAATAGGGTACCCCAAATCCAACAGGTTACCATCATGTTCCAGGCCTGCGTATCCACAATGGTCCAAAGATTCGTATCAAGTCCCAGTTTGACAACATATTAATACATATTATCATATTACACTTAAATCAAAAGATAAATCCAGATATAGATGTGTTTATTATGTGTTTATATGTGTTTATCACAGTATAAAACCACATTTTTTCCACTTTCGATGTGTTCCACCTTAAAAAACCTGTGGTTTTTCCACGGCAGGTCTGGCCGAAGTCGCCGAGGTGTGGAATCGCTCAACTTCGTCCCTGGCCTGTTATCGTCCATCGCCCTTCATTCAGTCGGGGAGCCAAGGGCATTCTGAATTGGGCTTTCCCAGCAAAAGCAACTTTTGGGGATTTGAACCGCGAACTTCATCAACATCACTGGTGACATGTGGTGACTGGAACATTGGTGAAATGTATGGGGTAATGATGGTGAATGATGGTTAATAATGGTTAATAATCACTGATTAAGGTGGTGACTGGAACCATGGAATTTTATGACTTTCCATTCAGTTGGGAATGTCATCATCCCAACTGACGAAGTCATATTTTTCAAGATGGTTAAAACCACCAACCAGATCAATTATGTTTTTTTTGTCCCACTAAAAGTTGGATTTGACTTGCGCAACATTTTGGATTCTACCAGCTTGCGCATGTGGCTTTCCACGAACATCGGCATTTCACTGGGGTGTTGTTCTCAACGACGAATGTTTTGTGATGAAAATCAAGGTTTACCCTCTGGTTATGACTAACATAGCCATGGAAAATGGTCCATTTACAGATGGTTTACCTATTGAAAATGGTGGATTTTTCCATGGCTATGTTAGTCATAACCAGATGGTTCGTTCACCATTCCCAGTTTTCAAATGGGACGATCCTAGCAATGCATAGCGTCCGGTAAACATGGCAAAGATCAAATAGATGGGCTAAAAAATGGGAAAGTCATGAACACAAATAAATGGCCGGATTAGAAACAGCACGCCATGTTTGAAGAACCGGCTAGCTGGGTGAATTTGTAAACGTATCATGGATCCAAAGTCCTCAATGTAGCCCTTCCATAAACTTCTGAAATCCTTGGGGAATGTGGATTTTTTAACCTCCCATGCTTCGGGGGGTTCCATTTTTGATCGACGAAGTTCGGTGGACTGCACAAGGTGCAGGATGCACATCTGCTCACTGCTATTTTTTTTTAAAACTGATCATTCATGCATCCCATCTTGACGAATTATATCATATTAATTGATTCATATTTATGTCCCCATATGGCCACGGATCAATACCAATAGATACAATTTTCAGGATTTTTATGTGGATGAACATCCATTTACCAGCTATATAACTGACTTAATACAGCCTTTTCCCAGCTAAGCTTCAGCTCCTACGACCAGCTGTTGGGATCAGTCCCCATCGTGGTTCACGGGATCCAGAAGTAAGATCCCTCTATCTGGTGAAAAGAACATCTAATGACTAATCTTACACTGGTTGGTGGTTTCAAACATTTTTTATTTTCCATAATATATGGGATAATCCTTCCCATTGACTAATATTTTTCAAGATGGTTAAAACCACCAACCAGTACATAACCATAGATTTATGAGAAGTTCTGGGGACAGACTGGAGGTACTAAAACCAATGGTTTTTGCAATTCATCCTCATTTTATCCTCATAACCTTAGATCCAATTTCTTGTGGATTCTGCAGCTGGCAAAACATCACCATTTCTTGGGGGTGAAGCAAGTGCAGCCCAGGTGGGGGAAAACTTCATCCTCTCTTGGCCCAACAAGTGACTCGGAGATGTCCTTGGTTTCCATCGTCATGGGGGTACCCCAATGGTTTGGGATGGTTTGTAATGGAAAATCCTATGAGAATCCCATGAAAATTAGGATGATTTGGGGGTATACTCATGATACACCTCATTTTAGGACACCTCCAAATAGATGAGGTTTCTGATTGATGGGTTTTTCTGGTTTGATCATATGATTTGGTAACTTTTCGAGAACACATCTCAACATGATTGAGGTTTCGCCAAGTTTCACCAAGAAATCGAGTTTTGGGGAACTCTCAAAACTCTGAACGAATGGACTGCGATATGGCTGCCTGGCAAAAAGGGTCAATATATGGTGGGCCCATGAAGAAATCCATGGCCAAATCCTGTGTGGACTGGTGGGCTGGTTTCGTATGTCATATGTCGGATGGGATACCAGTGGAATGGGGTCGACCAGGAATGGGGGTTGAGGGGGGTCTCTTGAGGGTGTCCCAGAGACGCAAGGCTAGGCCGCTAGGCCTCATCCGCAGTTTCGGAATGGCACTGCACTTCTTTTGAAGTCGCTGAAGGGTCACTACTCGGTGGTACTCCCATTGTTGGTTGGTTACTTTTCATGTTCTTTCACTACTGAAATCTCCATTTGAAAATGGCTAGTGGACAACCATCCCTAGCAAAAAAAACATGCCCTGTTTCAGTAACATCCGAATCTTTGACCAGTTCCAGCCCCATTCCCTGTGTGATTTCCACTTTCATTTGGCTCTATCCCTCCTGTTCATGAGGTATATGATAGGCTCCATTATGGAGGTTTCCTGAGTCATGGGAGTAACCCCAAATCATCCATTTTAGATTGGGATTTTCCATGAAATAAACCATCTATTTTGGTGTATCCCCATTTATGGAAACCCTTCTTCATTAACCATTACTATTAACCATTATGGTAATAATAACCATGTATAATAATAGTTTTTGGTGTATCCCATTCTTTCCCTTCTTCATGGCTTACTTCACTGTTTGAGCGATTGAAAATGCGCGTATGTTGGCTGTTATACTGGGCTATACCACCTGGTTTGAGAGGATTTGTGAACCCTACCATACTTATGGTAGCCGGCTTAAACCCACTTTACCACTGTAACCCTGGTTTGACCATGGGATTGTGATAATATTGTTATCAATAGTCATTGCTCTTAATATTCTCGTTAGTTAACTGCATTACATATAATTATATAATATTAATTAAGAACTATTATGATATACCATCTGGTTATTTAACAGAGCCATGGTATAGATGGCCCATTTATAGATGATTTTCCATGGCTATGTTAAATAACCAGAGGATACCTTAGAAGTTCATACAGATTAACACACTTAACTCTACCTACCAACCTGATCTTCGCACTGTACTATTTTGTCAGTGATAGTCCGAGAATAAAATGGTAGAGTTGCACGTAGTAATCCACTATTACAATGTGGGCCCCCAAGATAGGTAACTTGGTTTGTAACTACAATAACTAGGATTTATGGTGGATATATCCACAGTTGAATGGGTTCATAAGCAAGCTTATACCAAGAGTAGTTAAATGATGCAAATATTGGGAATACTATTGGTCTACATTACCGATATATCATTATAGATCCCCAACATTACCAATGCAAAATGCCAATAGTTGGCTGGTTGGTGGTTTGGAACATGAAATTTATGACTTTCCATTCACTTGGGAATTTCATCATCCCAACTGACTTTCATATTTTCCAAGATGGTTAAAACCACCAACCAGATAAATTATGTTTCAGAGGGGTAGGTCAACCACCATCCAGGATTATCACTAACCATCATTAACCATTATTATTAACCATCATTAACCATTCTTATTAACCAACATTAAGCATTATTATTAATCATCATTAACCATTATTATTAACCATCATTAACCATTCTTATTAACCATCATTATTATTATTACCATAGGTCAACCACCATCCAGTTGCTAATGATACTCCTAAAATCGCCACCCTTATGGCTCCACTTCCTGTGATTTAGGCTGACAGGACTTGGATGGACTTGGATTGGATCACTTGGATCTGTTCCCATCACTTGGATACCCTGAAGATACCCAGAAAATACCCGTTCTGTACTTAGATAACCATCAGATACCCATGAGATCTCATAAAAAACTATAAAATCACTATAAAATCCCCATAAATCCCCTATTTGTTGATGGTTAGTTCCCAAAAGTCCCGAGTTTCGAATCCTTCCCCACCGCCCCTCACCGCTCCAAGGCCCGTGCAGCTCTTGACAGAGGCCTTCATCGACGTCAGCTACGCGGGCATGATGCACACGCAGCCGGAGCGGGGCACGCGGAAGTCGTGAAGTTTCCTGAAATAGGGGTACCCCCAAATCATCCATTTTAACAAGATTTTCCATCATAAACTCGAAATTTGGGGGTTTCCATAAATGGGGTACCCCTTTATCGCTGGATTTTTTTTTTTTCAGGGAAACATCCTTTTTTTAAATGGATGATTTGGGGGTACCCCCATGACTCAGGAAACCCCCATGGATGATGGAGCTAAAAGTCTCAAGAGATCCAAGAGATCCGGATAAAATTCGCCGAGCCGCTTAATGGGATCCTGATGATTTTTGGCGATATGATTCGATAGTGTGTATTGATATACAAATGGTATCTTATACTATGGTAGATTATGGTATATTAAATTATATCTGTAGTGGAAATCACATTTTTAACATTAATTAATTAAAAACTAGTATGGTATACCATTTGGTTATGACTAACATAGCCATGGTATAGATGGCCCATAGAAATAGATGGTTTACCTATTAATAGCATGGTGATTTTCCATGACTATGTTAAATAGCCAGATGGTATTATATCTGTAGTATATCATATTTTTAACATGAAACGGTATATACAAATGGTGTATGGGTTGGTGTATGGATTGGTTAATTTTGTACATACTTCATTTATATCTTAACATTATGGCTAGTGAATGCTACTGGTATACTGACATTTATTATACATATCACAAACGGGGATAGCAATGATACTGAATGATATACTGGTATTGGTATATTATATCATCCTGGTTGCAATTTCCTCTACAGAATCGAGGGTGTTGGGACCCCAAAAACCTTCGATTCTGGAGAGCCAGTCTGAAACCCTACCGTGCTACAAAATCAAGGACCATGGGCTGGCAACCACCCAAGAACCACCAATTTTGATCATTTTTGGACTGTATCTTGGTAGGTCCCTGATTCTGTAGACATGTAAAGACAGGGGCCCCAACACTCAGCTGGGAGTGCACAAAACCTTACATTTTGGGTAAGGAACTGATTTTGGAGAAATAAGGCTGGTGATGTCCTAAGGTCTTTGATTTTGTAGTCAGAGCATGCTCATCAATGTCATACCTTCAGATCTTGATTCTGTAGTGGTGAGGGATGGTGAGAGGGAATGACCTTGATTCTGTAAAGGATGGGTCCCCTGAAACACCTGTTGCCCCATCATGTATGGGGTTTTGATTTTGTAGAGAGATGTCAGATGTAGAATGCAGGTTCTTGATTCTGTAGTAATATCATTTCCATAAGGCCATTTTTCTTTAGATCTATCAGATCTTGATTTTGATTCTGTAGTGGTGAGAGATATTTAGAGGGAACGACCTTGATTCTGTAGTGGGGTCATTTGGTTTCATATTGGGATAGCCTGCCATGGGTGTTGATTTGCACGGTCTCGCCGTGATTTCCTTCATTCAGCTATCAGGGGTGTTGACACCCCAAAAACCTTCGATTCTGTAGAGCCATCCTGCACCCCTACTTTGCTACAAAATCAAAGACCATGGGCTGGCAAGCACCCAAAAACCATCCATTTTGGACATGTTTGGATTGTATCTTGGTAGGCCCATGATTCTGTAAATGGGGGTCCCAACGTTGAGCAGAAAGTGCACAAAACCTTACATTTTGGTCAAGGAACTGATTTCGTAGACATAATGCTGGCGACACCCTAAGGTCTTTTGATTTTCTAGTAAAGCATGCCCCTCAATGTCATATCTTCATATCTTGATTGTGAGAGATGGTAAAAGGGAATGACCTTGATTCTGTAAAGGATAGTTCCCCGGAAACCCCTGTTGCCCAACATGTATGGGTTTTTGATTTTGTAGAGGGAGGTTAGATGTGAAAAATGCTGGTTAGTCTTCAATACCAGGGGTAGCCTTTGCAGTAGGAAAGGTTTACGTGGCAGCCAATCGTGGCCTTTACAAAATCATACACCAAGGTGTCACCCTCTACAAAATCAATCTCCAAGGGGGAACCACAGATTGGCCTCTACAAAATCAAGGTTCTATTTTATGAGCTCCAGGGTCCTGGGTTTTTGGAATTTTGAAGATGCCCCCGGCATTCCTGAGATTTTTGCCCTCAGAATCTTTAAGGGCCTACTTTTCGTGAGAACCCCTCAAAAGTTTATATATATATATATACTGGTAGGATTTCAGAATAAGGATTTTTGCTTGAGATTTTAGAGCCTGATTTTGTAGAGCAGATGTAGGGGGCCCACTTGTGAAAAGGTGAGACTTTGATTTTGTAGAGCGACCTATCTGAAGAAAACCTAGAAATTTTGATTTTGTAGAGAACATATGAGAAAAAGGCGGCAAAATCAAAAAGCAGACGCTTGGCCTTGGGACTTTGGAGGGGCTTGTAGCTACAAAATGAAAGGCAGGTACTTGGGACTTTGGATGGGGCTTGTAAAACTTGTAAACATTCATGCTTCAAAATCAAAGACCAACAAAAAATCTCTACAGAATCGACTCCAAACAAAATCTCTATAGAATCAACGTGGACGTTTGATCTCAAAAAGTGATGATTTGTGATGCCTTCAAATGTGAGGTTCTTGATTTTGTAGCACGTATGAATCTGCCTAAAGAAATGATGCTACAAAATCAAAGGCCGGTCATTTTGGACATCTTGGACTGACTTGTAAAATCTTGTAAAGGAACTCATGCTACAAAATCAAAGACTGGCCATTTTGGACATCTTGGACTGACTTGTAAAATCTTGTAAAGGAACTCATGCTACAAAATCAAAGACTGGCCATTTTGGACATCTTGGACTGAGTTGTAAAATCTTGTAAAGGAACTCATGCTACAAAATCAAAGGCTGGCCATTTGGGACATCTTGGACTGACTTGTAAAATCTTGTAAAGGAACTCATGCTACAAAATCAAAGACTGGCCATTTTGGACATCTTGGACTGACTACAAAATCAAAGACTGGCCATTTTGGACATCTTGGACTGACTTGTAAAATTTTGTAAAGGAACTCATGCTACAAAATCAAAGACTGGCCATTTTGGACATCTTGGACTGACTTGTAAAATCTTGTAAAGGAACTCATGCTACAAAATCAAAGACTGGCTATTTTGGACATCTTGGACTGACTTGCAAAATCTTGTAAAGGAATTCATGCTACAAAATCAAAGGCTGGCCATTTTGGACATCTTGGACTGACTTGTAAAATTTTGTAAAGGAATTCATGCTACAAAATCAAAGACTGGCCATTTTGGACATCTTGGGCTGACTACAAAATCAAAGACTGGCCGTTTTGGACATCTTGGACTGACTTGTAAAATCTTGTAAAGGAACTCATGCTACAAAATCAAAGACTGGCCATTTTGGACATCTTGGACTGACTTGTAAAATCTTGTAAAGGAATTCATGCTACAAAATCAAAGGCTGGCCATTTTGGACATCTTTGACTGACTTGTAAAACTTGTAAAATTTCATGCTACAAAATCAAAGACCAACAAAAAATCTCTACAGAATCGACTCTAACACAAATCTCTACAGAATCATCATTTGAGGTTTTAACTCAACAAGTGATATTTTTTGATTTGTTTTGATGCCTTCACATGTGAGGTCCTTGATTTTGTAGAAAACATGATTTTTTTTTGTCAGATATGAGGGCTGTGGAAGGATTTTGATTTTGTAGAAGGTAAATCCCTACCCTGGAGAGCAGAGATTGATTTAGTAGAGTGGCCACAGGGTACCTGACGTTGGGGCCCTCTACAGAATCGAGGGGTCCAGCACCCCCTCCCAAATTGCAAGGGGGATATTATATCTGTAGTATATCATTGTCTGGTTGGTGGTTTGGAACATTTTTTTATTTTCCATTCAGTTGGGAATTTCATCATCCGAACTGACGAACTCATATTTTTCAGAGGGGTAGGTATACCACCAACCAGTATCTGTAGTATATCATTGTAATTGAAGATCAAAAGATGGTTAAACCCAGTATCTGTAGTATACCAGTATCTGTCGTATATCATTTTTCAAGATGGTTTGCCAACCCCCAAGCAGATCATATCCAACCCCCATCTGAAAAACATGACATCTTCATCCAGGATGCCATTATCCACAGATTTTAAGATCGGGCTTGTGATATCCCAAGTTTCATTGATTTAGTACCTCTTAGATACTCTATGGATACTAAGTATGGATATTTTCTATAACTCATTTTTCTGTATTATAACGATACTCTATGGATCCAAGTGCCTTCTTAGAACGTGTTTGGGCTGTCTGAGGAGGTTGAATCCATGGGGAAATCAGCCACTTACCTTCTGGTAATTTAACGTGGCTAGTGAAAATGGCCCATCTTATAGTTGATTTACCTATATGAGTAACCAACAAATTAGCCGAAGACTGAAGCAGTATGGAGTGGACTTGGGATGTTCAAAGTTGTGTGAAAACCTTCACAACCGATAGGGGACCACCCACTTGCCGATACCCTATTTTTGCACATCGCATGGAAGTGCAAACGTTTACAACCGATACGGGACCACCCACTTTGGCCATGTCCATTGCGAGTAGAGTAGTAAGTAATTTTGTCCGCCACTCATATATTATAAGTGGTGATGTTCCATCGTTTTTTTGTGCGTTTCCCAGAGGGTAACTATCGTTTTTTGCGTCCGTTGTGCGCATGAGAAATCCCATGGGTTCTGCCGGCTCAGGAGCTCGTCCAAGTGATGGGCACGCAAGTGGAAAAGGCCGGCGGGTTTCAAAGGATCAAATATGGGATACGCCACCGTTGAGTTCGATGATTTGCCCTGCTCACCACGATTAAAATCCTGGATTTTTCGATGATTTTCCCATGGATTTTCTCTATGAAACCTCCATTTTTTCTAGGAAAGAAAACAATTTTTTAATGATTTTCAGATTGAAACCTCCATCTTTCTAGGGGATTCCCGGAGATTCTCGGTACCAGGTTCTCCGCAACCGCCCCGCGGGACCCACCAAGCTCACGGAACATGTGGGGAGCCCCACTGATGGCGAGAAAAATGGTGACTTAATATGATTTCATGGGATATATTGGTGACATATTTGGAGATTTCATGGGCTAAGGGGTAAATATATATATATATACATACAGTATATATATATAGAGCCCCTGGTAACTGAAGCACCATTTTTGAGAGGTAAAGCATGGAACGAAGTGGGCCGTGTTCGCCATCTTGGAGTTCTGGAGGGTAGCCATCCTCAATGTTTGGGTCAACATTGGGATTACCACGTGAACTTATGCAGAACAAAACTGGGGATGGGGGATCAACATGGGATATATGGATCCACAGATCCATAGCTATATTTTTTCAGGTGAATAGTTTTGAATGCCGAAGGCATGGAAACATGTTTCGGGTGGATGATTTTTCGCGTTGTTTGTGACCATGGTCACAAGCAACTCTGAATGTGTATTGGATCGTTTTTTTTTTCAGCCCGGTCGCATCATCCCCGTCTTGATCCTCGTCATTCTTGCTCGGATGGGGATTTAACATGCAATAAGCAAGAAAACTAGGGTCTTCACATGGTTCAACAAACTGGTGTTCAGAGAATCCCGCTCTTTGTGCCCCACAAAAAGACATGGAAATGGGATGACTACTGGGGTGGTGCGCCTTAGTGATCTGTTGCTTGAGCCAAAGTTTCATCAATGGAGTTCGCCGTGATGAGCCATGAATTTCGGGTCATTAATGGGCCCCTTCCTGGTTCAGGCATGCTTAGTGGCGACATTTCCAGAATTTGGAGTTCCAACATTGTTAAAAAAAAGGAAAAAAACATCAAACATGGACACCGAAGCATGGTTTACCCTCTGGTAAACTAACATAGCTATTGAAAATGGCGATTTATAGTGGATTTTCCCATAAAAAATTGTGATTTTCAGTAGTTATGTTAGTTTACCAGAGGGTACATGTTTTTACAGGGTTAACCACCAGGGCTGTCAGGGCTTTCCAATGGTTCAACCACCTTTTTCCGGATGGCCATCCGATGCCATCCGTCCAGGTCGTGGACTGCATGCTGGACACCATGCGACAAGTGGCGGATCAAGCCAAGGCAGTGGGATAAATTATCAACATGACAAGCAAAAAACGATGAGGATAGGGTGTGAGAAAATCATCCATATATAATATATATATATATATCTAATATTTATATAAAATATTTATATGTATATAATTACCCAATGCTTCCAAAGACTTTTCTTTAAATAGTCCCTGTTGCAAGAACATATTTTGCGGAGCCGCCTATTGGGATAATCATCTATAGTCTATAGTCAGATGACCCTTTTGATTGGATATGATTTGGCATAATCAATTGTAAACGGCCATGAAAAAACGGGATATGATTTGGGTTCCAAATGATAATCATTTGGAGCTACGAAGTCCTTGGGTAGGATGAAATAGGCAGAATGGATTGATATAACTCCATAGATGCTGGTCTTGGGGAATGAACAGAACAGCATGAGTAGCACGCAACTTACACGCGGGTGTGTGTTTTGTTTAGTATCCTCTAGTGATTTCAAATAGCTATGGAAAATCAGAGTGTTAATATATAGTATTATATGGATAAATCATCCATAAACAGGACATGTTACATAGCTATGTCAAATTACCAGAGACTACAGGACGTGTAAGGTGCCGATATTGTTAAGCATTCCATGGAATTTGACCATTGGGAAACATCGGGAATATGTGTGTAAGGTTCAAGAACCCAGATCATCAATATAAGTGGTTACCAGCAATGAACAACCCGGGTCAGAGGCAAGTCCCCTAGTTAGATAACTTCTCCACACCGCAAACAGAGCATTGTTTGCTTCATCATTGTTGCTAGCCTGTTTCCATCAACTTGATGAGTATCACACGTTATTTAACATCCATTCTGCGTTTGCTCAGTCGTCTTGCTTTGTTGGTCAACCCCCCATTCGTTGCAGGTCAATTTCCCCCAAATTTTCCCATCTGGCTTTGCCCAAGAATATAGAATTATTAATAATATATATTCTAAAACCCAGGTGGTTAATCATGTTAATCATAATTTTCCCATATTTTCCCCTGTGTTTAACGGCAATTTTGGGTGTGGAACCACCCTCCTAACGCCCAGGCCTACCCTGACTGGACGCCCTTAGACTTGGAGGTGCATCAGTCGTTTCTGATGTTTCTGCAGTGACCAAGTCCTTCAGATTTGGGTCAGTATCGGGGAACACAAGGTTTCTAAACAAGTCAACCTCCCAGCATTCTTGCTTCAGTCCCCATGTTCATTAGCTCAAGAAACTCGCGTTTGCTAGTTGCCATGGCTACCCCGAGCTTTCTTGCTCTTAGTTGCGCATCTTTTTTCTCCTATACCGGCGACGATGGTAGCTGGTGATTGCGCATCCATGATTGGCCGCCCTGGTTGTCCAGTTCCCTAGCTCCCATGGATGACTGTTTTTTTTTGGGACTATGGGTGTTGATCATTTACCTGCAAAAAAAAATCACTGGCTGGTGGTTTCAAACTTTTCCATTTCATTTTAGTGGGATGTCATCCCAACCCCATTGACTTTCACTCCATCATTTTTCAAGATGGGCACATTGCACCACCAACCAGATTATTCTTAACCATATAGTAACCATTAATATTCACCATTATTAACACTATATATCAACCACAATGGTAGGTTATTGCACCACCAACCAGATCAAAGATGGCCAGCCGGAAAATCATCAGCCATGTTGATTCCAGCTGTGTAAACCCCAGCCATGGCTCCGGTGATTTCCCCCATGTTTGATTGCCCTTTGGGTACCTTCCAAGGTCGGGCCCCCCCATCAAGCCTTACGGGAGTATATCGGGGGGCAAAGTTGATTTCTATGGTATATCCTCCGCTAAGCTATGGAAAATCATCGTTTCGATCCGTTGACTTCGATGATTTCTTCGGATGATTTTCCCAGTTACAACGCCATGGATGAGGGAATTCCCAGCTCGCCATGCTTGAACCAGGACCACACGGACTTCCTGCCGGATCGTTTGGCTCCGCTTTGTTGCGCGGCTGAGGGGAAAAATCGCGGATGTTGAAATCTGGATCATGAGAGTTCTTCAAATAAACCATCCAGAATGTTAAGGATCTTTACCTTGGTCTTCAAGAATGCTCAGATCATCCGAATTTCAGTGTTCTGGCCCATTACACAACAACATGAGACCATTCTGGGAATATGTTTGGGACGTGAAGAGTAGGGGTACAGGGGAACTCAAGGTTTCTGAGGACACACACACACACACTGTGGAAAAAAGAACATAAGGATACATGAGGAACGTACGATTGGGAAGGCCGGAAGGCCCTATCCTACACATGAAAATCAATTTTATTGCTTGTCTTAATGAAGTTTTTCATGTTTGCTGGCTTCAGGCCAGTTGACAAGGGCATACAGAGACATCCAAAATATTGATATGATATGACCAACAAAGGTTGGGAGATTATAGCCAAGAATGAGTGGGATGTATCCAGCAACCATATGCCAAAGGCCGGTTCGTCACAGGTTTGGACGTTTCTTTCAATAGCAGAAGTGTCAGGGTGTCAAACATGAAACGGACTTGCCCCCCGGAAAAAATCGATGGCAAGTAGTAAGTAGCAAGCCTAAAGTGGTATCTATTTAATTCCATTCATATGGATTTGATGTTGATGTCTGGATGTTTTTTCATGTTTTTTCCATGATTTACCCTCCGGTAAATTAACAGTTTGCGAACTTGAAAATGGCCCAGTCGACAGTTCGTTGATTTACCCATCAAAAAAATGGTTATGTCAATGTACCCTCTGGTTTTGTCAAAATAGCTATTGAAAATGGCCATTTATAGTGGATTTACCCATTAAACATGGTGATTTTCCATATAAATCACCATTTTCCCATGGTTTTCCCATGAAAACATGGTGATTTTAACCATCGTTTTTTGTATGTTTACCAGGCCGGGTTTCGTCGATTGCGTCGATTGTTTCGTCGATTTCACCATCTGAGGTCGCTTCTGCTGGTCCATCCTTTCCACCAACGAGGCGGCGCTGAAGTGCTTCCTGGAGAGGCCGGGAACAGGTGATTTTCTTTTGGGAATCCAAATGAACCCTGATTTTCTCTTTTTGTTGGGGATACCTTCTGGTAAACTAACATAGCTATTGAAAATGACCATTTATAGTGGATTTTCCCATTAAAAATGGTGATTTTCCATAGTTATGTTAGTTTACCAGAGGGTAAATCCATGCATTTCAAAGAGAATTCTTGAGGATGGATGAGTTATTCATCATTTGTTTCCGAGAATTGGATGAGATGACTCATGATGAGAATTCTTGAGGATGGAAGACTCTTTGAGGATGGATTTTTTTGTCTTGGTGGCTGGGTGTTTTTTCATGTTGCCCCATTGACAGATCAATCCGAAAAGTTCGTGGGTTGGGACCATTGGAAAGACTTGAAACCAGTAGACCATGGTAGACGCACATAGTTCGCACTGCTCTTGGTGGATTTTCCAAGATATTACTAGACCATAGTAGACCCACATATGTTGCAAAAGCAGACCCTTTTAGGATATTACTGGACGCCTTTTTCGATGGAAGTTGTTCAATGACTTTCTCATTCCGCCACTTGCAGCTTGATCATTTGAACAGCACGCAAGAATCATGAAAGCGTAAGTTGGTCTACAAGAAAGACTATCATATACTATTATCGTATACTATCATATTCATGGGTCTCTTGGCAAGTTCTGAGTCTTTCACCAGTCCACTGATTTTGATTTGCTGCAGAGAGAACGTGAGTCAGAGAATGTCAGAGGTATAAATGCCAGAAAGACATGTTAATTAGGTTGGAAAGGTAAAAAGCACATAAATAGCATAGAATATATGAAAGCCAATATATTTCAGAGCTATGAGTTATGAGTACAACTGATTTGCAAGCCATAACTGGTGATATCCGTGATATCCCCCAACAAAAGAAGCGGGTCATACCAGACGGTCTTACCATGATTATTTGTTAAACACTTACCCAGTGGCACCAGTAATATGGTACCATGGCTTGCAGGAAGGGTCTGTCTGTGGTCCGAGAACTACAAGAGCTGTCTTGCGGGCAGCTCAGGAGGTGGGATGGTGTAGACTTTACCCACAGAAACTTTTCCCGAAAAGCTAAGTAATAGATAATGCTTGCCGCGGGTAGAAACAACCCTTTTGGAAGACCAGCTTTTGGAGTCGTTCAACCTGGTACACCAGTTCCTGAGCAGGAGTTCAAGCGTTCCTCCACGAATGTCCTTGGAGCCATGAGCACGATGCAGGATATCAGTGCCCTTCGACGCCTTTTGTTCGAACATCATCTCAGTGGACTCCATCAGGTGAGGTCACCCCTGCGGCTGTGCGGCCGAAACGATTCTCATTTGAGGAAAAAAGGCAGAGTCAAGGAATATTGCGTCAATCTGCGGCAATCCCCTATCCCAGATTATCCCAGTATAGAACTGAACATAAACCTATCATTAATCACCAATCACGAACAGATCCCAGTTTGTGTCGGTGAAATCCTGGATTTTTGCTCGTGAAACTCATACTTTTGTTTGGTGAATAAAACATAATAAAACAATAAAACATCAACTGGTTGGTGGTTTGGAACATTGTTTACTTTTTGATATCTTGGGAAGAATCATCCCTTTCATATTTTTCAGAGGGGTGGCTCAACCACCAGTTTTCCCGATCGGAAAAGGATCTGGAAACAGTGGATGTTCCACATATGTAAACGTTGTAGGGTCCGTATCAATTTTCAGTTGGTTTATATCATTTATATCCCACTAAATCCCATTAAATCACCATTCAATTTCCATTAGATCTCATTGAATCACCATAAACTCCCATGAAATTCAGTGGTTTCCTATGAAAATCAGCTGGTTTTATCACGGCCATGACGACTCGACAACGTCTGAGGTCTGCCTTTTCACCTAACCTCTCTGGAAGGCGGATGTTGAACAGCGTGAGGGACAGCAGCTGGGTGATTTGAGCTGATTTCATGGACATTTCATGGTGATTTCATGGGATTTAGTGGGATATGTCGGCCCGTGATCAATGGCGATTTAAGCGACAGAAGATGGAGATCATCGTAAGGAAGCCATGGCTTCGCAATGATTCTTGACGGATGGGGGATGAAGATGACTACTATAGCTATCTTGGGAGCTTCCGGGGCACCCCAAATCATCCAAGATCATGTGGCAAATACTTCCGGCAGCCCGCCGCAGAACCAGACATTTGACACCAAGATTGGATCATTTTTTTTGAGTTTGAAAACCATGGTGACTTGTGGATTCCCCATTTTAAGAAGCCCCATATCATCTCGTTCCCGAGCTATGGCCTGTGAATAGCATCTACAGGAAACCAATGGAAACCATGGTTTTCTCCAACTCGGGTTCCAGAGCCACTCGCAAACCATCTGGGATTTGCCACCACAGCAATACACTTCCGCCCAAACAGCAGCCACACAGAAACCAATAAATTTACTGGATCTCATAACATTGTCCGTCTCATTAAAAAATAGGGTTAAGAAGGTGCTTGGATATGGTGATTTGGAAGTTCCTGAGTTGCGAGGTTTTTGCTTTTTCGGGTGTGGCAGAGGACTAAATCAACTATTGCCAATGGGTGCCAATATAGGTACAATAGGTCAAACTGCCGTAATATTTTTTCTACATGCTTTGGAGGCAATGCACCAGGGTAGCTAGGTTTTCGACAAACACCTAGGCTCAGCTGTGTGGCGGCTTCAAACATTTAGTAATTACTCTCAATCTTCAAGCGCCTTTTCTGTAGCTTCTGAGGCTGAAAAGCCCCCTGACTTACATTTGCTAGTATCTATGGCTCAGCCAACACGCTGTAACGATTGCAGTTGATTGATATCCACATTCTCGCTTCATTCATTGATATGTCTATTTAGACACGTTATATAATTTTTGTGTGTTTTAAGTCTTGTTGCTTGCTGTCCCGGCAAAAAATGATCATGAAAAAATCCCATCCCCCGTTCATACTGGACCTATCATCATGAATCATGGCTTAGTAGGGGATAAAACATGATAAAGCGGATAAGTATTGCCACCCATGATTCCTGGGAACATCAAAAAGCCATGATTCCTGGGGAGATCATACCACCCATGATAAAACCACATGGGAGCATCAAAAATGGGTGGTAAAACCACATCATTCAAGGGATGGAACTGATTGGAACTGTTCATCCTCATCGTATCAGGTTATCCAATATGATAATGGGCCCAGTTATCCATGCCATAAATATACCATTACTATATGCCATATTATCCCATAGATATTATATATCCATGATTATCCAATATATTGTCACCTTATCAGATCATCAGATTCCATAAATATATGATATGCCTCAGTCTATCCCGCCAGGCCAACAACACCCCATGGCGAGCCTCTTCACGCTCCAGGCGGGGTTGAGATTCTGGCATGATCTACGGCCGGGTGAATCATCAGTTTTACTATGGAAAAATCCACCATTTTTGATGGGTAAATCAACGAACTGTCTATGGCCATTTTCAATAGCTTTTTGTATGTTTACCAGAGGGTATAACCATATAATCCCATAATAATCCCATATTAATCCCACAATAATCCCATAATCATCCCATAATCATCCCATAATCATCCCATAATATCCTTAGGTCCTTGCAGAGTCAGCATTTTTCTGCCCCAGATTCGTGAAGATCGCTTCGACAAAATTCCAAGCAGAACATCTGAAAAACGTCCACGAAATATGATGAGATCCCCCTTTATGAAGTTTTCTTAAAAGAGTAGGTACCAAACCTTTATGATATGATTTCATGGCGTTTACACCCATATTTTTTTGGAATTATATATATATATATATATATCTGGTTGGTGGTGACTGGAACCATGGAATTTTATGACTTCCCATTCAGTTGGGAATGGAAAATCATCCCAACTGACGATTCGTCCATCATTTTTCAGAGGGGTTGGTGGCTCAACCACCAACCAGTTGAGCCTTTTGGGAAAAGAAACATCTTCAGATCTCTTCCCCCGGGGCGAAGTCCTCAGGTGAAGGGCTCCGAGGGAAACCTGGCAGCCGCTGCGGAGTTGAAGGAAATGTCCCTTGTCCAACTGGGCCAATGTGGGGATCATATCCTGGCGATTCATCCTTCCGACTTTCTGGTGATGGCATGATCAATGAATCCCGCCCATCTAATTAATCCAGGAATAAACAGATCCACGGGGGTGTGGACTTTTCGGGGGACAGGGGTTATGATGGGATATGTTCAACCATCAACCATCAACCATCGGGTGCATAAATCCATGCTGGAAGCACTGTGGACTTCACAGCAACGATACCGTACTGTGATGCTTCCTTGAAGTTAGGAATGATCTAGGGAGACAATAGTTATTTAAGTATAGTTTGTAACGACCTCATTGCAGCCTCACCAAAACCTGAAAATCATGGACACATTTTTTCGACAATTTGCTAGGCCCGAAGTTCACATCCCAGGCTTCCAGTCTAATGTTCAAAGCTCAAGGATCGTCCCCATAGCATCGGGATCGAACCAATGACAGATACTGGCCACTTGCTAGCTGTGGTGGGGACCCCATTGCCAAACCGACGAATTTGGGGATGAAAACAATGAAGATGACTTGATTTTCCGCGGGAATTTTCGGAGAAAATTTGATTTCCGGTAAACACAGGCCTGAAAGCAAGTTTGAGAGCACATGAAAACTCAGGATGAATATGTGGACAGTTCTAATGAAACGCAAAGGAACATGTGCGTTTTAACAGCCAGATCCCGAAGATAGCCGGCAGCCAGGTTTCACAAAAGGGTTGAAAGAGGTAAGTGGATACAGCTGAAAATGACCCTTCATGGCCCTTCAATGGATCCATATGGTTCATGTTTACAAAAACACTATAAAATCTCTTTGTGGAAAACCCACCCCAAAAACAGCATCACAACTGAAGATTTGAATCACTGGGTGGTTTCCCACATGGCTAAGCTTCCGCAGCCGAGGTTGAACACGCACCTGGAGAAGGTCAGGAAATGGGAATTTGATCCCCCAGAATGGATTTTTCAATGGGGGGGGATATGGGTTTGTACCAAAGCAGGAAATTTCCGGAATTCCAGTTGGTCATCAATTTTAGCCTCAAAATGGCTACTTTAGAGTGGACAACCCCATTTCTGTAGTCTTCTCCCCCAGCTCTGTTAAAAAAAAATCCATCGCAATCCATTCTCCCCATTTTGCTTGGTGAACTCCCCAATTATATATATATATAACTATGGATAAATGATGATAAGTGACAAACAGATCCACCATTCGTGGGTGGAATCACCATTTCGGTGGGTGAAATCCCCATTTCAAATCACCATTTCGGTGGATGAACTCCCCATGAAACCCAGCTGAACTCCCCATGACACACCTTGTGATTTCCCTGTTATAAGTTGTTATAAGTGGGTTTATAAGCCCATTAACAACTTTGTAACAGGGAATATAGAACCTATTTGTTTCCCAAAGATATAAAAGTTGTAACAGGGTTTTGTTATATTTGGGAAATAGAATAATTGTTATGATTTTTCTATTTCCCAAAAACCCAACAATTATATAACCTAGGACCTAGTTACAAACCAGCTTAGCTACAACGGGGACACCACACGCCCTTGTCCCGCCGCAGGTGGTTCCTACCTTGCAAGAGATGGCGGCTGGCGTGGCCCGGCGGAGATGATATGAGATAATAGTGGGAATACTTGGGGATTTAAATGGATTTAATATGATTTCATGGTGTTTTACCCCCATGATTTATGGACAAAAATATACATACAGGATGGGGCCCTCCAGTTATAAGTTGGTTGATAACCCCATCCAAATATAGTTATAAGTATCATATGTTATTATAGTTATAAACTAACTTAGCTAACGAACTGGGGCCCCATCCTGTATAGGGATATATAGGGATATATGGGGATAATGGGAATATGATAGGAATAGAATGGGATGTGATGGGACTTAACCATCAAACATGGTGGATATAATGGGGATGTAATACCGGGGATATACCGGGGTCCCATGGGAAAATCATCGATGGAGATTTAATGGGATTTCATGGAGAATTACCCGCACGAAATGGAGGTCTTGAATGAGAACATCAACTATAAATGGGGATTCGATGGAGATTTTGATTGGGATTTTTGGCATGATTTACCCTCCAGTAAACGAAAACATAGCTATGGTATGCTATGGTATAGATGGGCCCATGGTAGATGATTTACCATTTTTTTTTTACCAGGTGATTTTCCAGTTCCCCACTTTAAATTCGGTTACGAATAGTTTTCGGCAGAGCCGAGTAGCCCATAAAACCGAAAACTTGGTGTCCTAGTTTTCCTTGAAGCCTCGAAGAATTGGACTTCTTTGTCCTGGCTACTGGTGGTTTCGGTCTTAAGACAAACCCCATCAATTCCTTGGGAAAAGCAAGCCGAATTGAATAACTCTCCGGTGAGCTAAGCTGTGGGTACCCATTATATTCTGTGTTAAATGGGGAGCTATGGAGCTATTTGGAGTTTCCCAACAGCGTGCTAGATACCCTCTGGTAAACTAACATAGCTATTGAAAATGGCCATTTATGGTGGATTTACCCATTGAAAATGGTGATTTTCCATAGCTATGTTAGTTTACCAGAGGGTAATATTTTGGGCTTAAACCACACCAGATTCAGATGTGAGTTCTTTGTTCAAGCAAGTGCTCAAAGCCGAGTTGCCAAACCATTCGAAAGAAAAGGAACATGTGCTGATTGCTGCTGCTCCTGATGATGGTGTTGAAGCTGATGACTATTATGTAAATACCAGACATGGTTTATTTTCCCTCAGTTAGTTTTATTTATATAATATCACCTATCCAGTGTTGATGATGTTCCCGTATATTATTGATAGCCACTGAATAGTCATCATACCTGCATAGGTCAATATGTCAAAACTACAGGCCAAGGGAAACGCACATTTGCCATTTCTAGTAGAATATATGCAGTCCCCATTGTTTGCTTACTGGAGCACCTATTTTGAAGGAGTACTACCGCGGATTGCCAGTGGATTAGTCTTGTTTGAAACTGGGATATTCCCCAATTCCACCGGAATATCATGTTTGTTTTCCATTAAGATTAAGATGCAACTTCAAGATATACAGCAGTCTTGGACAAACCCAAAAAAACATATCATTGCTTCTAATGGTCCCTTATTTCCCCGCAAAAATATCCCCATTTATAGGTGTGTTTCCTACAACATATCATATCCCAATAACTTGGCCGCGTTCAGAAATATGGTGAACTCCCTATCTATGATCCCATAAATCACCGTTTTCAGAAATCGGAAATCCCCATATTTCTTGTATAAGACCACCATGATTTGTACGCATTCATTTTTGTTTTTCAGCACATGCCGACGAATTTACATCCCTGAAAGGTACTGGAACCGGTGACATTTTCCAACGGTAGATGGGTATGGGTCAATACCTATAGATACATTTTTAGTGGGATGAACATCCATAAATCCCAGCTATTTTGGGGTTCACTAGGTACCAGGGTTTTGACCCATCCCCAGATGACGATTTGCTGCAGCAAAAGATTGGTTCCAACAAGAGACTGGTGAAAGATGGATTCGGCGCCGAAGGATGCAACGTCTGTCTCGAACGGCCAGGAACTGACCAGGATCGGCGAAGCAGAGCCGATGATCGAGTCCTCTCCACTTTAAAGGTTTCGATAATCGGAAAGGTAATTAGATTTTGAGGGTCTTGTTTTAAGGGTTTAGACTTTAATGGTTTATCAGGGGTCTCTGGAAATAATTAGATTTTGAGGGTCTTGTTTTGTTTTCTTACTTGTTTGTGACATCTTTCTCTGGTAAAATATTTATAAATGATGTGTCTGACGAATAATTACATGTTGCGTATTTTCAACAGGTATTTGGCATGCTTGTATTATCGTAAAAGAAAGGGGCATTGGGTAGTACCGATGGGCATGGACCTTGCTCTCTTGGTTTTCATTTAATAATCATAAACATAGTGATATTATGCGTGCTGGTGATCTTAATCAACCCTTCATCTTAATCCACCCTTAATCAACCCTTAATAATAGTTAACGTGATAGTTATGATAGTTATGATCTTTCTATTATTCCAGGCCTAGGTTCCAGGCTGCTGTAGTTTTTCGTCTCTCAGGACCCCGCAGCAGCTATTGCTTCGATGGGAAGCGCGGAAGTGCAGAGCCCTAGAACGGGCGGAGCGAAGGAGAGAGGACAAGGATGATCTAGACCAAAAAATTGGATTGTAATTCATCATTTATAGGATCCTAGTAGGATTGTATAGGATTATGAATGGGATTATGAGTAGGATTATGAGTAGGATTATGAATGGGATTATACAAGATAATAATGGATGATCCATAATCATTCATAATCTAAAGATGGGATTGTACAATAACGATGGGATTATATTTTGCATAATGACGCGGGGATGATTTTTTCTGGGATGATTCTTCATCGATTTTAGATGATTTTATATAATCTAATTCGTAAGAAAGATCATGATCTTTTTCAGAAGGGGTAAAAATCTGGTGATGGATCTATAGATGTGGATCTATAGATGGGGCAAAAAAGCCTCTGGTTATGACGTTTACATAGCGAACTGGAAAGATCCACCATGCTATCAATGGGTAAATCCACGAACTAAATCACCATGTTCAATAGCTATTTTGACATCACCAGAGGGTAGATGGGATTATTTAACCATGGCATGGCTTCCCATGGGATCGTTTGGCTGGGAGATCCACCGAAATGATGGATGATCCTCTGGTGATGTTTTACATAGCGACATGGTTAAGCCATGGCCCATCGAATTTTTGTTGAGTTACCCCTTAATTCAATTCATAGCATGGTGATTTTATGTGATTTTCCATTACAATCTATGAAACATATGTCATAATCATTCATAATCTACCCTCTGGTAAACGTTTACATAACTATGGAAAGATCCACCATGCTATTAATGGGCAAACTCACTACGTCTATGGCCATGTTCAATAGCTATGTTAAATTACCAGAGGGTACCCCTTAATTCAATTCATAGCATGGTGATTTTATGTGATTTTCCATTACAATCTATGGAACATATGTCATAATCATTCATAATCTACCCTCTGGTAAACGTTTACATAACTATGGAAATATCCACCATGCTATTAATGGGCAAACTCACTATGTCTATGGCCATGTTCAATAGCTATGTTAAATTACCAGAGGGTACCCCTTAATTCAATTCATAGCATGGTGATTTTATGTGATTTTCCATTACAATCTATGGAACATATGTCATAATCATTTATAATCTACCCTCTGGTAAACGTTTACATAACTATGGAAAGATCCACCATGCTATTAATGGGCAAACTCACTATGTCTATGGCCATGTTCAATAGCTATGTTAAATTACCAGAGGGTACCCCTTAATTCAATTCATAGCATGGTGATTTTATGTGATTTTCCATTACAATCTATGGAACATATGTCATAATCATTCATAATCTACCCTCTGGTAAACGTTTACATAACTATGGAAAGATCCACCATGCTATTAATGGGCAAACTCACTATGTCTATGGCCATGTTCAATAGCTATGTTAAATTACCAGAGGGTACCCCTTAATTCAATTAATAGCATGGTGATTTTCCAGTTCGTTATGTAAACATTTACCAGGGGGTATCTATTGCTATGCTTGATGACACCAAGGGAACATCAACCATTGCTCATGAAACCGCGAGGTTTCAAATGCCTGGATCTAACATGAGTTTTACTTGGCGAATACCGCCATCGTTTCTGAAAGGACGAACACATGTTTTTTCGGATTCTGTTGAGCCGAAAAAAATCCATCTTCCCCTAAGTTTTTAAACATTCTTCACTATCTTCTTTTATCATGTTTTCTATGGTTTTTCACCTCATGGTTTCCAATGAACTCCGCCGTTCTGCAGGTGGTCACGTTCCTTCGCACCCTGAGTCGTGCCACTGCGGCGTTCCTTGGAGACAATTGAGACATGACTTAAGCATCAACAATGAAAAAGGGAGGTCTAGTATGATTTTGTTAGATCTTTGGTTATCTTTGGTTTATGTTTTTTTTCCTGTTGTTTTTTATATTACTTTGGTTTATGATGTTCAATGATTTTTGAGAATGATGAGATTCACCCGTGAATTCGGGGATGGTCATAAAGCCACCTTCTGAAAATGTGGAATTAAAGTGGCCAGTTTCTGGATTCAGAGATGAGCATAAGCAATATACCCTGTGGTGTCATCAGCTCCATGGCTTGCTGGAAAATCCCCCATAAAAAGTTCGATGATTTTCCCAACGAACAAAACCTCCATTAGGTTCGTAGTCGTGTATTTCCGTTCGCCAGCCATGTTTGGTTACGGTATTCATTGAATTTGGCTTCAGGGATTTTGATGTTGTAAACTTAATCGTCACTATTTGGTCTGTCTTTTGGGTGCCAAATTCAATAGTAATTCATGACTATTTGGGGGAGAACAGCTTCTAATTCAACAGAGTTTATGAGTCCCTGGTTGACATTCATGAGGTAAATCTTGAATTATGATTAATTACGGGCCACGAGTACGAAATCTATATTGTAGACAAATATGGTACTGTATACTGGTTGGTGGTTTCAAACATTTTTTATTTTCCATCATATATGGGATGTCATCCTTTCCATTGACGAACTCATATTTTTTAGAGGGATTCAAAACAGCAACCAGTATTTTTTAACGGACTTCACTTCACCATCAAGATCCTGGTTTATGGGGATGTAATAATAGAAATGTAGTTGATCATCTGGTTGGTGGTTTGGAACATTTGGATTATTTTCCCCAACCAGATTGGGATGATGATCCAATCTGACGAAGTCATATTTTTCAGGGGGGTATTTCAACCACCAACCAGATTATTATTAACCATCATGAAAACCATATATATCATAACCATTAACAGTATATAACAGTATATATCAACCACAATGGTAGGTTGAAACCACCAATTAGCTGTTTGGTCTGGATATCATCACCGGCTGGCAAAGTAACAAAGCCCTGGAAGAAAAATAGCCCATGAAGTTCGATGAGACTGACCATGGCTTTTTGACATGATGGATTTGCCATGGAAACCTACTGTTGAGCGTAGAAATAATGAATGACATAGTTACTACATAGTTATATATATATATATTGTAAGATAATTAGTTGATATAGTGATGTAATGAATGTTCTAGTTTAAATGAAACTTCTATTACCATTAGCCAAATAACAAGTAATTGATATGATATGGATATTCAAATAAACTGATCTAAACTTTTAATCTTTCGGTCCCAAAGCCACGCTTCCGGGAGTGTGGCTGAACTCAGGGGAGATCGATAAGCCATGGCGGGGTTTATTGTTTGGCTTACCAGCTAGCCAGCGTATGTGTATAGATATGTAATATAGACATAGATATGGCAGCTACCAAAAACGGGTATATGATGAGTCTAATCAGGTATCATAGGTATCATAGCTGTGAGTATAGAAAACACATGTGTATACATACACTCCGTATTATGCAACGTAACATACCCAACATCCACATAAAACTGGGTTGTAAGCACCGTACATAGTGTCTTAGTGATACAACTGGCCAGCATTGGGTACTTTCACCCACATAGTATTGTTTGATATTCGGCATTGCCAATGGATCAAGAAATGCCCAGCTGTATTCGGCCAATGGTTTCGGGTACTTGGCAGTGTTCGACAGTCTCATATTTTCAATTTTGCTGCTTAAGCAACATGTGAAAACATTCGGTTACCTTGACTTCAAGGATTGTGGTGAGAAAAATATCTGCATTTCCCGTCGCTGAAAAAACATCCATTCACAATATGTCGTCTTGATGACGTCTCACATAGAATGATGATGATGATGATGATGATGATGAATGATGCATAAGACTCAACATTTAAACATGATTCTCCACACCATGATGAACATAGAATGATGATGAATCACATTTAAACATCATTGAACACCAGTTTCTTCCAAGTGATTCTCCACTACCCTTCAGTCATGGAACAATCTGGCACTACTCTCAACGAAGAATTATTCTACAAAATGTATGAGTTCCGATTGCCACCTTTGATTTTCGCGCGGGTTTAGCTATATTTTATATATTTATCATCACCACCCCTTTAAGGCTACTTTTCATGGGGGGACCATACCAAAATGTTAGATACATTTTTTGGGACCCCCCCCTTAAATGTAAAATTGGTCGCTGAACGTCCCCCAGGTGTCGTTTTTGTGGGGAGGGTCTTCAAAATACCTTCAAAATGCAAGTTTACATTTTCCAGGCCCCCTTCAAAAACACCTTGAGACATGTAGCTTACATTTTGGGTACGTCCACCCTTTTAAACGGTGGTGATTATTTATCTAAATCTATAATATATAGATTGTATATGCAATGTATTGTTCTCGTTTTTCTACTCATTTCTTTGAACAAATCTTCGTGACCGACGACGCCTTGTCAACACCGAGGCTGGAAAGCATGTTGTCGGTCTGTCGCGAGTGCAGCTCCACGCAAGTGTTGGAGGCGACGATTCGTTGGAACATGTGGGTGACTTAAACCATGAAAAAAGAGGTGGTATCATGGGAATTTTATGAGAATTTCATGGGAATATAGTCGAAATCATGCCTGAGAGGTGGTTTCATCAACAGAAGAGGGAACTTCACCAACAAAATTCAAGATTTCACCAACCACAAATTGGCATTTATATGACTTGTCTGTCATAGAAAACGACCGCACGTCGCGAAATGTCACTGGATCTCGATTGTTCGTACAGGGAAACTATCCCCAAAATGGCCAGACTTTTCAGGTTGGTGAATTATCATGATTGATCCATATACAAACTATACTTGGTGAATTATGATAATGGATCCTTATCCAATACATTTACCATATACAAACATGGGGGCAATGAATATGGTAAATTGCCCAACTACTAGGGCTCTACCATGGGGCGAGTTCCTACTTCTAGCGCCTCATGGGATGGTTTACAAGGTGAGGCGAGTGGACGCACATAACTTGGTTATCTGTTGGGTTGATTAGGGGGATACCCTCAGGTAAACATACAAAAAACTATGGAAAATCACAATCTTTAATAGGTAAATCAACTATAAATGGGCTGTTTTCAATAGCTATGTTAGATTACCAGAGGGTAGATATAACTATAGTATTCATCGGGCTTATCAACAAACACAACTACTCAGGGCCTCACCTTGTATGTAAATATTATAGATACAATGTGGGCCCCCCAGTTATAAGTTGGTTTATAAGCCCCAGTAACTATAGTTATTTGCGTACCATAAACCATAGTGAAATTGGAGTTATGTGCACCAACTTAGATATCTTGGGGGCCTCACATTGTATATATAATGTGGTAAAACCCAATAATAAACCATCCCCAAAACATCTTGAGATTCTGATTATTTTTTCGATGGGTGGTCTCTAAACATTCTAAACACCGTCCCCATAAAGGGGGGTTCTGATGAATTTTGATTGGGTTTTCCATAGATCCAAAAATATTCTCTGGTAAACGTTTACATAACTATGGAAATCCACTATAAATGGCCATTTTCAATAGCTATTTTGACATAACCAGAGGGTATGCATATTAATCTAGATGTGGCTACAATCTGTACACACCGACATCTTCGTTTTAGGAGATTAATTTATGTATCTTAGTTTCACTGGTTCAACCCCTCCAAAAATGCACGTCTACCTCTTTTGCAATCTATTTATCTGTCAATTTATGTATCTCATTTCTTCATCACTGTGATGGCATGATGTTCTTGCAAGAGGATGGCAGGTCCTGTACAAACATTTGTTCGCTGCCCAAACTTTTTATGCAGCGGCTGAAGCGCTGCACAACTCGCGAAGAATCAGAGCGCTGTGGATCAAAAGACGGACCCGGAGGTTCCTCGCCTTGGTAAAAACTTGCCTTGCCTGGCCGGGGCCCATCGCATTTTGCCCATATCTCCAAGCAGATCTTACTACCATCAGCACCTGCAAGAAAACTGCTTGGAAATTTTGGAAGCCTGTGCGCCTGACTGGGCGATTTTGAAAATGTGAAAGAGATCGAGGCAGAAGTAGGTGAGGATATGTTGCTGGGTTGCATTCCAAGTGATTTCTGAAGCATTGGTGATGATTTGGGGAGTAGTTGTTTGGCTGGTGAGTTCGTGGACGCAAGAGACCCCCATTGGTGCGTACTGCGTGCTTTTGTTTTGGCGAAAGCCCAATTGCAAGAACAATGCAACATTTTGTCAACCTGCCAGCAAACGTTCCCAAATTTAAGGACAAGGTGCATTGTAGGAAAACAGGTTCCCAGACAGGTCCGAAACAACGTGCAAGATGTAAGTTCTATCCTGTCAGCATACCCCTTGCCCCTTAAGGATAGTTTATGAAAGGATTCCCAAATTACCCTCTGGTAAACGTTTACATAACTATGGAACATCACCATTTTTAATGGGAAAATCCACTATAAATGGTCATTTTCAATAGCTATGTTGGATTCCCAAATCATTTGGGGTGTTGCAGGGACTTGGTATGCTGGAGAGGTCTGTTAAAAAATCATCTCAACACTTCGAAGATACCAGCCCGCCGAGTTATCATACTTCAAATACCTCCTAACAAGGCATAAGAATTTACTTGGATCCATGAGGTATATACATCATCTTAGAATGTCAACCCCCCAACAAAAAATGTGATGGTTTATCATCATTTGTCCCATTAAAACGGCAATTGTTGTGATATTTTTCCGCATGATTCAGGGGGTCAAGTATCTTCTCAGAAAGTGTTTGGATCCATAGGGATATTCATACACATACACTTCTGCATATAGAAAAACCACCGAAAGACAGAACAGTGATTTCTCACTATATAGTTGTAGGATTCTACCAACTCTCATCTTTTTATGTGCTTTAAGGATTGTTTAAGGTGGTTTACTAGAAATTTTGATGGTTGGTGGTTTCAAACATTTTTTATTTTCCATTTCATATATGGGATGTCATCCTTCCCATTGACGAACTCCATCATTTTTCAGGGGGGTTGGGTTGAAACATGTTGAAACCACCAAACAGATTTTGATGGTTCATCAGCATTTTTCCCCTCAAAGTGGGCCATTTTGGTGCGCGTTTTTCCACGGTTTTGGTCCAGGCGGTGCGGGAACCGCTACGTGACATCGCGCCCCTGGCCGGCTGCACCTTTGTGCTGGCTGCGTGGCATTCGCAGGTGCCGAATTTGGTGGGATTTTGGGGTTTGATGCATGGGATTTATATGGGAATTTGGGAGGAATTCAGTTTGAATGGAATTCGTGGGATTTTAAGAGGATTTGAAAAGGATTTGAGTGGGATTTTAATATATTTTAATGGGATTGGACGATTTGAATGAGAGTTTAATGGGACGTATATCAGCCAAATCCTTACATGAACAAACAGGGGGGAACTTGCCCCCTTGGGCGCTTGAAACCTACGCCAAGGCTGGGCCGGTCCCATCCTCACCGTGGTTTTTCACAGAAAATCGGCTTGGTCGACAACCTGTCTGTCCTAGCTTTCCTTCTCCATCAAGTTCCTGTCAGCGTCGACTTCGATGCGAGATTTTCGGATCTAGATCGCCAGAAATGACTTGGGATTTCAATGGGATTTAGTGGGATCTTGATGGGAACTTGATAGGGTTTTTATGGATTTAGTGGGATTTTACTGGGAGTTTGATGGTTCAGTGTGATTTTGGTGGGAGTTTAATAGGATGTCCGGGATTTTTCAAGGGATTTGCGAGCTCCAAACACCACCCGAGACTGGATTGGGATTGGGATGTGATCGGGATTTCACCACCCAAGAACGCATGGGGATATACCCTCTTGTTATTACTAACATAGCCATGGAAAATCACCATTTTTAAGTTCGGTAAACCATCTATTTCGATTAGGGCCATGGCTTGTATGGCTATATGTTAGTCATAACCAGAGGGTAATTGAAATACGAGTCGATGACTGTAGAGGGTCGCATGTCACGTTGTTGAATGCAGATGATCACATATGTATGATCATGTATGATTAATCCATATTACGGATCCCATGAGATATCCGGGATACAATTAACCAACCAGTATAATGAGATGTGATATGCAGGTATTTTTCATGGCTCACTTGGATGTGCATCCTAGTTCCCAAATGGATGATAAGGTATGATTTACCATCTGGTAATCAAACTTGGCAATGGAAGCTTCCCCCATTTATAGACACATGTCCCACTTAAACACCAAAATCTGGATGTTTTTTCCAATCGCGATGTTTGATTGCCAGAGGGTAAATCGGATTCAACTGATGAAACATCCAATATGAACAATTTTAAACATTTATATATTAACCCACTACTAATCCAATATTAGCCATCATTAACCATTATTAATCCAATATTGTCCATTGTTAGGATATCCATGGATATCCCGCATTTTTGTCAGTGGGTTTGGTAGCCCGTGGTTGCCAGCCGCGGTAACCCCGCTTCAGCCCGTTGTGGGCTGAACGGTTGTGTCTCTCAACTGGATCTTGAGTTAATATTACCCTCTGGTAATTTAACATAGCTATTGAAAATGGTGATTTATAGTGGATTTACCCACTAATAGCATGGTGATTTTCCATAGTTATGTAAACGTTTACCAGAGGGTAGTAAATGACGATTTCATTCATGGCACATGGGCCAAGCCACGGTCCGCCACCGTCATCGTGCCACGGTTCACCACGGAACACGACGCCAGGAACGCGAGCGCTTGCCAGCGACGGCGAGTCAGCGCCCCAGGGCTAAGGTCACAGAATTTGGATCATGGGGAAAGGGATATGTGCCATGGCATATCATCGGATATTTAGAGGCATGGGATTTCTTGGGATATCATGGGAAAGAAGCAGCAAGATATCAAGCAACCCGGTTGCAACCCAATGATTGTGATACTTGTGATATAATTGTGATGCGGAAGAACACAGGATGAAACCAACAAGATTGGGGGTCATTTGGAGAAATTGAAAATTTGGACCTCTTTGTGATGTCACTGGTATCTGGGGAACCCAATAAATCATCCCCTGGCCGTGGCGTGTGAAGTGCTTGGTGAATTCTTCGTGGATTTCTTGGGAGGGGAACTGATTAAGCCACAATGATGGCATTGGGTTGCCGAAAAAAAGTGGCAGGAGGCTTCCCATTGATTGGAAGCCCTGGACATCTGGACATATCGAACTTGGGACATCAATAAAAAGCCGATCTAACAGAAACAGCCCAGGGTCGTGGTTGTTTGGCAGCGAACATCTTGTTGTTTGGATCAATGTTCTCGAAAAGTGCCAATCAAGCCACTGGAGATGCAGATTCCATCAGCCATTTGGATCCACCAGCCGAATGGGATGGTTTGAGGCCCGCTATGATTCGTTTCTTCATGGCTGAAGTGAATTTTCTGTTGCCATGATTGCCATGGCCATACTAAAGTTCGCTTTTTAAGCGACCACATGAATGATATATGTTTACATATGATGTTTACTTACGTATGATTTTGCTCAACTTTCACACCTGTCTTGTCCCCACCGCTTGAACCAGGCTATCACGAAACGGTGCGCGCCGTCTTCGCAGCTGAAAAGTCCAAGGAAGGCGCGCCGTTGCGGTTTTTGCGGCGCGGCTCATCAAGTTCTGGGATTCTATGGTGGGACATTGGATTAATGATGGTTAATAACAATGGTTAATCTATGGTTAATCTATGGTTAATCTATGGTTAATCTATGGTTGTTTTTCCATGAAAAAAACGTATACTTAGTTACTTAACTATGGTTAATATACTGTTAATATATGGTTACTAATGGTTAATTGATGGTTAATAATGGTTAATTAATGGCTATACTAATGGTTAATTCAGTGGATTATCCAATCACACATTTATCCAATCAATGAATTCCACCAAGCTTGGGATTATCTGGATAACCAATGGCATGGAAAGAGGAACATTTGGTGGAATTCAGATAAACCCAAGCCTGTATCATAGGTTTTGGCCTACCCCGAAACTCAAAAATACCTCTGATCATTCTGGAGATCTGAAACAGGTGAGATATGGGGTTGTCTTAAAATGGGGTAAACCCCCCAATCTATAGAAATTTTAATAGGGCAAATGGTGATTAAGCATGAGATTTAGGGGATACCTTATTTTCCGAGACATGTGCACCGCTCAATTCTTAGTCATGGGGGTCTCAAGGATTGCGCACATGACATGATGCTTACTGATCTTACTGGTTGATTGTTTCAACTATCTTTAATGTTCATTGCATTTCAAGCCGTCAAAAACAGGGATGATGGTCACCAGTGACTCGTATGAATATGATTGAATACGTTCAGGTCGTTGAACAACAAAGCAGAGTGTTTTTGTTGGTTGATGTTACCATCTGCATCTGTGAGTATATCCTCATTAGATTCGCGCAGTTCATGGCTTGAGATCACCACAGGTTCATCAACTCTTGCAAGATGTCCTATGTTCGGTTCGGTTTGTCTGAAAATTCCAGGACAACCTCCAAATCAGTTGGTAAATCATGATGAATTCTGAATCACCGATGGTGATTTAAAGCGGGTGTATACCCCATTTTCAAACACATCAATCATCACCCTATTCAGAAAGAATTAATCACGGGGGCCCATCCTGGTCATCATTGCTGGCCAGTTGGCCATATCCGGTGTGGAGTAGGCGTTCCCAGATTGACGAGACAGCACCAAACTGCACCCATTCACAGAGAGACATACATATACAACATGTACGACATGTGTATATGTCTATAATTACATATGACTAAATGGGAACATGATACAATCACATGCTTATTATTTTGATACTTTTATATGCAAGCATCATATTTACAGTAGGTTCTTTATATTTGCAGATATGTGTTTTAAGTTTTAAGTGATTTATAGGGCGGCAATCCAAGATATGACCGGCAACTCAGCAGCAATGCCGATGTCCAGCGGTGGCTATGCTTCTGAGCAAATAGATCTCCATGTGCAGTGCCTGAATGGTGAAGGATGCATCTTGAAGCTCAATGCTTCGGTTCTGGGTTGGGAGGTGTACCAGATGGTTTCCAAGAAACTGGGCCCGAAGAAAGCTGCAAAGCCGGCTTTACATCACCTGGATTCACTGCTGATGCTTTGCCAAACACTAGAAGAGCAAGGAATTCGGGGAAAAACTGCGATACTCACTTGCACTTACGTTCCAACAGATCTGTATGCGGCATGGTGCCACATCCAAGGACTACCCATCTTTCAGGGAGAGCTTGCACTGGAGGGGGTGACAGAGATAGCAAATACATCAATCACCAAGTCTTTGCACAACCTCCCTGGAAGTCTTGAGAAGTTGACACTTGGCCATGTTTTCAATGAGAGCTTGGAAGGAGTGACCCTGCCGAGCAATCTTCAGAGCTTGAAGTTTGGCGCACAGTTCAACCAAAGTTTGGAACAAGTGACATTGCCAAGCAGTCTTCGGACCTTGACATTTGGTCACGACTTCAACCAGAGCCTGGAACGCGCCTCCCTACCAAGCACTCTTGAGAGCTTGACATTTGGCTCCAACTTTAATCAGAGCTTGGAAGGAGGGACCTTGCCAAGTAGTCTTCTGAGCTTGATCCTTGACAACAATTTTAATCAGAGCCTCGAACAAGTTACCCTTCCAAGCAGCCTGCAGATCTTGACATTTGGCAAAAGTTTTAATCAAAGCCTGGAACGAGTGACTCTGCCAAGCAGTCTTGAGAGCCTGACATTTGGCCAACAATTTAACCAGAGGTTGGAACAAGTGACCCTGCCAAGCAGTCTTGAGAGCTTGACATTTGGGTGCGACTTCAACCAAAGCCTGGAGCAAGTAACCCTGCCAAGCAATCTTCAGAGCTTGACATTCGGCACCTGTTTCAACCAGAGCCTGGAACGAGTGAATCTGCCAGGCAGTCTTAAGAGCTTGAAATTTGCTTGGGACTTTAATCAGAATCTGGAACGAGTCACCCTACCAAGCAGTCTTCAGAGCTTGCAATTTGGCCACGGTTTCAACCAGAACTTTGAACAAATCAACCTTCCAATTAGTCTGCAGAGCTTGCAATTTGGCCGTTGCTTCGACAAGAACATAAGACAAGTGACTCTGCCCAGCAGTCTTCAGAACCTGAAATTTGATGGTAATTTTTGCAAGAGCCTGGATCAAGTGACCCTGCCAAGCAGTATTCAGAGCTTGAAATTGGGTATGCTTTATGATGAGAGATTTGAACAAGTGACTCTGCCAGACAGTCTTCATAGCTTGACATTTGGATATGATTTCAACGAGAGTCTAGTACACGCTACCCTTCCAAGCAGTCTTCTGAGCCTGACGTTTGGCTACCATTTTAACCAGAGTTTGGAGCAAGTCACCCTGCCAAACATTCTTGAAAACTTGACATTTGGCCATGACTTCAACCAGAGCTTGGAACGAGTGATCTTGCCCAGTAGTCTTCGGACCTTGACATTTGGCAGTACTTTTAATCATTTCCTGGGACAGGCCCTGCCAGATGGTTTGCAGAGCTTAACATTCAGCAACTGTTTTAATCAAAGCCTGGAAGATGTGGCCTTGCCACGTAATCTGCAGAGCTTGACGTTTGGCTCACAGTTCAACCAGAGTTTGGAAGGAGTGACACTGCCAAGCGGTCTTGAGAGCTTGATATTTGGGCACAACTTCAACCAGAGCCTGGAAGAAGTGACTCTGCCAAGCAATCTACGAAGCATTAGATTTGGCACTAGATTTCGAAAGAGTCTGCTCAATGTGGCACTACCAAGTGGTCTTCGGACCTTGTCGTTACGCCGCTCTTACAATCCCGACGGCTGTGTGTTGGTCAGCACTTTGTGAAAACCCTGGCAGTGAAAAAGTGACTGTGATATGATTGATCCATTGGAATTGGGGAAAACCTATTTTCAGATATACCCATGTGTTTCAAATAGCGATGAGTGTGACACACCGAAATGGATGCAACTGGACGGAAAAAGCGAGTTTGACCCTATGTTTTTTGGCAAATCAGGTTTGAAACCATCAAATGTGGGGATACAATGGGAATAGAATCAACATCAAGATATACAGCACAGTGATATGGGTCGTCCAAAATACCCCTGATCGGTGAATATAGGGGATCGCAATGAGATTTTGAGGTCTCAAGCCATCGGGATCTTCCTGAAACATCCCGATATGATTGGAACCAATTTCTATTTTAACCTCTGGTAATTAACATTAATGAACATATACTAATCATATATATATATATACTGACATCTATTAACATATATGAATACAATGTCTATATAATATATAAACATAGCTATGAACAATTACACATGTGTAGCTTAACGTTTAGCCATTCAACATGGCCTTCCATGGCAAAGCGGTAAACAACCAGGACGGTATGGGGATGGCATAAGCTGGGCCGCCCTGCTTGGAAAACGATGGAGAACCCCTGAATTCGCTGGTTTAGAATCTCATTTTCTGATTGAGGGTATCGAAATTTTCAGGTAAACCCGGTAAACCATGGTAAACCCGCGTCTGTATCGTAGGTTCGGGGGCCTACCCCGACACTCAAAGGCGTACTTCTGAGCATTCGGGAGATCTGAAACATGAGATATGGGGTTGTCTTAAAATGGGGTATAACTCAATTTATGGTAATTCTAATAGGGCAAATGGCGATTAGGCCGGAAATTTAGGAGATACCTTATTTTCCGAGAAATGTGCACCGCTTAATTTTCAGTCATGGGAGTCACAAAGATTACGCCAACGACATGATGTCTACTGGTTGATGTTTCAGCACGGAGATTTTTCGGCACAGGAGATACACCAATGCAACAGGTACGATGTACATGTATGTACAGTATATACATATGAGATCACATATGATCATATGAGTGGATTTCGACATTATACAATCACATGCTTTTGATATTGGTGTATTTCTGTACAATATATACTAATACATCTAAGCATCATATTTACAGTAGGTTCTTTTTATTTGCAGATATGTGATTTCAGTGATTTATAGGGCGGCAATCCAAGATATGACCGGCAAAACAGCAGCAATGCCGATGTCCAGCGGTGGCTATGCTTCGGAGCAAATAGATCTCCATGTGCAGTGCCTGAATGGTGAAGGATGCATCTTGAAGCTCAATGCTTCGGTTCTGGGTCGGGAGGTGTACCAGATGGTTTCCAAGAAACTGGGCCCGAAGAAAGCTGCAAAGCCAGCTTTACATCACCTGGATTCACTGCTGATGCTTTGCCAAACACTAGAAGAGCAAGGAATTCGGGGAAAAACTGCGATACTCACTTGCACTTACGTTCCAACAGATCTGTATGCGGCATGGTGCCACATCCAAGGATTACCTGTCTTTGAGGGAGAGCTTGCTCTGGAAGGGGTGACAGAGATAGCAAATACATCAATCACCAAGTCTTTGCACAACCTCCCTGGAAGTCTGGAGAAGTTGACACTTGGCCATGTTTTCAATGAGAGCTTGGAAGGAGTGACCCTGCCGAGCAATCTTCAGAGCTTGACACTTGGCCACGACTTCAACCAGAGCTTAGAACGAGTGATCTTGCCCAGCAGTCTTCGGACCTTGACATTTGGGCACAACTTCAACCAGAGCCTGGAACGAGCCTCCCTACCAAGCACTCTTGAGAGCTTGACATTTGGCTCCAACTTTAATCAGAGCTTGGAAGGAGGGACCTTGCCAAGTAGTCTTCTGAGCCTGACCCTTGACGGCAATTTTAATCAGAGCCTCGAACAAGTTACCCTTCCAAGCAGCCTGCAGATCTTGACATTTGGCAAAAGTTTTAATCAAAGCCTGGAACAAGTAACTCTGCCAAGCAGTCTTCAGAGCCTGACATTTGGGCAACAATTTGACCAGAGGTTGGAACAAGTGACCCTGCCAAGCAGTCTTGAGAGCTTGACATTTGGGTGCGACTTCAACCAAAGCCTGGAGCAAGTAACCCTGCCAAGCAATCTTCAGAGCTTGACATTCGGCACCCGTTTTAACCAGAGCCTGGAACGAGTGAATCTGCCAGGCAGTCTTAAGAGCTTGAAATTTGCTTGGGACTTTAACCAGAATCTGGAACGAGTGACCTTGCCAAGCAGTCTCCAAAGCTTGACACTTGGCCATGACTTCAACCAGAACTTTGAACAAATCAACCTTCCAATTAGTCTACAGAGCTTGCAATTTGGCCGTTGCTTCGACAAGAACCTAAGACAAGTGATTCTGCCCAGCAGTCTTCAGAACCTGAAATTTGATGGTAATTTTTGCAAGAGCCTGGATCAAGTGACCCTTCCAAGCAGTATTCAGAGCTTGACATTGGGTATGCTTAATGATGAGAGATTTGAACAAGTGACTCTGCCAGACAGTCTTCATAGCTTGACATTTGGATTTGACTTCAACCAGAGCCTGGAACGAGTCTCCCTACCAAGCAATCTTCTGAGCCTGACGTTTGGCTACCATTTTAACCAGAGTTTGGAACGAATCACCCTTCCAAGTAGTCTTGAGAACTTGACATTTGGCAACAACTTCAACCAGAGCTTGGAACGAGTGATCTTGCCCAGTAGTCTTCGGACCTTGACATTTGGCAGTACTTTTAATCATTTCCTGGGACAGGCCCTGCCAGATGGTTTGCAGAGCTTAACATTCAGCAACTGTTTTAATCAAAGCCTGGAAGATGTGGCTTTGCCACGTAATCTGCAGAGCTTGACGTTTGGCTCACAGTTCAACCAGAGTTTGGAAGGAGTGACACTGCCAAGCAGTCTTGATAGGTTGACATTCGGCATCAGTTTCAGCGAGATCATGGAAGAAGTGACTCTGCCAAGCAATCTTCGGGACATAATATTTGGCAATAGTTTTAACGAGAGTCTACTCAGTGTGACCCTGCCAAGTGGCCTTCAGACCTTGTCGTTACGCCGCTCTTACAGTCGCGACGGCTGTGTGTTGGTCAGCACTTTGTGAAAACCCTGGCAGGGAAAAAAGATGAAAAAAGTGACCGGGCAGATGATGCTCTGATTTTGCTGGTTTTGAGAGTGCTTGCTTTCCAATCCTCAAGAATGGGATGATGATCTCTAGTTGAACTGGCTCTTCAGCATCAACCGCCGATTGAGTGGTATGACATCACTGCTGGGTGGAAAAACCAAAGGCGGCACAAGGTGTTGATATCTTCCTTATGTAGCTTCGATGATTATTATATGATATAAAATTATATGTTTGATCTCATCAAGGGCTGCGCAGTAATTTCACGAGGAATCAACCCCCCATGCACCCCCATGTGGGTGACCCACAATAGTAGACCCCTTGTTTCTGGTGGTTAAATTTGCTCTTAATAAGCCCTGATATCTGATCAGGCCCTGATCATCTCCATTTTCCTATTTGAATCCCCATTTGATATGAAAACACATACCTCTGGTCATTTAACATGGCCATGGAAAATGACCCATTTATAGATGATTTTCCCAGCTAGAAACCTCCATTTATTTTGGAGATTTTCCATGGCTATGTTAGTTATAACCAGATGGTATCTGATGGTGAAATCTGCACCGTTTCGACATGGAGGTCTGTCAGAAAAAGATGCGGCCGAAACTGCAATGGAGGCAACTTCTGATGGACGGGAAGATCAGGTAGACCACATATTCTGAAAAAGTTGACTAGGAGAAGAACAAAACTGAACTTTAGTATGGTGAAGTATTGAGCCTTGAACCATTCGCCAACGTAACAAAAAAGGTCGAGAAGCAACGCATGTGTCTAACTACTTTCAAACTTCGGGCATTTTGGTGCAACATTTTACCTTAAGCCTTAAGCACCATTCTGGTTTGACCAGATGAATGATACCAGTAATAAGAGCTGGGTCCCATAGCCAGCAATATGTGGGCTATGCCAACAATGACTGGGATTTGTTCGAAATGGGGCAGGTCAACCTCTTGAGACATTGATATCAAACATGATAAACATGAGAATGGGGACCTGGAAAATCCCTGGTTGTTGCCGGGAACATGACCACAGTTCCTTGTGTTCAAGATGGAAGTTGTTGGAAGATACTCCCGATCCAAGACACAGAATTTCAAGACGTTTGGCTTTTCAGATCTTTTTTTTTTTGGCTCGGCGAGTTTTTTGAGGGCCCACTGGTGTTCTGCTTCATTCTTGGGTATATAGAGTAATTACCACATTTATTAGTACTACATTTATTATACTTAGTGGGAATCCAATGTACATGTACATATATATATATATACATGGATGTATATGAATCTTGAGTACCCATGTTTTACCACTTAGAGTTGGGTTATCTCGCCAACTGACATGATCTTACATCCATGGAAAAATTGGATTCCCACAAAGTAGGATGAAGCACCGACCCACTAATTGGGGCACCATGCCGATTGGTTCGACCCCATTCCCAACTCGCCTACATGCGTGTCCTGTGAATGCAGAGGCACGTGGAAAGTTCTTAAATGAAAACAGAGTGCATACCTTGATATAGTTTGCGACAATTGGGTATGGCTCGAAATTATATGGAATCCCCAAACTGGATGGGTTTGGATTGAAGCTGACCCATAAAAAACTTGACCCATAGAACTGGGGAATACTTGAGAATTCGTTGGCAAATACCTCAGAGTTTCATAGAAACGAAAGATTTCTCATCCCATTTTTTTTTGGTAGTTCATATGGACCAAGATAAGAGTCTCAGTATGAACCTTGACTAGTTGGTGATTCTTAAAATACTAATTCCTATTCATTCACTGTTGACGTCCCAACAATTGGGATGCTGTCAAGGAACGGACATGCCCAAACTCCGCGTGGTCAACATTCATGACTGGTTGGTGATTTCACATATTTCACCGACAAAAAAGCCATGCCCGTTTTTGACTTTTCCAGCCGTACCTTCGGAAGTATGACTGAAGTACGATTCAGGCGCTTAGCCTCTTGGAAACTAGCTATGGGACATCACCATTTTTTTTTGGTAAAGCAACATGACTATGGAAAATCACCATCTTAAATAGGTAAATCAAATCAACATAAATCAACTATAAATGGACCATGTTCCATGGTCGCTATGCTACCATGCCCCTGTATCTGAAGTGTAAGAGGATCCATAGAGATGGGCGAGACCGGCCCATGGGGATACAATATGTAAACCAACGATGGGTGGTAGTTACAATGGCTATCCCACATGACCACGAAAATGATATCCCATCCTACAAGATGACCAACCAGATAACCTTGGTTGATAACCCCCTCCAAGGTACCTAGGTTGCAATCATTTTATCGACTTTCACCGAGCTTGATGGAGGTTGGTTGTCGGGTTTAGGGTACCTCCATGGTCAAAACGTGGCACACGTGGCCGAGTGCCACCCAAATGGGATGTGGCCAGTTGGAGATGGATGTGGACATCCATCCCTGGATGATGGATCCCATACCCCCGTCGTTCATGTTAAACACCTCCATGCTACCGGCCCCAACGATGTGTTTTTATCCCCGACATCCAGATACATCCAGCACGGTTTTCTTAGGTTTAATTAGTTCACGGGGGAAGGGATAATTATATGATTATGTCATTTTGGGAATATATTTGGGAGGCATACGGTATTCATCGGTATTCCCCCAGTTTCAAAAGTGGCAAGTGGCAATCCCTTTTTTTTGGCTGGTGACTCTCCCATGGACAAGGCTGAGTCTGAAAAGGCTGGAGCTGTCAGTTGGGGTCCCAGCTGACGTTGAGCTGTCAGTTAGTTGCTTGCGAGGTTTAACGGGTTTAACGGTCAATCCACATAACTTTTGTTGATATCTACCCTCTGGTTATGTCAAAATAGCTATTGAAAATGGCTATTTATAGTAGATGTTCCCATTAAAAATGGTGATTTTCCATAGTTATGTAAACGTTTACCAGAGGGTATACATATTAGGTGCCATTAAGACCAGCATTCTGGGGATAAACTCGACATTTTTTCTGATCATTTGATACCCCAGCTGGATGATAACATTTGATGGTCAGATCCCAATTCGAGCGAACACCGAAGATTGAGGGATTCTGATGGTTTTTCATCATGTGATTCATCACCTTTCGGATTCACAATGTTCGATTCCTCATGTTGTTTCAATCTACATTTGCAGATTCCTGCCTGTTATATCCCCATTTGAACAACAGAATCAAGAGACGGAACTTTCCAAATCCCTAGACAATCTACTTGCTGGTGCTTAGTAGGGAATGGAATGGGAATGGGGGAATGGGGGAATGGGATTATCATTAATAGTTATTATGGATCATTCGCTCATTCCCTACTAAGCACCAGTAAGTCTAAGGTTTCTATCATTTTCTATCCCGATCTTTAAATCTTCATTTTGGTTGATTACATCCTGATGTTAGATATGCTACATGCTCAACAAGTCGATTTCTGACGGAGAAATACCATATTTTTCTCGTGTAACATACCAAGTATTTGGTGAGATCCCAAGGTCTTCTGCTTGAAGGTTTAATCGCCAAATTGGACGTTACATCCCAATTTGGGGTCGCCAAACTCCAATTCTTGTTGATGAAATCCCAATTTTGACGGTTCAATCATGTGCAATCCCAATTTTTACATATATATAATTATATATATATATATATTAAATATATATACATACACACCCAAAAATCATGTTTGGTGCTGAGTAATCTCAATATTTCTTGATCAAATCATCCTCAGCCTTGGAGAGGTAGTTTAATCCTTTATTTTTTTCCTATGGAAAATCACCATAGACAGCAACATAATATTTTCTTACGGTATATTTATACCATATATGTTGTACTATTAAATATAATATATAATATATAATATATAATATATTTATTATTTTCTTGTACCAAAGATTGACCATGAAATCATGTCTTAGGCGCGCCTGAAAGCGAGCTGCTTCTGCGCGCGGCACGGCAGTGCTTCCGACTGACCTGCAGGTGGGGTTTGGCGCACGGGCTTCGCGATGAGCAAAGATTCTGAAAACATGGGATTAAACTTCGGACTATTTGGGATCAAACCAAGCAAAATATACAAGAAATAGGATCAAATCAACACTGACTAGTTGGGACTTGATGGGACTTTGTGCGGCTTTAACTAGCTTCACCCAATTTTAAGATATTTTAACCATGTAAAATGGGGATAGAGTTGATATACAACCATTGAATCATGATTGGTGGTTTGAACAAATTATTTTCCATCCAAAAATTTTTGAAATGATGATCCCCTATGGTCTAACATGATTCGACCAAGAAAGATCTTGGGACTATCCAGCAACCACGAGTACGTAGAACTTGGATTTCAACATGATGCAACATGATGCAAGCTCCAAAAAATGAAGGTAACAGGGTATATCCTGGTACATTAAAAGGGGATTTCTTGAACCTATGGACTTAGCCATGAGTTAACAAAGGGAGAGAAGCATCGATCAGATGCGGGGGGGGGGGGGGGGAAAGCCAGCAGCAACATTTGTTCTTTCACGTGCCAGGGGTTTGACCCACATTCATCTTGCTGGAATCGAAACAAATGACCAAAGCTACCGAAACTTAGAGGGTTTTGGCTATGTGGAGAATGTTTACGTAAAACCTATTATACCATAAGACTTAGGAGGTGATTCACATCATTTCACATCCAGAACTCCTAGCTATTTATATGATCTTAATTGATCTTATATGGAGGTTTCCTAAGTCATTGGGGTACCCCCAGTTCTCATCCATTTCTGGATGGTTTTTCCATTATAAACTTTTTTTAGGTACAGTACCCCCATTTGTGGAACCCCCCCATATGATTTATCCATGTAAAGTACGTAAAATACGACCAGTGCATCCCATGGCGAAAATCGGTCCAAGGTGGCGGAATTACGGGTAGCATTGACACGAAACACGCGAAAAACAACAGCATCATTCATCATCACTGTACTGTTGTGTTTGTATAATTTTGTGTATACATGATCATTATAACATGATACATCATTATAACATGCTCTTTATATGATCATTATATAACATGATAACATCAATATCATTATCACACATGCCACAAATAAATCATTGATCGCGACAGTGATAAGACCCGGGAGTTTAAAACGCAACAACAACAATAACCAGATGTCGGACATGGCGGATGTTGAAAAATCTCACCTTTTTTCACAACCGGTGACCAGTGACCATGGCGTGCTGCCACGTGGCCGTGACCTTTGGAATTGTGGAACATCATGCAATCTTCGATCTTCACCGGGAGACCTACCTCCACGTGAGCTCGACGAAGGAAGGTGAAGTTCGGGTGATCAGTACGGAGAAAAGGACGGGGACCGGACAAGACAGCGTCCGTGAGAGTAAGGGAAGATCAAGTGATATCCTCCAAATATATACATATATATGTATATATATATATAGAGTTTTCAACGATAAGCACACATAACTGTGATCACCAATTTAGCAGGTACTGTACTGTAAATTATGAAACTATTGCTGGGCCATCTATACCGTAGCGTAAGAAAATGCCAGAAGTGGACTTTGATGGGCGACGTTTTCCCACCTCACAGCTGGTTGTGACTTGGGGTAATCTGTAGCCAGGAATGGGCGGATCCCAATAGATAATCCATATGTTCCAGTGAAATCCCTTTTTCAATCACCATAAAGCAACATACCCGCATTTTCAATATACCCTCTGGTAAACATACAAAAAACTATGGAAAATCACAATTTTAATGGGTAAATCCACTATTTCAATGGCCATTTTCAATAGCTATTTTGACATAACCAGAGGGTATTTCCCGATGAGTTACCCGCAGGAGCTTTGAACAAGCCTTCCCCACGGCATCCGAATGGCGCGTCGTTGCAGAGCCCCCTTCTCTGCAAGAGGGGCGGCGGATTCTCTTTTGGGCACGGATGATGACCCACGGCCCCAATCGGGCGTTTGGAGACCTGGATTTTCTGAAGGGAGATACATGGGATATCAATAGCATTAGTGGGAGATAAATGGATTTTTTCATGGGATATATAACTGCGTGTTCATGAATATCGATGGGGGTGTTAGTGGGATGTTAGTGGGAACTGACATGGGCACTCAATGGGATTGGTCAACCCACCAAGTCATTGGGAAATCTGCTGCAGAATTTGCGATATTTTTTGGCGTTTTTGTTGGCCAAAAAAACGCTAAAATCCAAGGACATCTCATGAGCTCAACGCTTCGAAAGACTTTGTTCGAAGGTGCTGGGAAGGTATTGCTGTCGGCGACAGCGAGGCAGAAGCGCTTTCAAGCGCTGAAATTGTGGGCAGTGAAACGGAGTCAGAGACCTGGTCGTTGAAGATTCTTATTTTTTTTTCAACTTTCCCAGCAGTTGATTCACCAAAATTTAGGCCAAGATCAATGAATCCTATGGGATAGTATCTATGGGAATCTATGGGATACTATAGGGTATATAACCAACATCAAACAACCATGTCGTTTGTGGGTCTGAAAATGGGGGATATCCATAAATTACATTGCGATTTAAACGGGAAAAAATGATGGAAATTTGGGACTTTGGGGCACCATATTTTCAGTGACCACGGCCTCACGGCCGAATCAGCGAGGAGAGTGACCTGGATGTGGGCACTGGCAGTTCTGTGGCACGTGCATCTCCATTTGGTTTCAGCGTAGGCGCACATGTCCTCTCTGCAGAAGCCAGGTTGATGCTGTGGAGAGTAGAGATCCTCAGAGCTAGACACTGCGAAGCTGCTCAAATGCAGTTCAAGGTGTCGCCGTAAATTCGAATGGTGACGTGACTCAGTTGAGATCTTTTAGGTGTCTGAATGTAATTTGGTTATATAGGTGACTTCTATCAGTTTCTCAGTCCGAGATCAATTCGATTTCGATTTGACTCTTATCAGTTTCTCGATTTGAAACATTTCGAGATCATTTCGAGATAATTCAAAAACAAATGGCTGCAAGAGGGTTTGTCTTGAAACAGACTTCAATGGCAAGCTCAATTCACTGCCTGCACGCTGCGCCAGCGCACAAAAACCATTGTGCCAGAAAAGCAGGGCTGTCTTACCTGCTGCCCTGCCCGAAACGATCCGTTGGAAGTGGACATAAGATGATCAAAAAAGCGGGGAAATAACTAACACTATGGGGATGTTTGATTGAAGTGGGATTTGTGAAATCACAATATAAGTTTATATATGTTTATATAAGTTTTGGGTGTGTCTGAAAATAGTGATACCAACAAGATAACCATTTTAATGGGGAACATGAAGATCAATCATGAAATTTGGGGCACCCTTTTTTCATACAGCATATTAGAGGATTTGTAGTTCCACCTCTTTGTTTCGAGTACAGTGTATGTCTCCTACATGGTTGATCCTGGGTTTTTGCAACTGGTTGCAACTGCATGATGATCCACCTGAGATCTTTCATACGTTTTATACAACCTAGTTTCTAACCATGAATCCTAAGTGTAACTTCCAGGAAGGTCCAGTCCAAGCAAGGATTCTCCCAAACCCAGTCAGTATATTCCTAGCTACAGGCAGGGAAATGATCAACTCCAATGTTTCGTGTTTTTTTAATCAGCAATTTGCCAGGCTGAACCTCGCCACCTATGTTGGTCAATGTAGGCACATCAAAGCCCATCCACAAGTCCCAGTCATCTCTCAGTTCTTGTGAACAAAAGTAAGCGTAAAACACTCTGAAATCATGCTTGAACATTCAATTACTGTATGCTGGTTTCATTATGATAACATCCATCAACATCCTATAAACCACTAATAGTAGTACACAGTAAACCTAACATCCATAATAATAAATCTAACATTACCTAACATTATAGTAACCAGCATTTCTTAAAACTAAATGATAATAACATTATAGTAACCAACATTAGCCAACATTATAGCTGGTTGGTGGTTTGGAACATGAATTTTATTTTTCCATTCAGTTGGGAATGTCATCATCCCAACTGACGAGGTCATATTTTTCAGAGGGGTAGGTATACCACCAACCAGATTATGATTAACCATCATCAACCATATAAGAAACATTAATATTAACCATTAATATTAACAGTATATTACCAACAAGTATATCTACCGTACACCATAGTTACTTGGTGGCTCATCCCACTTAGTAAGTGGGTTATAACCCCAATTATAAGTGGATTAACCCTACTTATCCCATTTATAACTGGGGTTATAACCCACTTACTAAGTGGGATGAGCCACCAAGTACCTACAGTATTTTTATAGTAAATCCAACATTTCTTGGAGAACGTCCACTGCTGCGAGCCAGGACCTTGCGACAGCTCCTGCAGCTGGCCACGAAGCTCCACTCGCGACAACGAGCCTCTCCGGCGCCGGGCTTGGCGCGGCAGCTGGCGCAGGCCTGGAGGATGGTGGCCCTGGTGGCTTTTTGAAAGCAAGAAATATCTGGTTGGTGGTTTCGGACATCACCTGGAAATATGGAGATATCATAGGAATAATGGGATAATGATCTGGTTGGTGGTTTCAAACATGAATTTTATGTTCAAACAGGGATTTGACGGAGTATTTGATCTGATATGTGCCATGGTGAAAAGATGGATCATATTATACAGCTGGTTGGTGGTTTGGAACATTTTTTTTATTTTCCATAATACATGGGATAATCCTTCCCATTGCCTCATATTTTTCAAGATGGTTATTGCACCACCAACCAGATATGGTGAATTCACCAAGAGAACATGGCTTTAACATCTCTTAAGCATCAAGAATTAGGGACTTAAAAAAACGGAATCGGTGAGAGTTTTTTTTTCACACATGATGAAACAATGGTGAAGACTTAGTTTACGCTTGGTGAACCCAACTCCAATTTATATGGTTTGTGGCAATCATATAATTATGATTATCATAAATCATAGATATTGGAGTATGATTGCCCATTAACCATCATATATCAGAATCATAACCCCATGTAGTTAATAATCATAATGAAAAAATATGGGGGGTTATGAATAGCTGGGGGCAGCAACCTTGTATTAATGGACTGGTTGAACATCCTTCACACAAACCATGTTTTTTTTGAGTTTCCTGCAGACTCTTCCTTAAACCAGTTCCAGGAGGTTCGGAAAATGTGCCAAGAAGCAAGGTTGAATTGGCAAAAAATGGGGTATACCCAGAAAAACATATTCAGTTTAGCTATCTAAAATGGGGAACCACATTGAATTTCACAAACCAACAAGGGAATCTATACAACAAAATTAAAGCAACTCCGACGATTATGACATGCTGTGCTAACCCAGAAATATAGTTGGTTTGAAGCATTTTTTAGACAGGCATTTTCAGCTGTTACACATAATGCTGAAAATTCAAGAGAAATCTCAAGGAAAAAAACAAAAAAACAGCTAGCATCTTGGCTAGGTTCTGGGGTGAATAGTTTTAATGGCTGGATATACTAATCTCTATTTTCATGGATCCCCAATGATTCCGATAGTGAAATGATTGGAGAATTGCTATGATTAGTCTACTGTTAATAGCAATTGACCATCTAAGTATTGGGGTACCCCAATTTTGGCCCATCACATGGATTTCAGTCAGTGGATCTCCTGGCGTCTAAAGCGTGCCAGGTTCGCTGGTTCCATTGATGTTGACTGCATAGATGGAGCCCTATGCGGGAAAAATCCGCACTCATGATAGATCAATATACATATCTGGTTGGTGGTGACTGGAACCATGGAATTTTGTGACTTTCCCATCATATTGGGAATGGAAAAATCATCCCAACTGACGATTCGTCCATCATTTTTCAGAGGGGTTGAATCAATACCACCAACCAGATTATGATTAACCATCATTAACCATATAATAACTATTAATATTAACCATAAATTAATAGTATATTAACCATCATTAACCACCAACCAGACACCCCCTGTGATTGTGGATCGCCACAACCAGACCCTCTAATTTTAGGACCCCAAAACATCCATCTTTCAGAAATCCGACAGGTCCGATTTCCGAACCAAAACGTGGTTCCGAACGGATACAAAACAGCGAATCTCAATGTCTGCTGCTTGGTTGTATCCAAAAACTGCCGGTTGGTTGTATCCCAAAACTTCCTTGGAACTGAATCCATGTTCGCGGGTTTTCATCTGTGTCACTGCTGGTGAAGTCTCAACTAAACTGCCACAAACCAATCGGCTACAGGTTTTTCACCACTCGACCCGCAGGCCAGAGGTGAAAGAGGTATCCATTTTTCCATTCTCATGTGGTTGAGTCACCATTGTTTCATTGATGAAATCACCATGTGTGTGAAAACAGAAACATAGTTGGCTCTCATGTGCTGGGTTTCTTCCAGACAACATGTTTTGATGAAATCTCAAGGGTAAATCATTTCAAATTTTTGATTAAATCTGGTTACACGTTATAAATCACCAATGTTTCATTGATTAATGCTTCATGTTTGGGTTTTCCCACAAGAAAACTCCATGTATATATATATAATTATATATACACATTTGGAATTGCCCAATCATCATCCCAATAATCAGAACTTTTATCAGTGAAATCACCATGATAGAACACCATAAACATCGCCAGACATCATTACAAATCACGATAAAAATCATTCAAAATCACCATTTTTCCAAAAATCCAAAGGGGAGACATCCCAAGATCCCCTGCTGGCCGCGGCGCGGCCAGGTGGCCCGTAGCATCTTGTTGGCCCAGCGCCCCGAGAACACGGCGGCTGCGCTGCGCTGGGTGGGAGAGGCGGAACTTGGAAGCCCTGTTGGTTCAGAATATGATCCATAAATGGAGGTTTCCAATCCAGGGGGGTAATTTTTATTAATGGATTGTTTATTTCATGGAAAATCCGACTTATAAATGGATGAGAACTAGGGGTAGCCCTATTCATGGAAACCCAAATCTCCGTTCTAAAGGTGATAGAAGGTTATACTGTTATACTATCCCCAATATACCGTGTTGAGACCTGAGGTTATACTATCCTATATATATATACACGTACGTATATATATATAAATATGTATATATTTATATGTATATATGTATATATGTATATATGTATATATGTGTATACATATATGTATCAGAATGCAGTATGGGAAATCCTATTAACCAGCCACAAGAAAACCACAGAGGGATTATTTCACACTGCTCCTGGATGGAAAGGCATAGGAAGTGAGGAGACCATGAGATCGTGGGATCAAGCATCTGGTAGCAACTCTATTGGGACAATACATGGTATACATGGTATACATGGTATACATATATATATACATAATATATATATATATATATGGATACATATGGATATATATATATATATATACGCACACACATATATATATATATAGATAATATTCATATTTCTGGATAGATGCACAAAACTTAGGATAATTTTAATGGATGTTGACCGGGGTTTCCATGGGATACATGTTGGGGGATTGTTTTGCACCTCCGATTAGCCCATTGACAACTCTTAGTGGATTTTGATGGGAATTCTATGCGATATATATATATACATATATATGATGGGGGATATAAATGGATATAATATATCTATGGGGATCTATGGGGTATGGTTTAGGGAATATAATAGGGGATAGAATTTAGGATCAAGTGGGGGTAGCACTGGACGCACTGTATGTTCCCATGGCTCTTTTTCAATTGACAAACCAACAGCCTTCTTTTGTTTAATACAATTTGAGGACACCCCTTACCAAGGTGGTTTATGAACCTATCAACTATAGATATACAGTATATAGTATATAGTTAAATTCCCCATAAACCCAACAGTAGCTATCGTAAACAGGGGCATCATCTTGTATGAAATCCTCCATGTTAGTTTGCACCCAAGAATGAAGTACTGGGACGTGATAAACCGTGATGAAACGTGGCATATCTTCTCCTTTTGAATCCTTGCATGGACATCTGAAGCCACAAATGGCAAAAAGTTGCACGTTTCAGATGAACAGGCATTGTGAAGGGAGTGACTTGGGGACCGAATCTGATCATTCCGTGGATCCAAACATATCCCAGTCAAGTCTTGACGCTAGAAACGCAGAAATCCCCCCAGAAGACTCGCCCATGTTGTTTTTTTAAAGTTCATGTTCAAACTGTTGATTTCTTATTTAATTTACATGCTTTGAACATTGAGCTATATTGAAACCATTTAAAACCTATCATGTTCCATCAATCCCCCAAAAAAGATGGGTATGTCCGACAATTTCGGGTTTTACACCCCAAAATCCCATAGTTGATCATCATGCTTTCCCTTTTTTCCCCTGTTGACATGGCAAGTTGTATGGTGTTCCTCCACATTTTCAGATGCAAAAAACCCCCAGTGGGAAGATGACTCGTGCTGCCGCAGGTCTTCGATGTGCTACAGAAGATGCATGAGGAGCAAAACAAAGTGGCCCTTTGGGTGGCAGATTTTTCGTTGGCCGTGGGGTGATGGTGAGGTTGGTGGGTTTTTTGCAAGGATTTCATGGGAAAACCATAGGAAAACCATAGGAAAACCATAGGAAAACCATAGGAAAATGGAGGTTTACCCGCTGGTAAACGTTTACAGTTTGCGAACTTGAAAATAGCCATAGACATAGTGGATTTACCCAGCTATAAAATGGTGATTTTCCATAGTTATGTTAGTTTACCAGAGGGTAAACATTGTGAAACTCATCGGGTAGTAATGGGGTTTAAACATTATTTAACCAGCTACATGGAACCAACGCAATATGTGGTTTGCCACCCGAAAGTGGTGTTTGAACGTGGTTTATGCATCAACAGTAATTAGGGACTTCATGGATTCTTGATGGGGATACAATGGAATATATATAACTAACGCAATGTGCCATGATCAATACATGGTCTATTTTTCTATCAGTTAGAGGATGGTCATTCCCCATGAATAGGGATAAAATATTATACCCACAATATGGTGATTGGTGACATGTGGCATGCTGAAAGGTTGGATTGTATAGATTCACCCCCCAAAAAAGGGGGATGGTCATTACACCCCTCCCTTGATAGGGAATGATACATTTTATACTGATCAGTTGCTTTAAGGATTACACTGCTGGGACGACCAGAAGCAAGATACACACGTGGCTTTCGGTGGCTAAGCCATGTCGGCTAAGCGGGAAAAGAGACCAGCTACAAATCTGCAGCCAGATAGATGGATATAACAGGTGAATCTAACATATTCTACTCTACTTATACATCTTACACTCTTCATATTTGGAGGTTTCCTAAAACTGATGGTTTATTTCCATGGAAAATCCCAATCTAAAATGGATGATGAACAGGGGTAGGCCTATGACTTAGGAAACTTCCATTTCTCCAAAGACCGTGCTCCCGAGGCTGTCCGCCCGTTGGCTTTGTGCACCTTCTACCAGGTGCAGTGCTAAATCTTCGCTTGATTGATGCCAATGGATTTCAGCGATGAAAGATACGGGAATAGAACTGATAAAGGATTGGTGGTTTATGATCATAGGATTATACCAACCAATAAGTTGGGGAGTATCATAGCCCATGAACGGGAAACCCCTATAAACATTGCCAACCAACTAGATGAGTAGTCAGTAGTTTTTACTTTTATTTTTTGAAAGTTTGCTATAAATGGAAAAGAACCAGCCAACCAGCAAAAGATGACATTTTTTTGTGGATCAAGATGGACTTGTGGACTGTGCGCGGCAAAAAATCCTCGGTTGATTTTGGTGGGGATTATACGAAGCAATTGGAGGAATCATATATATTAGACATATACTACTATTGGATTATATTACTACCATTGGGGATTATTATATAATCCAGTTGCTTAGTATATATATATATATTAGACACATACTGGGTTTGGAGATGGTCGCAATCCATTAGGGGAATCCAGTTCTCCACCAACCAGATATCAACTTTATGACGACACAGGGGTGACATTGCTGATACCTCGATGGACCAAAGTGTTGAACCAAAATTTTCTTTCAAAGGTATGAGCTTTATCGACCATTTTATCCCCGTTAAACTGGCAGGATTGGGCCCTAGAAATGTTTTCTTTGTAAACCCATTCAACTGTAGGTATTTGCGCCATAAATCCAATCATTAGCCTTCGTAAAAACCAACTTACCAATCGTTTGGGAGGTGGTTTCTCCTCAAGGATATTTCACAAACTCAAAAAATGTAAGCTGGCCCTTTTTAGTTCCCCATTTTGTTGGGCACATTTTCAAATCATGAAACCATCCCTTTAAGAGCCCTTGGCTCACGATTGGAGACATCAAGACATCAGCTGTACTGGGATGGTACCTTTATTTCCAGACCACCCATGTCAGTTGAGCAGTGGCTGCTAAACCCCTGGCAGGGTTGATGATTAGTTGGGGGATTATACTATCTAATTTTTGTTGGTGATTCTAATAGTCCAAGAACGGGGAATCTGCAGAATCCCTATAAACCAACCAGTAAAATCGAATGATAGAGGGATTTTGAACACTGCTCAGTTGATCATGACATCTCATGACATCTCATGACATGTCATCCTGTTGGGTAAGCTATCTATCCTTTTGTGGTAGTGAGCTTCCTAGTTAGGAAGTGGGCTTATCAACACATCTACCTATAATATGTTATAAGTTGTTAGTACAACCAAACCAACAGTTAACACCAGCTAACCAACTTATATTTCTATCACCTTACTAATCACCGTTCAACTTATTACCCTGGTTAAATGAGTTATACAAAAGACAGACATTGTAACTTACCCTAACTAATTTAACGTAACTATGGACACTTGCCGATTTATAGATGCTTTACCCATTGAATGTGGTGACTTTCCATAGTTTATGTTACAGTACCAGAGGGTATTTTTTCTGCCCATTGCCATGATATCTAGATCTATGAATGGTAGTTAGAATCTGTATCCCATAGTATCACTATAAACTATTTCACCATTTGTTGTTGATTCCCCATTTTTCTCGCTGCCTTGCCTCTTCAGAGGCTGGTGGCTTCGATTTGCTTCCACCACTGATCCGGTACCACGGTGAAGACCCTTTTAACTGGGATCCGTGAAGTCTTTGGGCTATGTAATAGTACCCTCTGGTAATATACCACTTGGATTGACACCAACGTTTAACACCATCATAGTAATTACCAGGGGGATAGAATCCATATATCATGATACCCGGCCTGGCAATGACTGTTACAGTTTGCGAACTTGAAAATGGCCATAGACATAGTGAAATTTCCCATAAACAATGGTGATTTTCCAGTTCGCTATGTTAGTTTACCAGAGGGTAAGAGGGATATAACATAGTAAGGCTGAAATATGTTGGAATATCATCCATATAATTATGGGATATCATGTTTTTTTTTTGACTCTAGCCACTAGAAAACCTGCTTGGTGGTTTGGAACCATGGAATTTTATGACTTTCCATATATTGGGAATGTCATCATCCCAAGTGACTTTCATATTTTTCAGAGGGTTAGGCTCAACTACCAACCAGATACTATATAAGAGGGATATAACATAGTAATATATATATATTACTTGTCTTTGGGAATATTGTCTATGATGTGATATTATCAATAACCCAACAATCGATGGGAATAAAAGATATGTTTGTGGGTTCAAATCCCTCTTTTTCTTTGTTAAATCCACCTGCGCACGGTCCAAAGTCTCCCTTCATGTGTTTTTTGCAGACTTAAGTGTCATATGGCTGGCGGAAGCAAAACCCATGCGACGCTGTTCGGGTTTGGTATTGAGTCATCCATCATAAGCATCAGATACGCTCTGGAAAATCACCACTTTTCGATAGCTAAATCAACGAACCCAATGGGCCATTTTCAAGTTCGCAAACTGTTACGTAGTTTCCATTTTCTTAACCATATATTAACCATCATGAAAACCATCATGAAAACCATCATCAGAATCATAACCATTCTTAACCATTAATATTAATAGTATATTACCAACCAGTGGTAGGTAGGTCAACCATTAACCATTAATATTAATAGTATATTAACCATTATTAACCATTATTAACCATTAATAGTATATAACCATTATTATCCACTGGTCAACCAGCTTCCCCTATTGGTAGGTCATAGACCTTGGATCATCGAGGTTTGTGGCCGACGAACTCGGTGGACCACACGCGCAGATCGCTGGGGCGTCTCTCACGACGGCCGGGGGTTCTACCAACATCGCAATGGAGCGTTCGAAAAACCCATGGGATTTGAGCATTAAACATGATGGTTTTGCCTGGGATTCAACGATGTTCAATGGTTGAATGATGGTTTAATGAGAATCAACTATAGCATTTAATGATGGTTTAATGGGATTTAATGGAACTCAATAGTTTATTCTGATATGAAAACAGATATGATATGATAAAAAAAATATATGAAAACTCTGATTTTTTTTGGTGCGTGCTTTCACTTTTCTTTGTTGCTTATTCAATGTTGCTGATATTGACCAGCCAAGTTTTGGATAGCTTTGGTGGATTTGGTTCTTTCACCAGTGAGATCTATCTACTACTGTACAGCAATTGTTGGGGTTCAAGTTGGAGGTTCAACCCGGAGCCAAGATTAAGACGAGACCCGGTTTTTTTTGGGGCCACGTGACTTTCTAGTGGAACATATGATCTACCTCCTTTTAGTAAAGGTATTTGGTTGATAGATTCCCCATGAAAGATCATCAAAGGAGATTTGGTGTATAAACCAACCCCCAATTTTCAGCCACAACGGGGGGCTACAACATGCTACAACAAAAATCATCCTAGGTAGGGTCCGGGGTATGCTCAATTTCACAAGCCATTGCATAGCATTACTTTTCAGGACTGCTTCTTATTGTCGGAGCCCGATTACCTCCAGAAGAATAACATATATATATATATGGAAATCGCATGCGACACCCTGTGACCGGAACATAATCTAAAAATGCTTGCAGTTTTCCCATACCTATCTTGTAATTTAAGCGGTAGGATAAACTATTACCAACCAAGGCCACCCAGCTTTTTTTTTGTGTCAAATCTGCAAATCCTAATTTCTGTACTTGCTGGTTCACCCCAGTGAGATGCGTTGGTTCAACCCAAATCTAACTGGACTATGTATACTGGACTAGACTATGCCTACTTGCACTCTTGCATCATCTGGACGATGGGCCCTCCTAGTTACAAATTGATTTATCACCCAACCACCATACCGTTTCCTAATTATAAACTAAATTATATAACTTAGTTATAGTTACAGTACATGCTATATAACCCCGTTGTTATACCTAGTATGGTAGTTGATCTAATAACAGGTATAGTTAGCACTACCACAAGTCCCAGGTGTCCCGGTATCATACTTCTAAACGGCCTTATAAACTATCATCCCAGTTATGAATCATAAGTGGTATGTTATGAATAGTTATAACATGTTATAACTTTACATCCCAGCTATTCTTCATAGTTCTCCCAGTCACAGTTAGCAATATAGCTATCTATGGGGCCTGGGGCCCCACCAGGCTGCCAGCTACTTCGAGAAACTCACGGCCTGGAAACGCTACACCCATGCCATGCAGACGCCGGGCAAAATTTGGATGTTCGATTGCCCCGGTGATTGGGTATTTCATAGGCTTTAAGCATTTAATGAGAGTGGTTTTATGATGTTTTATGGGCTTTTGAAGGTTTAAGCTGTTTAAGTCTCAAGCGCATGGGGATTGAAAATACCGAATGACTTGAGTTGAATGATTGAATGATGGTGGATCGTGGATTGGTATGATTTACGGGGGTTGTTTCCTACACCTACCTGGTTGGAATTAGGGGTTTTTCGGGCGATTGCCCCTCCCTATCCATAGAGATGGGTGAGTGGTATGCCGGGCAGCAGACAGTCCATCCGAGTCCATCTGGCAGATTTTGGGAGGCGATCACATCAGTCAACCCAGCATCGCCGGTTTTGCCCCATGGGATTTGGACTAGTTGACCCAGGCGTGCCTTGCCATGGTGGGTAGCTCCTCCCCATGGTGATGAACCAATCAAGATGGCCAACAGCATGGCGAATTGATGCAGAAACCTCCGTTGAATGCGGAGTAATTCGATGGGATTCTGTTCACCAGTGATGTTGGCTTTGGTTTAGCAATGCGTGATCAGATGGTTGGTAAGTTCACTAGAGGGCAACTACTGAGAGACTCGAACAAGTTTCCTGCGCATCCCAGTTCGTAACTGGTGGCTTCACCCCCCAAATAAACTGGGGATCTCTCATGCAACTAGGGTATTTTTATGGTTATAACATGATTTATAAATGGTATAAGAATGTATAGGACATGAAGCGGGATTCACCTCACTACATCAAACATCAAGGAGTTGTTCTGAACAAAGACATAGTAGCGGTTTCCGGTTTGTCATGGGGGTACCCCCAAATCATTGTCGTGAATTGGGACCATAAAATGGGACCTGCGGACCTGGCACAAATCAGCCTATCCGTATCCCGGATCCTCATTAGCACATGGAGATAAGTGGATATCCTATATTAGATTGATATATCCTCAAGCAATGAATAGTATATAAATAGATATAAATGGTGCCTCCTGCATTTTTTGACAGCCCAGAGGGCGTCCAGATGGTATTTGTGACTTGAGTTAGTGAAGTGATGGTGGGAAAATATCCATGGCAGGAAGGCCCATATTATGGTTGACATGTGTGGAAAGCATGGCTGCAATTTATTTCACCAATGTCCCACGGGAGGACAGCTACTGCCAAATTGCATGACTGTTTGCTGCATTTTGTGATTTCGTATCAACTTGACAAATTGAATCATTGCTAGGCACTCTTCTGGTTGGTGGTTTGGAACCTTTTTTATTTTTCCATTCAGTTGGGAATTTCATCATCCCAACTGACTTTCACTCCATTATTTTTCCGAGGGGTAGGTGTACCACCAACCACTCTTGATTTGTAGATGTCATGTGGGTACACATTTTCTTACCCAACCGCAGCCCCAAGTACCGTAGTTCGTAGACTCCGCCATGAGTTGCTGAGTTTCCAATCCATAGTCCCCCAAAAACGGCTGGTTTATGGACAATCCCATGAACATGAGCCATGTTTAAGAGGATTCTCCATTCAAAAACCAGCCAATTTCTGGTTGGCGGTTAACAGTCAACATGAATTTGAACATGATTTTTTAAAAATTGTTCCATATTCCATCATCCTTTCTGGTTGGTGGTGGTTTGGAACCATGGAATTTTATGACATTCCATATTTTGGGAATTTCATCATCCCAACTCCCAATCATAGAATTGGATGATGGGACAATTTACACCGGAAAACCCTATATTTGATGGTAAAAACCCATGGGTTTCGTGTAGATTTTTCCCTTTTTGCCAATCCATTGATCCAACTGACGAACTCATATCTTTCAGAGGGGTAGCTAGGTTGAAACCAACGCCGAGGATTCGTCCGGAAGACGGCCTCATGCTGAAGGCAACGGCAAGGGGTCGACGGTGACGCCGTTGTAGTCGTTTTGAGCTTTTGAAAAGACGAAATGCACATGTTATAAATATGGAAACCCCCATACTATGTCCATTAATATGCCAATGATATATCATTAATATTCCATTTATACCATTAATAGGTACCATCTGGTTATTCAACATAGCCATGGATAGCCATGGAAAATCCCTTATAAATGGAGGTATCTAGCTGGGAAAATCATCTATTTCTATGGGCCATTTTCCATGGCTATGTTAAATAACCAGATGGTAATGGGAATGTATACATATATTATATATTATATTGTATGATATTCATATAATATTTCACGGTTATATACATCATCAGGATTCACTAATGATGGTGGGATGGCCATATTTGACATATTTTGACTGTGAATCTATATTGATTCTACGGCAGTTTGTAGGGGGTATAGCCCAGTTCTTTCATAGCGCAAAGGTGGAGATACCAATCGAGTATGACCATATATATATATATGGGTACTTCAGTAGCTATAGTTTGTATACATGGGTTAGTTTCCCCAGTCATAACTGGGTTATCACCCATCAGGGACTTGGAAACCAACGTTAGGAAGGCAGTGAATCCCTTCTGAAAAATATTCAACACCCCCCAGAAACTATGGTTTAGTGGAAGATCTATACATATTTGGGACATGTTAGGATCATTTATTTGGTGGTCTTTATAAATGAAGTATGGGATTCTGTACCAATCATCCGGGGGGGTATCAGCAATTTGCTGTTCCTACCATGAAAAATGCCGATTGAAGCATCAACATTCTGCTGTTCAGCCTACAGCTGCTGTTCAGCCCACAGCGATAGAAAAAAAACCATGAACATGGAATCTTTCACCATCAGGAATTGGAACCTGAAGTATGAAACATTATGAAACCTTGAAGATTTTCCCCATCCTTTTTATGGTGTAACATCATCAAATCATCCAGTGGACCGGGTCTTCAGGAACAGCTCTGTCACTCCATCCAGGCGCTGGCTGGTCTTATCCTGGGGCTGTTGGGGACCAATCAACCTAGCCAGCAATTGCTGGACGTGGAAAAATCCACAGAAATGGGATTTCAACATACCCTCTGGTAATGGTGGTTTAATGATGGTTTAATGGTGGTTTAATGGTGGTTTAATGGGATTTAACCAACAAAAATTGTGATTTTAATGGGATTTACCCTATGGTAATTTGTTACATAGCTATTGAACATTGCGATAGAAATAGTTTAGTCCTTGATTTACCCATTAAAAATGGTGGATCTTTCCATAGTTTTTTGTTAACGTTTACCAGAGGGTAGCCATGGGGGCATCATTCGGTGATAGTCCGGTGATATTACCAAAACAACATTTGTTACAATGCAGATCTGTAGACACTAACCAATGATCTATTTGTGTACCAATTCATTCATTGTTCACCGGTTGGTACCAATGATCTATATCACAACATTTGCTATCTATAATAATTTTTCTGAACCACCAAGTGGTGAATTTGACAGCAAAATGCTGGTACTGGGTCTTGTGCATGTGTGGTTGGTGGGGTGGGCTTCAATATAAATGTTCATTTGCTCGATTATGATGCTACAAGAGCTTTTGGATGCTACAGTTGCTCGCTTGTTAACAACGAAGATAGGTCGACCATTCACCTATTCCGATTTCCAGACAGCAGAAGTGGTTTTTCACAACGAAAACACCTCTTCAAGCGCAGGAAATTCGCCAAAATACCCTCTGGTAAACTAACATAACTATGGAAAATCACCATTTTTTATGGGAAAATCCACTATAAATGGTCATTTTCAATAGCTATTTTGACATAACCAGAGGGTAAATTCCACTGCTTCAATGGGATTTCCAAGCTCTGAATCCAACGAACAAGCGTCCCAGGGTCCGGCCGCGAAAAACTTTCTCCAACTTCCAGGATGCGAAAAACGTTGAGTTTGCTGTAGACTCCTGGGAAAACACAAAATGGCTCTGAAGAGCCGAAAGAGTGATGGTGGAAATTGATTTCGTGGAGAAAAAATGGTTGAAATTGATTTCCAAAGATCATTTCAAACATTTGGTTTAAAACCTCTAGTGGTTGGATTTGCTTGGTTTCAAATGATGTCTCTTTTCAACAATAGAACTGGGATAATGATCCCTCACCTTGCAACTGGCCGGCAGGACCGATGTGTGGTTGTTTCACAGAATATATACGTGTATATATATATATACGTATATATATTTATATATACGTATATATATATATAATATAGAGGTTTGGAGATTGGACATGGTTTTCAAGCCCCAAAATAGACTTGGAAATGGGTTTCAATATATTTTAATCCAAACTTCAATAGACTTGAAACATCTTGGAACTTTATTTTTCAAGCTGGTTGCACTTCTAGGTGTCGTCCCCTGTGCCGGTGCAGGCAGCAGCGGTGAAGAGTTTGCTTCCCATCTGGCAGTCTCCTAGATCCTTCAGCAACTACCCGCGCAGTGTCTGCAGTTCCATGCTGAAGGCCCGGTGGAACCGAGAATCCTATAGGATATATATAATTATACATATTAGTTCCATGTGGATTTAACTAACCAACAAAAGAGGATTCCTAGTTGTATTTGTTTGGTTAGTTATTTCATTTCCATGGGGATTTAATGGGATACAACTGATATAAGTCACCAACAAAAGATGATTCCTGGACTCATGGAAAACAATGGAAAACAAGACCTGGAACCAACTAGGAATATCTGACAAATCTGAATCATGAATACTGAACAAATGAACATCGGAACATTCGAGATGAAGAAATCTCATTGGGCACCGAGAGAGGATTTGGAGATGGAGAAAGTTCATGGGCTTTGTATGAAAATGGTTATTGGAGAAAAACTAAAATCCAGAGGTTTATCATGGTTTTCCCTCTTCAAGTAGCCATTTAGGGTTAAACACATTTAAGAACACAATTTTTGTTTTAAACAATGTAGAAGCCATATGATTGGGAAAGTTCACGAAAAGTCCATAAATAAATAAACAACAGGGGAATAAACGTTACCACACAAGTAGGAACAACAACTCTTATGCGAGAAACTAGTGAACACTTTGACAACTAAACTGGGGTTCTGTTTATTTTTTTCAGTAGAACCTTAGAGGACAAGGGATTGATGTGGTAAAGCCAAGAAGAAACTGTGTCTAATCATGCACATTCGTGGACTATTTGGACCTTGGAGGATTATCTCAGTAAACTTGGATCGGAGCAACGTCTTGAAGACCTGGGGTTCCGGTGCACGTCCAGGATAGAGCTCAGTACCTAAGGAAAAAACTCATTTGTTTGGATTTGAAGATATGTCAGGTGATGTCAGGTGTAAGGTTTTAAGTTGTAAGTAGCCATAAAACAAAGTATTAAACCTAACTTCTTGGTTTAATCGCCATGTTTTGGAGTCAAGATCAACTCGCAACTCCTGATGCTCGATGGGTTCATCACCTATTCTTTTACCTATAGTGAAAACCCATTTTCCGATTGGTATGTTATAAGCTATACCCCATAGGATCCATGTATGCTATATATGGTCACATTTACCATCAATATACCCCCAATGTTAGTATAGTATATATACCATACATGGATCCTATGGGTACTGAATCTGGTTTTGTCGGTGTTCAATCCCTTTTTTGTCACCCTCTGCAGAAAAATAGCAATTTAGCGTTTTTTTAGTGGAAAATCACCATGTTTCAGAATGGTAAATCATCAAACTATTGCTGGGCCATCGAACTGCCATAGCTATGTCAAATAAACAGTGGGTATATAATACGTATATATATAATATAATATATGTATAATAATATATATATATATGTAATACAATATTATATTATATATATTATATATATAATATAATATAATATAATATAATATTATATATTATTATATATGTAATATAATATGATATATTATATATGTGTAATATAATATTATATAATATTATATATTCATGTAATATAATATTACGTTACATACATACATACATGCATGCATGCATGCATGCATGCATGCATACGTACGTACATACATACATACATACATACATACATACATACATACATACATACATACATATGTATATATATAATTTTACATTACCCACAAGCCCCGTGTGTTGCCCAAGCCCAGAATAGCGTAAATTACAAGGATTTTTTGTTCACACTATACATCTCATATAAATTCTCCCAGCCCCGTTAAACTTCTACATTCATTGAAGATTCTTCAATAAGGGTTTAATTCTCCCACTCCCCTTAAACTCTTACATTCGTTGAAGATCTTCAATAAGGGTGAAATTTCCCACCCCCGTTAAACTCTTCCATTCATTGAAGATCTTCAATCAGGGTTTAATTCTCCCACCCCCGTTAAACTCTTCCATTCATTGAAGATCTTCAATAAGGGTTTAATTCTCCCACCCCCGTTAAACTCTTACATTCATTGAAGATCTTCAATAAGGGTTTAATTCTCCCAACTCCGTTAAACTCTTACATTCATTGAAGATCCTCAATAAGGGTTTAATTTCCCACCCCGTGGAACTTCTACATTCATTGAAGATCTTCAATCATCATCATCATCATCAACATCATCATCATCATGAAATTTGCCGGGAACGTCCCTGTAAGCTTCCGGGCAACACACAGGGCCTGGCCGTAATGTTATATTATATTACATATATGTAATATAATATTATATTATATATATATGTAATATAATATTGTATATTATATATGTAATATAATATTATATATATGTGATATAATATTATATATGTAATATTATATAATATTATATATATGTAATATAATATTATATATATACATATGTAATATAATATTATATATATGTACTATAACATTATATATAATTTAATATTGCATATATATGTAATATTATATAATATATATATATATATATATATGTAATATAACATTATTTTATATATGCAATATCATATTATATATATGTAATATAATATTATATATATAATCATATATTTACCCATGAAATTTCCCATGTTGGACATATCACCATGAAATCCCATGTTTCGTCACCATGTTTCGTCACCATGTTTTGTCGCTGTTTCGTCACGTTGAACCGGGACCTTTTTGACGCCGATCTCGACGGATACCGACGGTCCAGGTGTGGCTCCAGATGGCGCAGAACGAACAGCTGGCCGTTTATGGGGACGAGCGAATGATGCGCCCATTCAGGGGCAAAGGCGGCGATGGGTGACTGAGGGCCTTAGGGAAGTCTGGGGCACAGGACGAGGGGGTTCAGCTGGTTAAGCTAGAAGTGAGTTGGTCCCAAAAAGGGCCCGTGACAGTGTAGACATATCCACCATGAATTTTAGTTGGCCTAGTTGGCTAAAAGTTATAAGCCAGTCTAGGGGGCTCTTTCCTGTCACAATCATAAGGATCAATGAAAATTGTGATGGGTATATTCACAATTAACTGTTGATAACATCACTCAACAATAAACAATGCCATACAATAGTGCTTAGATGTGGTTAGTATGAATGACTATTCGCGCATAGTCAAGCGCCATAAGGGTCCGTAACAGTGGGGGATAGCCCTGTTGAATTGCATTCTTTGTGGGAAAATGAGGTTTTGAACCATGGGAGTTTGTGGCACCCTATTTTTGCACACAACCCATGGACTACAAACCTTTATAATTATCTGGGATATGGTTGAGAAACAACTGGGCTGTGCATCCCAAGTGAGCAGTGGTTGGTCGATGGTCACATGGGGGCTAGACTAATCACCAAGCTGACCCCTTTGTGACATGGAGGGGTTCACCCAAATAGAGGAACCACCATACTCTCTAAATTTCTAACTGGTTGGTGGTTTCAAACATTTTTTATTTTCCATAATATATGGAATAACCCTTCCCATTGACTAATATTTTTCAAGATGGTTAAAACCACCAACCAGCTAAGCTCTCCAAACCTACCAAATCAGTACGTACGTAGGACGGAATGGCCGAGTTGGCCTCAGATGTTCTATGTCATTCTCTCCTTTCTGGCCAATTCTCCAAGACTCTCAGGGTTGCAGATCTCTATGTTTCCCTTCATATTGTTACAAAGTCTGGTAATCGCTTTTGCTATCCATTTTTGTCGCTTATGTTTAACAGTGAATTCCAGACTAAAACTCAGCTTCAACCGTTGGTCAATGTTGGTCACCTGTCATCGACAGTGCTACTGTGAATCACGATTTTTTTCATCCCTGTTCTGCTTGTAAAAGCACGTCTCTATTTTGTTGCAAAAATATGCAGAATGTTTTCGGTTCTACATACGTTTCATTTTTGGGCTTATTTAATTAACAAACACCTGTTTTCAACCCCAAACTTGGGGAGTTAAATGGCATAAATTGTGGATTTAACCGACAAAAATTGTGATTTACCCAACGGAAATTGGGATTTAACATGATTTGCCCAAGCAAATTTGGAGTTTCACCACCAAGACCCTCCATTCCAGGTGTAGGTCCTGAAAATGGTGCAGCTCCGCGGCCAAACCCAGAGCGGACCAGCCCTGCGAACGCGCAGGCGGGGTCCCTGGTATTTTGGGCAACTGGGTTCCCAAAATCTGGGTCAACTTTGCTGGTTGGCGGTTTGGAACCATGGAATTTTATGACTTTCCATTCAGTTGGGGATAATATATTGGGAATGTCATCATCCCAACTGACTTTCATATTTTTCCCCACCTGCCAGGTGAGGGTTGTTAGATTTTATGTCAGTTGCCTCCTCCTTCTCCTCCTCCTCCGCCTCCTCCTGCCTCGTCCTCTTCTCCTCCTCCTCCTCTCGTTGTCCTCCTCGTCCTCCTGCTCAACTGCGACTCGCGATCCACAGTGTTCGCTGTCGGACCTCAACCACGACCATCCACGCCCAGTGTTCCCTGCCGGACCTCAACCGCGGCCATCCACGCCCAGCGTTCCCTGCCGGACCTCAACCGCGACCATCCACGCCCAGTGTTCCCTGCCGGACCTCAACCACGACCATCCATGCCCAGTGTTCCCTGCCGGACCTCAACCACGACCATCCACGCCCAGTGTTCCCTGCCGGACCTCAACCACGACCATAGAATGTCAGAAAGAATGTCAGAAAGAATGCCAGATAGAATGCCAGAAAGAATGCCAGATAAAATGCCAGATAGAATGCCAGATAGAATGCCAGATAGAATGCCAGATAGAATGCCAGATAGAATGCCAGATAGAATGCCAGAAAGAATGCCAGATAGAATGTCAGATAGAATGCCAGATAGAATGCCCGATAGAATGCCAGAAAGAATGCCAGATAGAATGCCAGATAGAATGTCAGAATATATGTCAGAAAGAATGCCAGATAGAATGCCAGAAAGAATGCCAGATAGAATGCCAGATAGAATGCCAGATAAAATGTCAGAATATATGTCAGAAAGAATACCAGATAGAATGCCAGAAAGAATGCCAGATAGAATGCCAGATAGAATGACAAATAGAATGCCAGATAGAATGACAAATAGAATGCCAGATAGAATGCCAGATAGAATGCCAGATAGAATGTCAGAACATATGTCAGATAGAATGCCAGATAGAATGTCAGATAGAATGCTAGATAGAATGCCAGATAGAATGCCAGATAGAATGCCAGATAGAATGCCAGATAGAATGCCAGATAGAATGTCAGAAAGAATGCCAGATAGAATGCCAGAAAGAATGCCAGATAGAATGCCAGATAGAATGACAAATAGAATGCCAGATAGAATGACAAATAGAATGCCAGATAGAATGCCAGATAGAATGTCAGAACATATGCCAGATAGAAAGCCAGATAGAATGTCAGATAGAATGCTAGATAGAATGCCAGATAGAATGCCAGATAGAATGCCAGATAGAATGCCAGATAGAATGCCAGATAGAATGCCAGGTGGAATGTCAGAATATATGTCAGATAGATTGCCAGATAGAATGCCAGAATATATGTCAGATAGAATGTCAGAATATATTCAAGATTTGTCCAAATATACGTCCTGACATGTCCTGACATGTCATGGTGGGGATCACACGAAGTAAAGTAATTCAGAGGGGTAGGTATACCACCAACCAGAACTAGTACTTTGATCTTCTGCTATCAATGGTAAAATGTCCATTCACCTGCTAAAAATCAGATGCTTTGGCAGGTATCTAAGATTCACCATGTGGTTAGTAACCATTTATAAATGGAATTGACCATGAAAAACCCACAAAATGGCGGACTTACTAACCAGGGTTATTATTTATTACTTATACATGTTCCTACTTGGAGATTCATGACGGTTCATACCACTTAGTAAGGGGTTAGTAACCATAGTTGGTTCACCCAGTTATTTTAATGGGATAACCCCACTGGGGACTTAAGAAAACTGAGGTTTTCACCAAGGCCATTTTCATAAGTGGGATCCTCCAAGTACCCGGTGGTCCGGTTCTTCAGCACCAAGTAAAATGAGGCGACGCAACAAAGCTGGGGATGTAAACACAGGGTTTCAACTGGGTGAAACATCATGTTACATCCAACTTGGTGAAACACCTGGCTGCGTATCTAGGCTACTGTTAAGGGGCGCCGACTTTGATATCCTGCAGGTGATGCAACTTTGAAGAAATGTCATTCTTGCTCGAGGGTGAGGTAGATTGCCAGTACTGGAGCCGCACAATCGTCCCAACGGCCGATAAGAAACATGACCCATTTATGATGCCGTGGCCAAAATCATGGTGGAATGATGCCCATCAATTGTATCCTTTGTTTTGTTCTTTTTTTTCCTGTCTGTATTTTTTCAGCTACATCTTTGCAACTGTGCCATGAATCGCAAAGCCGTGAGTGGCGAGGTAGCAGACAGCTCCATCGAACTTCAAGTCTTTTTGCCAAGTGGACGATGTGAAACTGTCGCCATCTCGCAGTCTGGCACAGTTGCTGACTTGAAAATAGCTGCTCAACAGTCGTTCGGGCAACGTTTCCTGAGACTTGCTACAGCTGATGGGTGTCTTCTGGATCCAACAGAATCTCTTCGACTTTCTGGGCTTCAAAATGGAGTCAGCCTTGCTGCTGTTGCACAGCAGCCAAAGATAGCTGCAACTCGGCATGCGTTTGCTTTGTGGTGTGTGGGAGGAGACAGAATTGTCACGTGGGGCCATCCACGCCATGGTGGTGACAGCTCCAGAGTCCAACATCAGCTGACAAATGTTCAGCAGATTTGTGGCACTGGCCATGCTTTTGCTGCGATTTTGGCAGATGGGACAGTGGTGACCTGGGGCGATTCAGATTGTGGTGGTGACAGCACCAGAGTCCAACATCAGCTGACAAATGTTCAGCAGATCTGTGGCACAGACTCTGCTTTTGCTGCGATTTTGGCAGATGGAACGATCGTGACCTGGGGCAATCCAGACCGTGGTGGTGACAGCTCCAGAGTCGGAGATCAGCTGAGGAACGTGCAGCAGATCTGTGGCACAGACTCTGCTTTTGCTGCGATTTTGGCAGATGGAACGATCGTTACCTGGGGCAATCCACACCATGGTGGTGACAGCTCCAGAGTCCAAGATCAGCTCAAGAATGTGCAGCAGATTTGTGGCTCATCCTTTGCTTTTGCTGCCATTTTGGCAGATAGAAGCGTGGTGACATGGGGCAGTCCAGACAATGGTGGTGACTGCTCTAGAGTCCAGGGTCAGCTGAGGAATGTTCGGCAGATTTGTGCCACATGCAGCGCTTTCGCTGCCATTCTGGCTGATGGAAGCGTCGTGACATGGGGCCATCCACGCCATGGTGGTGACAGCTCCCAACATCAGCTGACAAATGTTCAGCAGATTTGTGGCACTGGCCATGCTTTTGCTGCGATTTTGGCAGATGGGACCGTGGTGACCTGGGGCGATTCAGACCGTGGTGGTGACAGCTCCAGAGTCCAACATCAGCTGACAAATGTTCAGCAGATTTGTGGCACTGGCCATGCTTTTGCTGCGATTTTGGCAGATGGGACCGTGGTGACCTGGGGCCCCTGGGGCCATCCACGCCATGGTGGTGACAGCTCCAGAGTCCAACATCAGCTGACAAATGTTCAGCAGATTTTTGGCACTGGCCATGCTTTTGCTGCGATTTTGGCAGATGGGACCGTGGTGACCTGGGGCGATTCAGACCGTGGTGGTGACAGCTCCAGAGTGCACGATTTGCTCGCGTACATTTAAACGTTTTTTAGGGCAAGAAAAAGTCGCTTTAGCTGATCTGCATTTGTTTCTGGTGATTTTTTCAGTAACGTCCTTGATGGTTGTTAATGAGTCTTGGAACTGCCGGGCTGTATCTGCTAAAGTGAGGTCGGAACATGTCGGAACTCATTTTCCAAGGGTTCCATGATCATCTTAGGGTATTTCATCATGTTTGCCATGGTCAAAAGATGGATGGATCAGATACCCATATTCGGCGGGTCATACCACCAAGAATCTCTATCAATGGGGAATTCTAATCACAAATATGAGTCCTCCAAATATTCCATAAAATATTCCATAAAATATTCCATAAAATATTCCATAAAATATTCCAAAAGATTCCAAAAATACTGTTGGGATGAGCATAGCAAAGAATAACCCATATACCATGTAGCTTGACATGGAACAGCAGCTACCTCAAATGGGCTGCTCCCTGACTCCCTGCGTCCCGAAAATCCAAGAAACCATCGGTAACCATCGCTTGGGATAAGAAACTGGTTGGGAACCATCAATCGATAATAAAAAATGGATCAAAACCCACCAACATTGCTGAACAGGATATGAACCTGTAGTAATTATATCTAATTTATAGTAGTATACTTGTAATATGGTATTTATAATTCTCAAATAAGCCGTTGCTTGGGGGTGCTGTTGAGGTTCACAATGGGATCAGAAAAAAACATAAGTTGGGATATGATCCCTACAACTATGCTTATGCATCAACCACTGGAACTGCAACCCCAAAGTGTGCAATTGGATAATATTGATCATATTGGATGTGTGGATATATGTGGGTATGTTGTTGGTATAGCGGTTGAGCTTAACAAGATTTGCAGTAAACAACAATAACTGGTTGGTGGTTTGGAACATGAATTTTATTTTTCCATTCAGTTGGGAATGTCATCATCCCAACTGACGACCTCATATTTTTCAGAGGGGTAGGTATACCACCAACCAGAACTAGTACTTTGATCTTCTGCTATCAATGGTAAAATGTACATTCACCAGCTAAAAATCGGATGCTTTGGCAGGTATCTAAGATTCACCATGTGGTTAGTAACCATTTATACAGTAAATGGAATTAACCATGAAAAACCCACGAAATGGCGGACTTACTAACCAGGGTTATTATGGGTTATTATTTATTACTTATACATGTTCCTACTTGGAGATTCAGAACGGTTCATACCACTTAGTAAGGGGTTAGTAACCATAGTTGGTTCACCCAGTTATTTTAATGGGATAACCCCCACTGGGGACTTAAGAAAACTGAGGTTTTCACCAAGGCCATTTTCATAAGTGGGATCCTCCAAGTACCCGGTGGCCCGGTTCTTCAGCACCAAGTAAAATGAGGCGACGCAACAAAGCTGGGGATGTAAACACAGGGTTTCAACCGGGTGAAACATCATGTTACATCCAACTTGGTGAAACACCTGGCTGAGTATCTAGGCTACTGTTAAGGGGCGCCGAATTTGATATCCTGCAGGTGATGCAACTTTGAAGAAATGTCATTCTTGCTCGAGGGTGAGGTAGATTGCCAGTACTGGAGCCGCACAATCGTCCCAACGGCCGATAAGAAACATGACCCATTTATGATGCCGTGGCCAAAATCATGGTGGAATGATGCCCATCAATTGTATCCTTTGTTTTGTTCTTTTTTTTCCTGTCTGTATTTTTTCAGCTACATCTTTGCAACTGTGCCATGAATCGCAAAGCCGTGAGTGGCGAGGTAGCAGACAGTTCCATCGAACTTCAAGTCTTTTTGCCAAGTGGACGATGTGAAACTGTCGCCATCTCGCAGTCTGGCACAGCTGCTGACTTGAAAATAGCTGCTCAACAGTCGTTCGGGCAACGTTTCCTGAGACTTGCTACAGCTGATGGGTGTCTTCTGGATCCAATAGAATCTCTTCGACTTTCTGGGCTTCAAAATGGAGTCAGCCTTGCTGCTGTTGCGCTGCAGCCAAAGATAGCTGCAACTCGTAGTGCGTTTGCTTTGTGGTGTGTTGGAGGAGACAGAATTGTCACGTGGGGCCATCCATGCCATGGTGGTGATAGCTCTGCAGTCCAAGATCAGCTGAGGAATCCGCAGCAGATTTGCCGCACAATGAGAGCTTTTGCCGCAATCTTGGCAGATGGAAGCGTCGTGACATGGGGCCAACCAGACTGGGGTGGTGACAGCTCCAGAGTCCAACATCAGCTCAGGAATGTCGAGCAAATTTGTGGCACATGTCAAGCTTTTGCTGCGCTTTTGGCAGATGCGACCGTGGTGACCTGGGGCAATCCAGACCATGGCGGAGACAGCTCCAGCGTCCAAGACCAGCTCAGGAATGTTCAGCATATATTTGGCACAGCCGGTGCTTTTGCTGCGATTTTGGCAGATGGAACGATCGTGACCTGGGGCGATCCAGATTGTGGTGGTGACAGCTCCAGAGTCCAACATCAGCTGACAAATGTTCAGCAGATTTGTGGCGCATTCTATGCTTTTGCTGCCATTTTGGCAAATGGAAGCGTAGTGACATGGGGCCATGCTCTTTTCTGTGGTGGTGACAGCTCCAGAGTTCAAGATCAACTGAGGAATGTTCGGAAGATTTGTGCCTCAGACAAAGCTTTTGCTGCCATTTTGGCAGATGGGAGCGTGGTGACCTGGGGCGATCCAGACCATGGCGGAGACAGCTCCAGAGTCCAAGATCAGCTGAGGAATGTTCAGCAGATTTATGCCACAGACTCTGCTTTTGCTGCGGTTTTGGCAGATGGAACGATCGTGACCTGGGGCGATCCAGATTGTGGTGGTGACAGCTCCAGAGTCCAACATCAGCTGACAAATGTTCAGCAGATTTGTGCCACAGACTCTGCTTTTGCTGCGGTTTTGGCAGATGGAACGATCGTGACCTGGGGCGATCCAGATTGTGGTGGTGACAGCTCCAGAGTCCAACATCAGCTGACAAATGTTCAGCAGATCTGTGGCACACACTTTGCTTTTGCTGCGATTTTGGCAGATGGAACGATCGTGACCTGGGGCAATCCAGACCGTGGTGGTGACAGCTCCAGAGTGCACGATTTGCTCGCGTACATTTAAACGTTTTTTTGGGGCAAGAAAAAGTCGCTTTAGCTGATCTGCATTTGTTTCTGGTGATTTTTTCAGTAACGTCCTTGATGATTGTTAATGAGTCTTGGAACTGCCGGGCTGTATCTGCTAAAGTGAGGTCGGAACTCATTTTCCAATATTTTCCAAGGGTTCCATGATCATCTTAGTATATATTTCACCATGTTTGCCATGGTCAAAAGGTGGATGGATCAGATACCCAAAAAATTTCGGCGGGTCGTACCACCAAGAATCTCTATCAATGGGGAATTCTAATCACAAATATGAGTCCTCCAAATATTCCATAAAATATTCCAACATATTCCAAAATATCCCATAAAATATTCCAAAAGATTCCAAAAATACTGTTGGGATGAGCATAGCAAAGAATAACCCATATACCATGTAGCTTGACATGGAACAGCAGCTACCTCAAATGGGCTGCTCCCTGACTCCCTGCGTCCCGAAAATCCAAGAAACCATCGGTAACCATCGCTTGGGATAAGAAACTGGTTGGGAACCATCAATCGATAATAAAAATTGGATCAAAACCCACCAACATTGCTGAACAGGATATGAACCTGTAGTAATTATATAATTTATAGTAGTATACTTGTAATATGGTATTTATAATTCTCAAATAAGCCGTTGCTTGGGGGTGCTGTTGAGGTTCACAATGGGATCAGAAAAAAAATAAGTTGGGATATGATCCCTACAACTATGCTTATGCATCAACCACTGGAACTGCAACCCCAAAGTGTGCAATTGGATAATATTGATCATATTGGATGTGTGGATATATGTGGGTATGTTGTTGGTATAGCGGTTGAGCTTAACAAGATTTGCAGTAAACAACAATAACTGGTTGGTGGTTTGGAACATGAATTTTATTTTTCCATTCAGTTGGGAATGTCATCTTCCCAACTGACGACCTCATATTTTTCAGAGGGTTTTTGTTGAAACCACCAACCAGATAATTATTAACCATCATGAAAACCATCATCACAACCATCATCATCACCATTATTAACCATAGATTAACCATAGATTAACCATAGATTACCCATAGATTAACCATACATTACTAGTATATTACCAACGGTGGCGGCCATGGCCCACACGGGTCTTTTAGCCATACGTCGTGCCGAAATTGGATGGGACCAACGGATGAAGGCTGCACAGAACAAAACTGGGGGATGCCTAAACTGGTTTCCTAGCAAAATGGTTACCCTCTGGTAATTTAACATAGCTATTGAAAATCACCATTTTTAATGGGAAATTCCACTATAAATGGTCCATTTTCCATTGCTATGTTAAATTACCAGAGGGTATATCATGTTTTAAAGTAGGGCGTTACATACCCATTACAACATCAGGATTCCAATTATGGGAAGGATGACCATACCCTAATATACCCTACATCCATATACCATCTTTTGACGATGGCACATGTGGGTTGTCTGAACATATTCACCTTCCCCATTTGTTGAACGCCTCACTCTTCCAACGAACTGACCATCTAATGCTATGACGAACCCCAGACCATATCATTGGTTATATATATATAGATACATCGCATGAGATAGATCCATCAAAATGGATTCAATTGGGTGGTTGAATACATTTAATAGACCCAATCTATCGACAGATTTCAGCCCCCTGTTTTCCTTGCAGGGCGACGCGGAGCATGTCCAAGGTGCCTTGCGCGACTCCAGGGTCAAGTTGAGGATGCGGTGCTCTGCGACTGAAAAACTACCATAGACCAATTTTCAATACCACCAATTAATGTAAAGATCCAGTACAAAGCGCTGGTTTCGTTTGGGTGTGTTTGATATTACTGGAATTCGGAATAGTTACTACCCTCTGGTAAACTAACATAACTATGGAAAATCACCATTTATAGTGAGTTTTTCCACTAAACATGGTGGATCTTTCCATAGTTTTTTGTATGTTTACCAGAGGGTAAGCAGCCAATTTTTCTAAGATGAGGATGATGAGGGATGGTTTCCGGCCGCATTTTTGCATCATGCTTCCACCTAAAAGTGTGAAGGATGGTTAGATACAAAACGTGACCACTAATTAGTGTTGGATGGCTGGAAACAAAAAGTGATCAAATTTGTGGTTTACTGGTTTACTACTCCATTGGCTCCCAATTTAGTGGTTGCCGTACAAGTTTGTTGGAGAGGAACAGTGCAAAACTATAATTTTATCATAGGACGTTACATGACTACAACATGGGCTGCCCAGAAGTTGGTTTTAAAACTACAATAACTTGGAATTCTGCAGGATATATCTACAATGGAATGGTTTTACCAAGCAACTTATTGCAGTGCTGGGGCTCCACTTCGTAGGGGTCTCTAATTGATCTTGTTGGTCTGTGAAGGACATGGCTGTGTCTCAAATTAGGGCATACCCATGAATGGCAATTTTAACAAGGGAAAAACAACAAGTTTAACAGGGAAAATCATCATGAACAAGTGGATTTATATGGATTTATGGGTACCCCATGTTCGGATGATGATGAGGAGGAGGATGAGGATGATGATGATGATGAGGAGGAGGAGGAGGATGAGGATGATGATGATGATGATGATGATGGTGATGGTGATGGTGATGGTGATGGTGAAGAAGATGATGATGATGATGATGATGGTGATTGATTGTGATTGATGGTGATTGATGGTGATGAACATCTAACATGTGTGGAACTTAGGACTTTTCATCCAATATTTTTTGTAAACATGCTTCCAGGTATCCATCACCATTTTCATTGGATACATCACCATTGTTACGGACTAAATCTGAACTTTTACTGCTTGAAATCACCATTCTTGGATGATTAAAAAACCAATTTTTAGACTGGCAATAAAAAATCTTTTGAACAATCTTCGTTGTGGATGATTGAATCATGTTAAACCTCTATTTTTGGATGGTTAAATAATGTTAAATATCTACTTGTTTGATGCTTCAATTCACCACTAAAAATCCACGTGGTCGTTGACCGGAGCACCAGAGGCACCTTAGTCGACATGGGCTTTACCAAAGCCCAAGTCGCGTCGGCCTTGAACCACTTCGGTCCAAGAGGTGGGTTTTTGGCATCGACTAAAAAGTGGCTGGGATAGGTGGTGACTGGAACATGTTTTTTTATTTTTATTTTTCCATAATATATTGTAGTTTATACCATTATTATAATGACTGGTTGGTGGTTTCAAACATGATTTTTATTTTTCCATAATATATATATAGGGATAATCCTTCCCAACTGACTATATAATATTTTTCAAGATGGTAAAAACCACCAACCAGTCATTTTTTTGGCATCCCCCACATAGATGTAGAACAACTAGAAGCATGGGAGCCTGGGGATTCAAACGTCGAACTAGCATTGTGGAAACAGCTGTTCTATTTGTTTCCTGGTTGCTTGATAGATGATTAAGGGCGTTGAATAGGGATTTGACCAACGAACAGAGGAAGTTGATGAGATATACCCTCCGGTAATCAAACGTGGCAATGGAAAATCCATGAAAACCACACATACAAACGGAGGGGTTCTTGGGAAAACCATCTACAAATATGGTGGATTTTCCATTGCCATGTTTGATTAGCGGATGGCAATTCCACGCTGCAGCCAGAGAACAAGGAGGACAAGGAAAAAGACAAACAGATCCGATCGTTAGTGGAGACCAAGCTTCTCCATGCTGCTGTGACGCAGCATGGGCGTGCCAGAAAAGAGGTACAAGAAGCCCAAGCGGCGAGATTCAACATGCATTCTGTGTGGAGGAATTTCCTTTCCCAATCCGTCGAACAGTGGAAGTACAGTACACCGCCCAGTTCCGAGGAGCAAGAGAAATCTCGCACAGAGAGAGTCCAATTAGGGAAAACCATCATTTTTAATGGGAAAACCATCATGTTTAACGGGTAAGGGAAAATCTTTCCAACTGCAAAACTGCTGCTGGTGCAGCAGCCAGAGACGACAACTCCGTGGCCAGCGATGGCGACGAGATGGAAACCAAAGATACGGCCGTGGGAAAACAAGGGATAAACATATTAACAGCCTGGGATGTCACTAATAACAGATGGATTACTTAACTATTTTTTTCAAAAAATGTGTCACCTTTTTAGATATTTATACATTTAATCAGGACAAAGTAGGGATTTAATTAGAAAACAATGAGAAATGTAGCAAGCAAAGAACTGTGATTCAATCAAGAATAATCGGGATACAATGGGGATAAAACCAATGAATGCTGGTTGGTGCTAGATATGTAACTATATTCTATAGATGCACATACAGACGTATACATGCTTGGCCTGCAAAGTACTTGCGTCTCCTCAGCTTACACATGTGGTTGTTTGACCATGGCAGGTTCGGAGGACATTGGACAGCTGATCATGTGGATTGTGGGGGCCGCCAATTGATGGCTGGGGGCGTAGGAAAACGCAAAGAGACTGGGAGGCTTTCCACTGCTCAATTGATCAAATCAAGACGCCAGAGATTTTGAATGTTTTTGGATTCCAGTTTTTTCTGTTACTTTGCGAGGGATACTCTCTTAAAGAGTATCCCAAAATTGGGTCCCTCCAGTCGTGCGGCCCTCCAAGGGTTAAGCCAACCACATGTGGGTGATACCCACAAAATCCATCAAAATCCCAGGGATGAGGAATTTGTGATGGAAATTCTGATCTTGATCTGCATCTGCCACTAGAAATTTCTGCCCCTTCATCCAAGAAACATCAACGGATCAACGGGGGCGAAAACATAGGGCCGGCTCAGGTGGCGAATCCCTTGAATGCCGAGGCCTGGAAAGAGTGGCGACACTGACTGGGGAAACTCTTTACATCTGGTAGCGGCTACTTTAATACAACTCTCAATCTTTGATGACTGGGGATACACTTATTTAATCTAATCATATATACATATATATATATGATATTAATAATAGTTGGGGATTAATAGTTATATTTAATCTATAGTTAATATGATATTTTATATATGTATAGACATTCTATTTTGTGTTGCTCTTTTTTTGGTCATCCCACAGCCCAAAAAAATCGATGCTTTCTCGCCACGACGTGGGTGATCTGCCAGGCCAGCGAGAACAGCGGGGCTCCGGAGGCGCAGATGGGGTGGCACTGGGGTAACCACATTCCCATGGGTTACTTTTACCATCTGGTTATGACTAACATAGCCGTGGGAAATGGCCCATTTATAGATGGCTTACCTATTGAAAATGGTGATTTTCCATGGCTATGTTAAATAACCAGATGGTAAGCCATTTAGCAACTGCTTAGGGTGGGGTCTATTCCTTTCCAGCTACTCAGTAGGACGGCACGGGGGTCGCATTTGCCCCTGAACCATGTTGGGTCGCACTTGCCCCTGAATGAAGTGCGATGAAGTGGGTTCAAGGGCGAATGTGACCCTCGTTCAGGGGCGAATGTGACCCCTGCTTTTGCGTGGCAGGCGCAATAGTTTCAGAGCCTCAAAAGGATTTTTTTCCACCCTAGAGAGTCATATTCACGTGCTATGCGACGTTCCAACAGCCATTTCAATCAACTTCCAGGACACTATGGATGCTATGGTGTACCATTGCTACGTTGTAACATCCATTTCGAGCAACTTCGAAGATGCTTTGGATGCTACGTTCCAACAGCCATTTCAATCAACTTCCAGCACGCTATGGATGCTACGTTGTAACACCCATTTCGAGCAACTTGGAAGACGCTCGGATGCTACGTTCCAACAGCCATTTGAATCAACTTCCAGGACACTATGGATGCTACGGTGTGCCATTGCTACGTTGTAACATCCATTTCGAGCAACTTCGAAGACGCTTTGGATGTTACCTTCCGAGAGCCATTTCAATCAACTTCCAGGACACTATGGATGCTAGGTTGTAAGATCCATTTCGAGCACCTTCGAAGACGGTTTGGATGCCCCTAAAGGTCCCCCAGTCCCCCTAAATGTCCCCTTGTCCCCAGGGTAAACCCTAAAGGGTTGAGTAACGTATTGAATAGAGAGGCAAGTTACCATATGCCCCCAAGTCCCCCCTAAAGGTTCCCCAGTCCCCCTAAATGTCCCCTTGTCCCCAGGTTTAACCCTAAAGGGTTGAGTAACATATTGAATAGAGAGGCAAGTTACCATATGCCCCCAAGTCCCCCCTAAAGGTTCCCCAGTCCCCCTAAATGCCCCCTTGTCCCCAGGTTTAACCCTAAAGGGTTGAGTAACATATTGAATAGAGAGGCAAGTTACCATATGCCCCAAGTCCCCCCTAAAGGTTCCCCAGTCCCCCTAAATGTCCCCTTGTCCCCAGGTTTAACCCTAAAGGGTTGAGCAACATATTGAATAGAGAGGCAAGTTACCATATGCCCCCAAGTCCCCCCTAAAGGTTCCCCAGTCCCCCTAAATGTCCCCTTGTCCCCAGGTTTAACCCTAAAGGGTTGAGTAACATATTGAATAGAGAGGCAAGTTACCATATGCCCCCAAGTCCCCCCTAAAGGTTCCCCAGTCCCCCTAAATGCCCCCTTGTCCCCAGGTTTAACCCTAATGGGTTGAGTAACATATTGAATAGAGAGGCAAGTTACCATATGCCCTCAAGTCCCCCCTAAAGGTTCCCCAGTCTCCCTAAATGTCCCCTTGTCCCCAGGTTTAACCCTAAAGGGTTGAGCAACATATTGAATAGAGAGGCAAGTTACCATATGCCCCCAAGTCCCCCCTAAAGGTTCCCCAGTCCCCCTAAATGGCCCCTTGTCCCCAGGTTTAACCCTAAAGGGTTGAGTACCACATTGAAAGTTTAGTGCTTCAGGGACGAATGTGACCCCTTTTGGTTCAGGGGCGAATGTGACCCTCTTTCAGGGGCGAATGTGACCCCCGTCCCCAGTAGGACCTCCTAAGTCTCGCCAGGATTAAAGTGACAACTTAGGACTATGATAAATATACCCAGATGCGAACCATGGTGCTGGAAGATAGAAACCAACATTTACCAACCATAAATGGCCCAGGTTTCAATAGGTTTCTATCTATACTATGGAGCATATGGGATTAAGCCAAGATTGGGATATCACACGGATAATTTTTTTTGGGATAGATATGTTTCACCTAATTGTTGGTTTTTGGTTACAAAATCACGATAGCCGATAGCTGATGTCAAGGCGGACGCCCCTTGGGCTGGGGTTGGCGTTGTGACGATGCGACCGTGGAACTGTATTCCTTCTGCCATTGCATTTGCAGAGGCTTGCCCTCTGGTAATTTAACAGCTTGCTATTGAAAATTGCACATATATAGTTGATTTACCTATATTAAAGATGGTGATTTTCCATAGCTACGTTGGTTTACCAGTGGGTACGCGTCTTTTTGAGGAGTTGTCCAAGCCTCTTCCCACCGTTTCGCCCACTTGCTGTGACTCCCACAGGATTTTTAATGCGGAACGTGGTTCTGTGTCAGACTCCAGACGACATTAAGAGACTTTCTTGTTGCTCCAGTACAGCACTGTTGCTTGGTGGTTCATCCCAGTTAGTAAGTCGGTTATGATCCTAGTTACAAGTGGAGTCACCCTATTTAGCCCATTTATAACCAGGGTTATAACCTACTTAGTAAGTGGGATGAACCACCAAGTAGTGTTATTTTTTGCCTGTTCACTACCCCTGTCGGGCCAGATTCATAGTTTTCTGACTCGTGCGGGTTCAGAAAATCATGGTTGACGATAACGAGATTAGCGAGATGTTGGTGCGTGCAAATACCCTCTGGTAAACTAACATAACTGGAAAATCACCATTCTCAATGGGCAAATCCACTATAAATGGCAATTTTCAATAGCTATTTTGACATAACCAGAGGGTATGGGGGATTATCAGCCCCACCATGGAGCGGATTTGGTCCGTTGTTTGGATCTGATAACTCAGTTTCATGGAGCGGATTTGGAAAGAGTGGACGTGGCGAAGAAACTTCGGTGAAACAACAACGAACATGGTGATCATTGACAATCTGATTGGTGGTTTGGAACCATGGAATTTTATGACTTTCCACATATAAAATGGGAATGGAAAATCATCCCAACTGACGAACTCACTCCATCATTTTTCAGAGGGGTTGGTGGCTCAACCACCAACCAGTCATGGTTTATGGGTTGATCCGCATCGGGGGGACGATGCCAATCAATCGCACATGGTGAATCCGCGACTCACAGGTCTTTGTGGAACCGGCTGGGGGTCCCAACTGCGAGGAAATTGCGAGGGTTGAATCATCCGGAACTGGTTGGGCCCTGTGTTTTTTGATGTTTTTTGTTCATTGATTTTTTGTTGGGATATCAACGACGTTTAACTGGTGATTTGGAAGGTGATTTGGACCGACAAGAATTGGATAGATAACTAGTACAGGATGATTTATAAACAGCCAATTATAGTTTATAAATCATATTACTAATAGTACTATAGTATAGTCAGTTCATTTTGTACTAAATACTGTATAGTATAGTCAGTTCATTTTGTTTCTTTGATCAAATGAAGGAATATGACGTCCCACCAGTCGCTCTTCCTCCGTAAGCAAGACATGCCAAACATCAGCCGTTGTTCAAGTTGGAAGTGTGATATACAATAGCCTCTGGTAATTCACATAGCTATGGAACACTCCATTTATACATGATTACTATGATCTACCTACTGAACAAGGAAGTTTTCCATAGCTAGCTTTGTCAAATTACCAGACGGTACACAATTCAGTTTAGTATAATATGGATGGGTACCATTATTTCTTTGTACATATTAAGGCCTTTTTGCAGTCATGGTCCTAGCCCTTTTTTTCAATGGCTAGAGCCTGTTGGATTTTCACACTGTTCATCTCATCTCTTTTCAGCCAGGGTATGGGCCCAAGATTGCAAAGCCCCCAACAGGTTTCAAATGTTGGTCAACTCCCCAGAAATAGAATGCATTGTCTAAATAGGCCATGTCTGGCAGGGCCATGTTTTGAGGTACCATATTTTGAGGTACTTTACCATGCCAGGAACCATATTTTTTGGGACATCACCATACATATCTCTTACATGCTTAGACCTAAAAAGCGACCTTACACATGGTAGGTATCTCCAGTTTAGGTAACTGAAATGTTGAACATAGAGCACCAGAGCGTTCAATTCTTTATCATGACTCTCTAGTTTTCATGACTTGGATCATCTTAGGGATCAATCTCCAATTTTCAGATGATCCCAAAATATCATGTCAGTTCTACATCCGTAGCATATCTTGGTAAATCTATCCCCAGTGGATGATCCAAAAAGCATCTCGACGACTCGAGGTCAAGGAGATCAAAGAGATCCGGAATCAGGTGATGGAGGCGAGATCGATCTGGATCTCAGCAGGAGAATAACATGGTTACCCTCTGGTAAACAAACAGACATAGCTATTGAAACTGGCAATTTTTCGCGAGTTTTCCCATTAAAGATGGTGATTTTCCATAGTTTTTTGTATGTTTACCAGAGGTTAAACAATGATTACCCTCTGTTAAACATACAGCAAACTATGGAAAGATCCACCATGCTATCAAGGGGTAAATCCACGAACTTTCTATGGGCCATTGAAAAAATAGCTTTTTGTATGTTTACCAGAGGGTAATCTGAGCAGTGGCTGCCTGATCCCCTGATTGATGATTGGTTGATAAGGGTTTAGATGAATGATAAGGATTCTAGATCAATGATGTTTCTTTTCAAGGCCCGCAGCCTGTCATCCCTTTTGTCAACGGATTGTTTCAGGAATCTGATCTTGATCCTGGTTACCTGGTTGGCCGAGAACGGATTTCCATTCGTTCATGGATGGTGATAAATCCCAAATATATTTGAGAGTGATCAATCAGAGGATCAGGCAGCCACTGCTTGTCAGCCGTGGGGTACCGCATTTTTGAAGTGTCTCAGGAACTTGCCCTGAAAATAGGGTGACTGGAACTGGGAAACCAACTTGGAACTGGGAATTCTTCTTCAACAAATCCCAAATATTGGAAAAACAATTTGGTTTCCCAGCTTTTCCAATGTGGAAAAGCATGTAGGGAAGACAATTCCAGTTTTTGGACCTGGAAAAGCTTTGCCATTTTTTTTTTTGAATTGTCTCCCCGAAAAACGTTGCATCATCCAAGGTGATGGCCGGATTTTTGAGGGGTCTGTGAAAAATTGTCCAAAATATCTCGACCCATCCAACCCCCATTTGCCAGGGTCTATGTTGATTTATTAGAGGGTATATAATGGTATGAATACTTATATATATAATATAATTATACATATATTATGTAATATTCAAATAAATAACATTACGGACAATATAATCTAAGCATACTCAACTACAATATATGGTTAGTTCCCCAAAAAACACCCCCCCCAAGAAGATGGGACAAGGTCGGCAGCGTGTGACACATGTTGACAAGTCGACCTTGATGGATTCAGTGAATGATGAAACTTGGTTCAGGAAAGAATCCCAGTTGCATTTCCAGTGAACATCCAGTGGTTATATATCTATATACTATATATACCCAAAATAATACTCTAAGATTCAGGGCTGAAAAATCTCAACTCCTGGAGGTTTTCACTCACCATTTTTTTCCATCCATAAAACATCAATAGAATCCCATGAGACCAGCAGTTTTCTTGCTGAACTCACCATGGTTCTCCCGATTTGCTTCCGGCCCCTGGCAATTTGGAGGACCTGCTTCCGCGCATCTTCGCCTGCGGCTACGATGTGCACGGGGGACGCACGGGGGACCCCAACGGGGGAGAAGATTAGTATAACGAATGGTGAATTAACAGTTGGATACCCCATCTACCCTCTGGTTATTTAACGTAGCCATGGAAAATCACCATTTTTGATAGGTAAACCATCTATTTCTAGGGCCATTTTCCATGGCTATGTTAAATTTCCAGAGGGTAACAATGGGTATTAAACTATAACCTATTAATATGTGATAATATATGTACAGCTTTCTATACTCCATTGTTAATTAACGGTTGAACAATGGGTGATTAAATCCAACATAGCTATTGAACATGGCACATTTAGTTCGTTGATTTACCGAACTTAATAGCATGGTGACTTTGTATAGCTATGTAAACGTTTACCAGAGGGTAGTACTAGTATGACTAACCGTTAATTAATGGTTGAACAATGGTTGATTATAACAAACATACTGGGGATTAATAAATGGTTGAATATTGGGTGTTTTTGTCAAACAATGGTTGGATAATGGTCTGATATCCAACTTGGTATAGAGAACTAAATTAATGGTGGAATAATGATTGAATCTAAGAATCATGGATTAAGAATCAATAGTTGCTAAATATGTGGGAAAGCCAATGCCATTTTCACGACTAATGAGATGGTTTACACCATTCATTAATAAAAATGCTGATAAACTGGGGATGGTACCCTCTGGTAAACTAACATAGCTATTGAACATGGCCATTTATAGTGGATTTTCCCATTGAAAATGGTGATTTTCCATAGTTTTTTGTATGTTTACCAGAGGGTATGGTTTATGAAAAACCATTGGCTTTAGCACATTGGTCATCAACCATCTATGGTGGGCGAGATCATCGAGATGTTACCGGAGGGTACCAACTTTATGGTCAACCAATCTAGCCAAAAATGGCCATTTATGGTTGATTTATCTACGAAACCTTGTGATTTTCCAATATATTCTATAGTTCTGTTGGCTTATCAGAAGGTACTTAACATCTAAGCTTGGCCATGAAAGTTGGAGGTCGAAACTGATGAGTTGGAGCGGTTCCGCTCGCAAGTCCTCGCAGCTCGCAGCAAAAAAGCGAGAAATACCTGGGCATCGCCTTCTTTGGGTCAACCCTGGCGAGAAAAACCCATCATCTGGGGCATGTTATTCCACCAGAAATTGTAACGACTCCTTCAGGACGACTATGACACGGTGAAACTGGTGAAGCCGTGAACTCGCCCACCTTCGTTCTGGATATTTTTCTGGATGTGTGCCTGGTAACCTGGATGGCAAAGTTGCGAAACCAGAGAGTGGTTTACTGTATGAATAATCGCCAAAGGGGCGTGTTCCGGCAAAGAAAGAATTCTTCTGTAAGCCGCAAGCAGTGCTTTTCAAAGTTGAGGTCTTACCCTTGCCCATGTTTTGATGATGAAACCAATCTTCGCAGCGGAACCCGTTTCGTCTGGGTTCCTCACGGGTCCTGCTGCTACTCGATTTCTACTTCTATCAGGCACGCGGCTATCTTTACTCCCAGTCGCGAGATGGCTGACCTCATCATGAGGTTTTGGCCTGGTGTTGCCGTTGGGGTTGCTACCTCACGGCAGGCCCGTGCCTTCGCTTTGCAAATGGGTTCCTCTTTTTCAATTGCTTCACCTTGGTGTCGTGGCGCTCCCGTGCGTCATGGCACTTGCTCTTCGGGTCCTTCTGGGCCCCGTCTGAGATCGTTTTCGTTTCTTCTTCGTCGTTTGACGCTGTCTGATTGAACCAATCTAAATTGGCTGGTTAAACCTCCACCCATCAAACCCACATATCACACAACCGGCTTTACACCTGATTATGTCCCAATGACTAGCCATGATTCGCAAAGTTAAATTTAACACACCCCCACTTACCCTCCAGTAATTTGTTATAGCCATGGAAGCCATGGCCAATTTATAGATGATTCACCTAGTAAACATGGTGCTTTTCCATAACTGTGATGTTACCAGAGGATATTTATATATCCTTATCCCATGACATATCCCATGAAATCACCAACAACTATGCAGTCAGCATTGTTCTTGGTTAAAAATCCATTATATAACCCACCATTCCAGACATAATATATTAAGTGCTTAGAAGAATTTCATTGACTAGAGCTAAGCAAACCCACATGGAGCTGCACTCACCACCATAAGTTTGGATACGAGGCCGCCTTAAGCATAACTGGTTGGTGGTTTCAAACATGCTTTATTTTCCATAATATATGAGATGTCATCCTTCCCATTGACTTTCATATTTTTCAAGATGGTTATTGCACCACCAACCAGATGAGATAGCAAAAATATACATGTGCTTTAACTGGGTGTTCCTACAATACATCATATTCAATATTATTCAATGGAGGTTTGTCCACCTGGACCTAAAATAATCATTACCTATAACTCACTGTCCGTTCCAGCCATTTGTTGGATTCCAACCATTTGTTGGATTCCAGCCGTTATAGATCTATAAATACATACAATACATACAATACATACAATACATACAATACATAAATATATACATAGATACATATATATATATATATATAGATATGTATACATACACACACATATATATATACATATATATATATATACATATGTATATTTGGTATATCTACTCACTGCAACTGCCTTCCCGGCCTTTGGCAGCCTGAATGGCACAGGTGCCCAAGGCCTTGCCAGCCGTGGTGGACACCATCTGCGCATTGTCGGAGATCGCGGAACCCATCTGGCCCAATGTACCTCCGGACGAGGTGAAGCTGGTAGCTGCTTACACATCCAGTATCCAAGACTTTCATGGTGATTCAACTGGCAAAAATCAGATGTTATAAACATATTATATGATCGTGAATGATCGTGATGATGATTGGTTTGTGGTTTATGATATTATATATGGTTTCTATGTATTAATGATGTATTAATGTTACTCAATTTTACATATCACCATGGTCGTTTCTTTCATTTATCAACTGGCATCAACGGGCTACCATCTCAACCGGAAACCCCGCAGGATTTTCCCATGATTTTCTCATGGGCCAATCCGGCCAATCCATTGAAAAAGGGGTCACCTTTCGCCAGTGAACATGTGGAAATCCATAGGAAATTGAACGTGCTGGGGATGGATCAAGTTACCATAAGTTACCTCTGACTGAAATGAACGCATCTGACTGGGGGAATCAATATCCATAAACCATGAAGCAGCGTTAGTAACTCTAAATCCATTGGTTAGTCATGTTTTTGTCCCCATCAAATGGCTGCCATAGGAGGTATACCTCATGTTCAGACAGACTCATGTTTGATTTAAGATCAGTTGAGTAGCAACCATGGGTCATGAATGGGAATTTTCGAGTGATTTAAGACGGCATTTGATGATGATTTCTGGTGTTTAAGCCCCGAAGATGGGAATTTGTTGATGTTCAATAGGATGGTAGGGGGATTAGATTGGATAAAGTGGGGTATGTAACACCATATGGAGATTAACCAGCCGAAATGGGGTTTTCTTGAAATTCTTGCAATGGAGCTGCCCCAAGTCATCCAAGTTACTGTATTTGTTGTAGCGGGATTTGGCTGGCAAAAAACATGTTTAATGAGTCTACGTTGTGAAACTGGAGACTTGCTATATGGTAGAGGTGGTGTTAAGCAACATTTCAAGTATCACAAAACAGCTCCTTATCTTACCCCTGGAGGCTACTCTAATAGATTATTTCTTCCTGCTGCGGAGAGGTCATGATTTTTCACAGATCATCTACAAATGATGGATCGTCTATGACATTCATCGCAGTGTTCGTGCAGCAAAACCGCATTCGTATCATTTTTCAGGTCGTCACATTTTTTTTAGAAGCCTCCAAATCCCATAGTCGAAAGTAAGGACCACATTTGGGATTATCTTCTTTGGGAATACTTTTAGTATATAAAATGAATCGAACCTACATAATTTGATCCTAGTTTTTGTTTTTTTCACACGGACCAATGACAAAGCAGTAATTTTTGTCCATTGAAAAACAAACAAGTCGAAGTACTATCCTGTAAACTAACATAGATCTGGAGTTTACCCACCATTTGGAGACCCAACCTTTGGAGACGATTTTCCTATCGGAAACCATCGGTTTTCCAGCCATCTAGGCGAAGGAAGAGGAGGAGGAGGAGGAGGAGCGTGCTGGCAGTTGCTGGGCCGGAAATGGGGGACATGGATGAGGTTTTCTAAGTCATACAAGGTGGGGCCCCCCAGTTATAAGATGGTTTATAAACCCCATTAACTATAGTTATAAGTACCATAAACCATAGTTGTTGGAGTTATAAACCAACTTAGCTATCTAGGGGGCCCCACTTTGTAGGGGTGAAAAATCATCCTGCATTTTACCTTCGGATTGGCCATTACAAACCATCCATGAATGTATATTTCGGGTCTCCCCATTCATGGGAAAACCCCATGTACGGACGAAGAAATGACTAGTCCAGGTCCACCCACAAAAATGATAGAAAAGAAACATCCTCTTCCTAAAACCATCATGGCACATTACATTTATTTCTGTACAATGTGGGGCCCCCGTTCGATAGCTAAGTTGGTGCACATAACTCCAATAACTATGGTTTATGGTACTTATAACTATAGTTAATGGGGTTTATAAACCATCTTATAACTGGGGGGCCCCACCTTGTACAGTGTGGCACATCCCGGCAATTGTCAACAGCTTTTCCGAAAATTCGCGTGGGAAATTTCCACTGACTGCTTCAGACTGGTCGGCAGCCACGACTGTGATTTTTCTTGGAGGCCTACTCCAGCTGGGATTTATAGTATGGGATGATATTCTAATGAATACAATTTTGATTGTTTTTTATCAGTATTTTTGTTCAAATCAATTAGGATATAATATGTGTAATTGCTTCCCCAAAAATGGGGTTGTTTCAACCTTGGGAACCGCACTTTTGCCGGTGTTGTTCGTCGGTTCGACGGGATGCCCAGTGAAAAAATATTTAAAAAAAACCCAACAGAATACCCTCTAATGCGAACCATGGTCCTGGAATATGCACACCAACATTTGCCCAACATAAATCACCCACATGTAGGCACAATATACCATACATGGAGAATTCCGAATCCCCGTGAATCATCCAGTGATCCAGCGACAGTGGTTTTGAACATCTTTTTCGAGCCAAAAAATGGAAGCCGTGGCGGAAATTTGGGCCATGTTCAAGTTACATGGCTTATTTTCCAAGCATTTCAGGATTTAACCATCACACATTATTGATTAAAATGTTGTTTTTGAGCAGGGATATCATCTGGCCTTGTTTTTTCGAGCTATGATGATCAATTGGCTGATTTCATCTGTATCCAATTGTATCCATAGCCGGGGATGGTCGTTACCCCATTGATAAGGCTTCATATACAGTACCCTCTGGTAAACTAACATAACTATGGAAAGATCCACCATGCTATTAATGGGAAAATCCACTATAAATGGCCATTTTCAATAGCTATTTTGACATAACCAGAGGGTAGCTGTTTATTTTTTTGCATCCCATACCTGGTGGGATGACCAGTTGAGCCCCTTTTTGTAACCCACATTTTTTGGGCTGGTCTTCTCAAAGAAATGTGGGTTCCACGTGGTGACGACGTGGAAAACGGTGTGTTGGTAAAGTCCACAAGAGTTTGATATGGTTAAGTCTGCATGTTTATATATACATTTTTGATAGAAACAAATCACATTTTTGGTGACTAAACATTTGGTAAACGTTTACATAACTATGGAAAATCACCATTTTTAATGGGAAAATCCACTATAAATGGCCATTTTCAATAGCTATGTTTACCGGAGGGTAATCTTACAGCTTGCCACAGAACATCACTATGTTCAATGGGTATAAATCATATTTTTTTCATCCAACTAAATGGGCCGGCTACACCATAACTACGAGAGTTTCTCGAGACCTTGATCCACTCCCCTTATATCCCCATGACACCACCATCTTGCATGGTTAGGTCATCAAATTTGTCAAGTCACCACCGCAAATGCCCTCATGAACATGTTTGTTATAAATTATATAGAGATGTCCCCATGATATAACCAATTTCATGTGAATATAACCCCCAAAAAAGGCTAAATCCCTAGCTAAACGATGATTTCTAGGGGGTGTTTAGTATTAGCGGGAAGGGATGATTCCTCCAAGATTTTCCATGATCATAGTACAGCTATAGTCAGTTATATTATGTTATATTCCCCTGGTATCCCCTTATTATATCCCTATATGATATTCCTATTGTATCCCATTAGTTCGTTATATCCCATAATATCCCTACTATCTACCATATTAATTCATATCATTGTTTTTCTATTGTTACTGTTCATAGTATTCCCATAGACACTTGGAGTACTGATAGCTTAAACATGAAATCCCATAGTATTCCCACAGTATGCCCATTACAACATGAAATCATTTTTCAATGGCCACTTCAGGAACCTAAATTGGAGGTACCTACCATATATAAGACCTATTTTTAAGGGCTATGTAAGGGGATATAAGCTCAAAAAAATATCGCTTTATATGGTACAGTAATACAGTACCTCCATTTTAGGATCCTACCATTACTTTTTTGCTATATTATCCGAATCCCATAGATATTATATATACCATCTGGTTATTTAACATAGCCATGGAAAATAGCCCATTTATAGATGATTTTCCCAGCTAGAAACCTCCATTTATTTTTGGGATTTTCCATGGCTATGTTAGTCATAACCAGATGGTATATATATATATCCATTATTTTCCAATATTGTCACATTATCAGATCCATTGATTTCCAATCGATGTTTTCTTACGGAAAATGTGTCCAAACGCTTCACAAGTCAAGGTTCGGACGAGAACCTTGAGCGCCTCAGCGAAGGTGCTTGGGACGTTGAAAGACTCTAGCGATCTGATATATATATAACAATGGTTTGTGGATATTATATATATACATTTATATTATATATATAGAACTATCTATGATATATATATATACTTTGATATAGAACTACTTCTGATATGTATATATATATAGATATTATATCGAAGAACTAGTTATGGGTGTCAGGGTGTCTATAAACTATAAACCAACAAACATCACCCCCAAGGCGCGTTTTTTTTTTCCGATTTTGCCGTTCCGGCACCCTGAGTTTTAGAGCCTGGGCCCCGTGAAATATTTTCTCAGAAAGGTTCTGTTTTCCCAGTGGCTTATTTATAAATGGATGATAACATATTATAACATATTATACCCTCCAGTAAATTAACATGACGACCCTGCCAGATAGGGGTTGTAAGATGAGTTTCCTTTAAAAAAAAGGCGATTCTCAGGGTCTATGTTAATTTACCAGAGAGTATATATAACATATTATGATTTTAACACTTACTAACACTTACGAACACTTACCCGGTAGGGTTATGTCAAAATAGCTATTGAAAATGGACCATAGAAACTGAGTTGGGCGATAACTGGGATTGACCCTCTGGTTTGATGTCAAAATAGCTATTGAACATGGCCATCTGTAGTTGATTTACCCATTACTGGTATCACATGGTGATTTTCCCTGGCTATGTTGAATAACCAGAGGGTAAATACCCTCTGGTAAACTAACATAACTATGGAACATCACCATTTTTAATGGGTAAATCAACTATAAATCGCCATTTCCAATAGCTACGTTAAATTTCCAGAGGGTACATGTAAATACCGTGCTTTGTCCCTGTAGCTAGGCCGGTTTTGTTTTTCGTGGCTATCTGCGGGATTTTCCATGGTGCCATCGCGCTGAGCTTTTCACAAGCAGCTAGCAAGCTTGCAAAAAGACATTGAGTTTATGCAATTTCCATCCATTTCATGTAAACATGTTCCAACCTGAAGCATGGTTCTTTCCCAAGTCCCATTTTTTTATCCCAGGAATCTAGACGATACAACTTCTAAACATAAGGTCGGTTTGGTTAGCGCTTTCACGTTAAATCTAACTGACGTATCAAGATTTCACACAGACCAGTTTATGAACTGCCATGATTAGCTCAGGTCAGATACCATGAGCTGCTTGGTTGCTTCCAATGATGGCATATTTCCATGTGGCATGATGGGGACTTTCAAAAGAATTCCAACCAGCCGCTCACCGTTCCCCTTGGACAGAGGCCATATGACATGTTATACACAGACAGCATAAGCCAATCTGGGTGCCATCCTGCGGACTTCCCCAGTTCCCTCATCATGATCAACGCCAGGGCAGATCAGAGAGATGAGAGAGCAGTATCCGAAGATGAAGAAGAGGAAGTATAAGGACAAGGCTGCCGCATGCTGCCGCGACGTCATGACGTCTCGTTGAAAAAGATTGGCCATTGAATGGCAACAAGACTGGTTTATGGAAAACATAAAAATCCCAATAGTTGGCCTTATTTTGGGTGAAGAAAATGTTGATTTACATGACTTTTGCCCAGAATCACTGGCTCCTTATGTCTGGGGATTTTCGTGAATATTGCCTAACCTCCATGGGGATGTTCTTGGGACGAATAGTTCATAACATCCAAGGAGGATTTTTGGGATGGTTAAACATCCAAGAAGAGAAAAAATCCCATGGAACATCTATGCGTTTCCAGTTCATTGAACCATTCACATCCAGTTTTGGGATGAATAGTTCATGAACCAACTTCCAACGATTTTCACTAAGTGTTAGTTAAAGGATGTGGTAGGTAATGAATTTATTTGCCGATTAATTATGCCAATAAAACTTGGGATTTTTCAACCTCCTCCTGGGGGACACATCCAAGAAATGCGTTTTTTCTTTTTTTTTTCGGAGGAGTAATGAGTTTTTTGGGGAAAACACCTAATGAGGACACTATGTGACGTGTTCTTTCAACTGAACTAATCCAATTTTTTGTTGGTCGGAGCATTTTCGGAACGAAAAAAAATGGAGCTCAACTGGATCCACATGTGGACCGTTGGAGCGGTAGGGTGGGAGATTGGAGCATCTCAGATGTCTGAGGTGTCGATTTAGGAGGGGTAGCTTGATCATTACCCTCTGGTTATGTCACAGTTTGCTATTGAACATGGCCATAGAAATAGTGGATTTTCCCTTAAAAAATGGTGGATCTTTCCATAGTTATGTTAGTTTACCAGAGGGTACTTGAATGCTGTGAACTATGTCCTACTAAAAATTCTGGGCAGATATCTAAAAATCGTTGGCAGCAGCAATGTGGAGTGTCCTGACGCCCAAGAACATCCTCGCTGGATCCACTTAAAATAGCTGCAGCATCGATGATAACCTGGCGACGCTGCGACGCGTCTCGCTGTTTCTGCCCTAAAAGTTGACAAGAAAGTGCGAGATGAGATGACTTCAAGGGTTCTGAAACCACTTGATGGTTGGCCACTGGAGCTGTCTTCGATCTGGACCGCTGTGATTCGCAGCGCTAGCGTGAGGTTTTTTTGGCATCCAGCATCATCTCCAGTAATGAATAGATATAATATATGTAGACTGGTTGGTGGTTTGGAACATTTTTTATTTTTCCATATTTTAGGGATAATAATCCCAACTGATTAATATTTTTCAGAGGGGTTGAAACCACCAACCAGTATAATTATGTATATATATATATGAATTATATTGAATTATATACGTAGAGATGATATACAGGCTGAAGTCTGCCAGTTCTAACTTGACAAGGCCCATGAACTTTAGTTTATTCCATGTTAATGCCCATAAACCCTAGTTCACCAAATTTTAAACCAAGCTAGTTCTCTAGGGTGCCTCACCTTTTAAATACACACCCTTCACAACACCCTGAATCTTTTTCCACATGGGTATTTTCTTCATCGCTATGGGTGACTAAAAATATAGACACTTTTCGCACATGACGCGAGGAATCTACCTGGAGCGTTTGGTAAGTTCGTAAAATTTTGAATGGCAAAGGTGAACAAAAATGCACCCGAACTATCAGGAATATACCTTTAATCTAGGAATATACCTTTAATCTATGAATGTGCATCTTGAATGGGAAATTATAATCTATATAATCTATATAATCTATAAAATCTATATAATCTATAAAGTCTATATAATCTATATAATCTATATAACATTTTATATTATCTTGAATGTGCATCACACTATCTGCCAGCTTTTTCGATGGAAATCATATCAGTATGGACCAAACAGTGGATTGCGATTCATCCACCAGCCCAGCTGACCCAGCTGACAGGGCAAATCGAAGTTCAAGGACAAGAAAAAAGAGCCTCGGCTGAAGGAAGGTTTTTCTTAGCCTCCCCCTGACTGGGTAAATGGGTAAATGTCATTGACATGTTTGCTTGAATAAATGTTGATAGGTACGGTATGCTTGTAACCCATGCTGTAATGTATTATACATATTATCATCAATCAGCTATTTTGTTGTAGATCATAACTATTTAATACAAAGCAACCATATCTGGTTGGTGGTTTGGAACATTTTTTATTTTTCCATTCAGTTGGGAATAATCATCCCAACTGACGAACTCCATCATTTTTCAGAGGGGTTGAAACCACCAACCAGAATAATTCAACATCATGGAAACCATCAGCATAACCATCATCATAACCATTATTAACCATAGATTAACCATAGATTAACCATAGATTAACCATAGATTAATCATAGATTAACCATAGATTAATCATAGATTAACCATAGATTAACAGTATATAAACCACCAACCAGGCTATATTACAACTATAACTAAAGGCTGGGTGAAAAAAACGGTCGCCACTTCCAACAGTTGCCCGGGATGGTTATCTGGCCTAGTGATCGATACACAAAGCAGGTTAGCCATCACTCACCAAGCCCAAATGGATACATAATGGCTACATATACATATTATATCTAACTATATATATTACAATATATATATAATAATACATGTATATATATATATTATAATATATATATATATTATAATATATATATAGTATTATATATATATTATACATATATATATATATACATGCATAATGTATATTATATATATACATATTCTAAGAAATTTAAAGGAATGGTGCCTCCAAAAACTTGACCATCGCCAATTGAGAACCAGCTTTTGGCTCAAGTCGGCTCGGCCTGGAGAAGCCAGCTGCAGCCAATTCCTGCTGTTTCAATTCCTATTTTTTGTATCAAAATTAGAAGAAAATATGAATGTGGGTCAAAATGGAAGACCTAGGGGACCACAGATGTTAGTCTAGTTTAGTATTAACCATCCATAATTTTGGGGTACCTAATTTTGACCCATACCCATATCATAGTGGCTGAAAACTATATATACTTAATATACCCAATATCATGATTTTACCATGATACTATCCTTTTTTTAAACTATTCGCTGCAACCTGGACGTTTGCCCGGAGTTGATGTCCCGCAATCAACGTATTGCTCACAGGGGGTGGCTAATTTTGATCCCTCATGAAGATAAAGTTGATGTTATTTCCCCAATCAACATATCGTTCTGAGGAGGTGGCGAATTTTGATCCCTCATGAAGATAAAGTTGATGTTGTTAGCCCGTTCAGTATATTGGTCATAGGAGGTGGCGAATTTTGATCCCTCATGAAGATAAAGTTGATGTTGTTAGCCCGTTCAGTATATTGGTCATAGGAGGTGGCGGATTTTGTTCCCTCATGAAGATAATCTTGATGTAGTTACCCGATTCAACATATTGACCATAGAGGGTGGCGTGTTGCTTGCCTGTTCAGCATGTTGGTCATAGGGGGTGGCGGATCAAAATCCCTCATGATGGTCAGGTGATATTGTTTCCTCATGAAGACAACTGTATTCAAGGTATCTTTCACATGCGACCGTGGCCTAATTTTCCCCCTTGGCCTTGCTTGGATTCGCAACTTCCCAGCAACACAGAATTGTCTCTGTTATGTCACAATGATGAGCCTGGGCGAACGTTAAGGTTGCGGACAAACTATTATATCATATATGCACCCATTATTACCCATGTTTTTTTCATATACCCAAGGACAAGTTCAATATATCTCCAGCGTTCGCTGGTGAAAATCTCCGGCCTTGAGGGCATGATGATCGATTCCGGTGCGAAGGGTAATACTGCAGAGGCGGCGCGTTTTCGCGGGATGGGCTGGATTTTGTTGGATTGAACAACCATCAAATCAATGGGAGATCTCCAGGATCCTAAAATGGAGATACGTTAGTACCATATTGTTGGCCATATTTTGTGGGGATATTCCCTTACATAGGCCTAAAAAATAGGCCTTATATATGGTAGGTACCTCCATTTTAGGATCCTGGAATTCCCATAGATCAAATGGATAAACCATGAGAAATGGGGATGATCCATAGAAAACAGGGATTAACAATGATTAACCATCAATGGTGGTTCAAGGTGATGAAACAATCAATTTTTTATGGGATTTACTGGAGATGTAATGGGTACATAACGGGATTTCATGGATATAGAATGTGTATGGAATGAGTTTTTGGTAATGGATATATAATGATGGATAATTATAATCATTGATTTTGTTGAATCAATAACGTACGTATATATCTGTATAATGGATATGTACATATTTAAGTATATATAATGGATATATACAGTGTATATATAATGGATGTATATATATATACATACATACATATGTATATATAAATATGTGTACGTAATGGATATATGATGGGTACATGATGGTTATGACGGATCTATGATGAATATATGATGCAATGAAATCTATTGATATAAATCAATAATAATTATATTATATAGTATATATATATTATATGAGTGATATTATTTGTCTATATTACTCAATAGTAATGACAACTAACCCCTTTAATTAATGACAGCTTCATTTTCGTCTCTAATGTGAATCAATTTTGGCAAATCTCATAGATATTAGTTCATAGATATTACCCTCTGGTAAATTAACATAGACCCTGAAAAGATCCAGCCGTTTTAATGGAAACGAATCTTCCAACTCCAATCTCCAATGCAGGGTTGTCATGTTAATTTCCGGGAGGGTAATAGAGAGAGAACCTCCAAAAGTAGAGATGACTGGGGGGTGTCAGCCGAGCCGTACTGGACCTCAGGAGCTGTTTGGATCAGGGATTGATTAGATATTTATAAATGAGAATATAAGTAAACTAAGTGAATGTGAACGTAAGTAATCTAATAACTACGTACAATATTCTTCCCATTGTTCTACTTATTATTTACTGTACATCTTTGGTCTTAAAAAAATGGTGGTGTTTTTTCGCATAGAGAATGGTCATCCCCCTATAGGGATTTTGACATGGCCATTGTAAGGCCAGAATTCCAATTCCCATGAAATGGGATAGATGACCATACACCATATAATACCATATATTATCTTTTGACCTTGGCACATGTAATACTTACATTTAAGTGGATTCCACTAATACTGTACTTATATTCATGGTAATCATCTGAGTAAAGTAAGTATTACTCGTAAGGTGAATATTGATATATCTATTACTATAATGTTATCTTTGCGATACATTACCCTTAGTTATTATCAATATCTAGATTAATGGGACAATTGATCTTATCTTAGTAAAAACTAAGTACCAGAAATCGTTTTTCGTGGCTTTCGCAAGAGGATTCAACCACCAAAACGTTGATCAAAATCGTGAAAAGATTCTCCCCATAGCATGGTTGTTGATGGATAATAATCCCACAAAAAGACGTACTTGATTAGGAGCTCACATTGCTACCCTCTGGTTATGTCAAAATAGCTATTGAAAATGACCATTATAGTGGATTTTCCCATTGAAAACGGTGATTTTCCATAGTCATGTTAGTTTACCAGAGGGTAGGGGGTACTTGAATCCCATGGAACACACATCCAAGCCAGGTTTGTTTTATCAATGTGCTTTGGCGAGTGAAGAACTAAAGTGTGCGAACAGCGCAAACTTTGGTTTCCTAGACAAATTCGGGCTTGGCTGAAAATGGGTCACAAAAAACCCAGATGCTCTATGTATGGAATATTTACTTACATTTACCCCCAAAATGGCCCAATCATGTAGGTAAATATTCCATACATGGAGCATATGGGATAGTAAATACATTGGTTCATGATCATTTTCCCATTGAGATTGATCTATTTCATGGGTTCCCCACACTTTCATACCCCATATTTTGTAGGACTGATTAAATATCACAGTATCCCAAAGCAAAAGCTCATTGATCGATCATTTTTCCATGGCATATCCGGTTTGTTGATGAAATGTTTGGTTGATAGTTCTCCTTCATCCATGAAATAGAAATGTTGGATTTATCATTTCGTTGAGAATTGCCATTTGGAATGTCAAACATTAAAATAACGCGTCCATCTCTTGGCCAAAAGAATCTATATCCATACCTTTGGGTCCCAACGAGTAGATCCTGGTGGTAACATAGATATGGCAAACCTACCATTTGTAAATCATGTTCCGATCGCTTTCCCCATGGGTTTGCCATATCTGGATGTTTACCCCAGAGTAAGTGTTCATGTGCTCCGAGATTTGTTGTTTCAGCATCTTCTTTGTTGAAGAGAAGGCACTTTTTTAACATCAGAAGGGGCAACGCGGCGTTGAACCATTTTCCGCCCCCAGTTTCAACGATGTTCATCGTGTCCCATCTGTAGATATCTCTACCATCATACACCCTAGTTATGTTAGTTGTACACCAACTTAGCTATGGGTGCCCCCTGTGGGATTTCGTGGTCAAAAAAACCGGCCACCGATTTCGCGGGGTGATGTCGCCAGGACTATGGGTCTGAGAAGGAGCAGAACTTGAAGGTGCGAGCGCGACGAGTGACACCTGTGACACGTGTGCAATTGGGAAATTTCCCATTTATAGATGCAGGTTTTTTAACATGGGGGTAACCCCCAAATCATCCAACTAGACCATTTCAGTATTGAAACTCATGGTCTTCGGTATACACCATTTTCGAGAGCATCCAGATGATTAATGGTGATTAATATTTAATAGGGGCTTAACCAACAGAGAAACGGGGATATTAATGAGATATACCATCCGCTAATCAAAGAAGGCAATGGAAAATCTGATGTAAACGGCGGTTGTACAGTAATGGGAACATCATCCAGAAAGCATCTATAAATCATCCATAAAGCATCCATGAATAGTGATGAGGAGGTGATGAGGATGAGGATGATGAATGATGATGAGGAGGACGACGATGACGACGATGACGACGATGACGACGATGACGACGATGACGACGATGATGATGACGATGACGTTTCGTCATTTTCTTTGTGACAGCTGTTGTTTTCATCCTAACAAGAGGCATCATGATCCTGCGGCTCACGCCTACCAAGGAAGACGATCCTTTTGGGACATGGGGTGGTGAGTCACAAGTCACAATCAGATTTGGGACATGACATGATTTTGTGCACGGGATGGTCATCAATCCATTTTCGTTGAGATTTACCCTCTGGCAAACTAACATAGCTATTGAAAATTGCCATTTATCCCATTTATAGTTGATTTGCCCATTAAAAATGGTGATTTTCCATAGTTATGTTAGTTTACCAGAGGGTATATACCATGAGGATTTAAATGGGAAACCAGCAGTCCTCCAACCTGGTTTGTTCCCCACCTGCCAGGTGAGGGTTGTTAGATTTTATGTCAGTTGCCTCCTCCTCCTTCTCCTCCTCCGCCTCCTCCTGCCTCGTCCTCCTCTCCTCCTCCTCCTCGTCCTCCTCGTCGTCCTCGTCGTCCTCGTCGTCCTTGCTCAACTGCGACCCGCGATCCACAGTGTTCTCTGCCGGACCTCAACCACGACCATCCACGCCCAGTGTTCCCTGCCGGACCTCAACCACGACCATCCCGCCCAATGTTCCCTGCCGGACCTCAACCACGACCATCCTCGCCCAGTGTTCCCTGCCGGACCTCAACCACGACCATCCACGCCCAGTGTTCCCTGCCGGACCTCAACCGCGAGTATCCACGCCAAGTGTTCCCTGCCGGACCTCATGTAGGAAGATATGGGACAAAGAATGTGCAGAAGAAAGTTAGAAAGAATGTCAGAAAGAATGTCAGAAGATATGCCAGAAGATATGCCAGATAGAATGCCAGAAGAATGCCAGATAGAATGCCAGAAAATAGCCATGCCAGAAGATATGCCAAAGATATGCCAGAAGATATGCCAGAAGATATGCCAGAAGATATGTCAGAATATATGCCAGAAGATATGTCAGATAGAATGCCAGAAGATATGTCAGAATATATGCCAGGAGATATGCCAGATAGAATGCCAGATTGAATGCCAGAAGATATGTCAGATAGAGTGCCAGAAGATATGACAGATAGAATGCCAGAAGATTTGCCAGATAGAATGCCAGAAGATATGCCAGAAGATTTGCCAGATCATATGCCAGAAGATATGCCAGATAGAATGTCAAATAGAATGTCAGAAGATATGTCAGATAGAATGCCAGAAGATTTGCCAGTAAGAAAATGTATAAATGTCATGGTGGGGATCACACGAAGTAACGTAATTTGTTTTTTTTTTTAAGGGAGATAAAAAATATAGACTGGATTGTAAGTTTACAAGCGCCAACTACCTGGAATATGATTTTGTAAAGACGCATGACCCTAACACGGGTTTTGTGAACGGCCAACTCTTGATGAGATGGGTCGAAAAAAGGCATCCTTGAAGCTGCATGTGGGGGATTAAATAACAGCACTTCATAGTCTTAAAACCCCTATTTCAATAGTTGTGTTGTTTTGGGCTCCCAGAGTATTGATTATTGTATTCATGCAGAAAATTACGAGCGTAGCATCAAGAGCGTAGCATCAAGAGCGTCTGGAAGATACTTGAGAAAGCTAAGAGGGTAACATCAAGAGCGTGTGGAAGATACTTGAGAAACTTAAGAGTCCAGCATCAAGAGCGTGTGGAGGTCAATATGAACTCTGATAATACCACACTCCCTGCCACCCCAGCCCAACATGCAAAAAACACCAACATGCAAAAAAAACTTAAAATCTCTGTGAGCTGAAACAACCCTAGACAAACCCTGAACCACGTTGCAAATACTTTGCAAATTAGATAGCTCCAAAATGTAGCAATTAACAAGGTCATCTGCCTCAGGCTCGAAAAAAAACACCTGCACCAGCATGTTTTGGTTTGCCCTTTTTGATGCTTAAATCCTCTGGTGTGTTGTTTAAATCAGCATGTTTGATGCTTAAAGTCAGAATTGTTGACGCTTAAACCGGTTCAAGTCACCATTTTTGATGCTTAGAATCACCATGTTTGATGCTTAAACCATGTTAAATCAGGTTAAAACATGTTAAAACGATGTTAAACCTACATATATATTTTCACGGTCAAATCTACTTTTGTTGATGCTTCAATCATCCGCATCTTCCGCGTATCCGCATATGAGGTCATCATCTTCAGATGCCTCGATGAGCTCCAGAGCAGCGACCAAGTCCCTTCGGAGGTGACTGTTCTCCGCCCTGGAAAGCATGGTGAATGGATAGGGTTTCATGGGGATTGTTATGGGATTATTATTCGATGATTATATGGGATGAATATATGGGATGATTATGGGATTATTATGGGATGATTATATGGGATGAATATATGGGATGATTAGGGATTATTATGGGATGATTATATGGGATGAATATATGGGATGATTTTATGGGATTATTTTTGGGATGATTATGGGATGATTATGGGATGATTATGGGATGATTATATGGGATGAATATATGGGATGATTTTATGGGATTATTAATTATGGGATGATTATGGGATTATTATGGGACTATTAATTATGGGATGATTATATGGGATGATTATGGGATTATTATGGGATGATTATGGGATGATTATATGGGATGATTATATGGGATGATTATGGGATTAGTATGGGATGATTATATTATATAGGATGATTATGGGATGGTTATGGGATGATTATGGGATTATTATGGGATGATTATGGGATTAATATGGGATGATTATATGGGATGATTATATAGGATGATTATGGGGTTATTATGGGATGATTATGGGATTATTATGGGATTATATACCCACCCCCTACCTCTTGAAATTTCAGGGGGGGGTACCCCAACACATTTCTTGAAACTATTTCAGTTCCAACCCCCCCTTTCAGTTTTGGAAGGCTTTCAAGCTCAGCTACTTTTCAATTTTTTCGGACATAATGGAGTGCGTAGTTCCATGCATGCATACATTCATACATCCATTCATGCATGCATACATACATGCATACATACATGCATGCATACATACATACATACATAAATCATTACTAAGTAGAACTAACCATTGCAAACTCATTGGCCAAATCACCAAGTCACTGAATGGAGCTCACAGAGACGATCCCTGCTGCTGAATGGCTCCCCGAGGGCCCACACAGAGGGGGCATATGGCCGTTTGCCAGTTTTTCTTCATGGTGATCATTGCCACATAGACAAATGCATCACCTTTCATGGCCATTGATATATAAGTTTGAACATATTTGAACATTTTTTCAACTCCAGCCACTAGACGGATCTTTGATCTTGTGTATTTTTTTTCTGGGCTGGTGACGAAAAACTCTTCGCCCCCTTCGCCCGCATGCTGAAGCTGTTCTCTTTGGCAATGGTTGTTGTGGGATGGCCCAGTTCACAAGCTTGGAAGAGGGACCAGCCCAGGAGGGCATTTCGAAGCCTGGTGCTTCGACATCTGGGTTGAAGTTTCCCATCTCAAAAGGGCATGATGATCCCATTGAACTCATATGTTTGGGATCGAACCGCCAGAATTTCTTGGAATGTTCAAGGTGTCAGCACTTCAAACCTCCCAAACGCAAACGTTTTCCGAGTCCTTTTTTTTCCATTACCAAGTGACTCCCTTTCGGATTGGAGACGGGGCAGCGGGGTCCAGTGGGGAATCGTGACCTAGGCTGGCCATAAGCTGGCACTCCTTCCGGCACATGAAGTTTCCCGGCCTGGGGGCCTGGCTTCAAGTGCTTGGTGGCTTGAAACAGATGTTGATTTTTACCCAGCCAGTTGGGATGATGTTCTCACTGGTGACCAATATATGATGGAAGCGTCGTGAAATCAGCAGTGGTAGATTCATTGGTTTTCGGTGGATGGGTTGGTTCATTCTCTGAGAAGGCTTTCAGGTCTGTCTTCTGGGTGAAGCAGCACCACAGGCGCCCAGCTGAGGGGAGGACCCCAGGAGGGTGAAAAACGGTGTGTGAAACTTGGAGCCTTGGCTGGGGATGAGCTGAGAAGCTGAAACTTGGAATTGAAAGTCGCATTCATGCCGTTTTTTCAGCTACAAGTGACAAGATGGATAATACAATTATATACAATCATTTTTATATATTTTTATTTTCCAAGGCAGTGTCGGAATATGTCGGAATATGGCGAGGAAGGGGGTCTCAATTGAATTCAGATGATGGTCGGTGCGAAGATTAAATCTTCCATAATCTTCCCAGCTCTGTCCGAAGTCAGATAGCTGCTGTAGGCTGCTGCCGCTCATAGCTCAAGACCTGGTCTGTCTTGACGTGAAGCACAGTGAAGCTCACCTTGAACAAATCTACGAAGAGATGGGTTCGTTGAAAATATGTGAAAATGTAACCGACCAGTTTAAACCCCAGATGATCCAGATATATCCAGATATGATGAAACATGATAAAACGATATAAAACGTTGGTTCAGCACATATCAGCACCACACGAAAAACAAGTGCCCAGTTGGAGAGCCATGCCGTCCCTGGCAAAGTTCATTCTCTGGCCGGAGGATTGTGTCCGTCCTGAGGACCGTTTTGATCCGCTTTGAACGGCGCAATTACTTGCTCGCTGAAGATCGCTGATGTTGTCCACAAGTATCAAACGATATCACCAACAGGATCATACAGAATAAACTCATATAAACACATACAAATAGACATAAAATTACATAAATATACAAATACATATAAATACCATCAAATACCCAGGGCAATTAATCCAGGGCCCATGCATTCCCATGAAGAGTTTTTTGCTGCGACGCTAGCAGGGCATTCATGCTCGTTGGCAGGGGCTTGTTATGGTTTGTTGTTGCATGCTGTGGCAATGTATGGCAATGTGGCGAATTGCAGCCAATGGTGACAATGCTTAGACAATGCTTAATCCAGGACCCATGCATTCCCATGAAGCGTTTCTTTGCGACGCTAGCAGGGCATTCACGCTCGCTAGCAGGGGTTTGTTGTTGCATGCTGTGGCAATGTGGCGAAGTGCAGCCAATGGTGCCAGTGTCAATGACATGAAATGGTTTGATTTGATTCCGACGTGCAAGGACTGTGCCTTCCTTTGATCGTCCTATATTGTCCTAGATTGTAACATATTGTAACCAGACGCTCTCTTCGATCTCTTCCATAGCAAACGGATACCCCCAGCTATGTGTGATATTGCATGACATTGTGATACACAATGTCATGAAATGACATGAAGCATGACAAAATAATACGACATATGACGACATGTGATGTGTGTATCTGACATCGAGAGAATTGAGCTGCGCTATGCTGTGCTCATTCACCGGATCTTTCTGGGGCTTGAATTTCCACATGTTCTCTGGTTCCACAGGAGTGGGGGGAGAACTGCTTCGACTACCTCCACCTGGAGGAGGCTACAAGAAGGATGGTGAGGCGAGCAGTGACCTCGCATGTGCGCATGCCCTGGGTCCAGAACCGAGAGCATGTGGTTTCTCAGGCATTGGGACGTGTTGTTGTTGTTGTTGTTGCTGTTGTTGTTGTTGCTGTTGCTGTTGTTGTTGTTGTCGTTGTTGTCGTTGTTGTCGTTGTCGTTGTCGTTGTCGTTGTCGTTGTCGTTGTCGTTGTCGTTGTTGTTGTTGTTTTTTGTTTTTGTTTTTCCGCGTTGTTCTGCCGGTATAGTGCTAAATTGCTTTGAACTTTAAACAATGTTAAACATCGGTCAGCATTGGGCAAAGCAGGACTGGTTGGAACATGGAGCCACGCCAAAAGCAAAACAATGCAAACCACAGCAAATGCATGCAAAAGGAAATCAAACAACACGACAGCCACCAACATCAGCCAACATCCCAACCAAACAAAACCGGCAAACCTGCCAAACACCAAAACAACCAGCGAAAGGCTCGTTTGGATGCAAGAAATAAAGGTGGTAGATGTTGGACAATATTTGAAAATATTTGACAATATACTGTAAAGAATGTCAGAATGATGCCAGATGCCAGGTAGAATGCCAGAATGAAAGCCAGAAGAAATGCGAGATAGAACTTGAAAGAGATGGGGCATTTTTCACCTCACCTGGCATTCATAGAATTTCTTCACCTTTTTTCCTACATGTTCAAAAGCCACAGTGCGACATGGAAGACAATGGAATACTTGTGCTATTTTGTATTATTTTGCGCTTAAGGGGAAAGCAGGTAGGTTCAAATTTGGGCCAGTAAGATGGCAGAGTGGCGCCTTTTACATCCTTTTACTTTTTGCATCTTTTTGCTAGTCGTGATGACGTCCGTGGATCTTCTGAATTTGAGTGCTGGTCCTTTGGCCAGGTGTGGGCTGGGCCTAGAGGTGAGACCCTGTCCTGGAAGAACAAGAAGGCCTGGCGAATTCAGGACTCGGAAGGCGAGGACGGGGGGAGACAATGTTAGAGGAGCTTAAAATGGAGCTTAGCAGTTAGCAGGACATGGTGGGACCCAGCTTTGGAGCATGTCAGAGGTCTCGTGAGTTCTCATCCGATTTAAGATGTTCGAAGAAGGTTTCCGCATACTGATTCCGCCTTTCAATGCTTTACATCTCTTTACCATGCTTTACCATGCTTTACCAACTCGTTGGTTTCTTGAAGTCTTCCGTGTTGTTGTTGATGCCGCGAGGTGGAACATGGTGGGATGACCAATAATGTCGGATAGCCTGTGCGAGTTGTATTCCAGATTATTCCAGTATATGATAGTACATGCAAATATGATATACGCGTATCAAAACAACAACTCATCCCGTATCCCCGTGGGCCACTTGCTTGTTCTTCGCCTAGCGGCCTAGCGCTGCTCGCGGTGGTTGAATGCTATTCAAGTCCTGCTTGACAGATCTGTTCAGGCCAAACCCTTTGGAAAAGCGAGAGCAGGGAAGAGAAGCCACCTGGCAGAGGCAAGTGGGTGATGATGTGTGATGTTTGGTGCTTCAAGTCAGCCCCATATCGACGGGTGAGATTGCTAGAGAAATATCTGACCACAACCGCACTGATTTCAGCGCCAGGCTGGCAGATCCAGTCTGGCGATAGCCAAGAGTGGAGGGAGTCATGCCTAGAAGTGACTTTGGAGGTGGAGTGGTGGGGCATGGAGACCGGGTGAGATATGGTGAGATCAGTGAGTAAGATGTTGCGATGCCATGTCATTTTTCGATTTTATTTGTTTTTTTTGTATGCTGTGCATGTTTCGTAAACTCTGGTTGGAAAGCTTTGGAACGCATCTCTACACAAAGCATATCAAAGCATCACATAGCATCACAAAGCTCATTCTTCAACGGCCCGGATTGCCATTCGGCAGGGAGAGACTTCCGAGTCAGAGCAAGAGCCACCAAGGACTGCCGTTCAGGGCCCTCGGTTTTTCGACGTGGATGTTTTATGATGTTTTTATGTTTTTTTAATGATATCTTCCATTGTTTTCCATTGTTTTCCAGAAAAAGAACGCGAACCATAGACCGTAGGATCAGGATTGATCAGGATTGGCAACAGACAGCGGGTTTGGCAGCTTCCCATCCTGGATCATTCTGGTGATATCTGATGGAGAACGGTAAGATACGGTAAGGTATGTTGAGTGATGTTGGGTGTCGACATGTGTCGACGAAAGGTAGCCCATGTCATCGACTCATGGGGTAACAAAGGGTAACAGGCATGCTGGTCATTCAATGTCAATCAGCTAGCTGACAATCGACTACTTGATGCTACTTGACTTCCTGGTTCGCTAGTGTGAGAAGCTAGTTGACAAAGTAGCTATGTAGCAGTTGACCCAGTGAAAAACTATGAAAATCTATTTGACTGACCGGTCCTGACTGGCTCAGTGACCCACTAAATGCATCTAAATGCACAACAGCCCAGCTAAAGAAATGACTTAACGAATTGACTAGCTGAGTAAGTCAGAAGTTTGACTTACGAACATCGTAAAACTTCGTTCCATCATCTTCCTTTTGCCATTTCAACTATATGTAGAACTTCGTCAAATGAATCTAAATGATGCAATCTCATATAATATTCTCATTTGGAACACTGCTTTGAGTATGCTATAGTATGCTGTAGTATACTGGTACCATCTGGTACCATGTTGCTGCATTGTTCCACATTACTGGTGCAAGAAAACGGACGAGGCATCAAGAGAATAAGGTGCCAGCATCAGAAAGAAAGCAGGCACATGCGGCGCATGGGCACGGCATTCATATTCATTCATACTTTTTGAATCTTTTTCATGAAATCCATGCCAGCCCGGCCATGCGCAGAGTTTTGCAATGTTTTGCAGTGTTTTGCAGCAATCTGAAATACGTTTCACACATCTCAACTGAGCTGGAACAAACCATAGCAAACCATAACAAACCTTAACATGGACAGCCGCAGGCCGCGGCAGCTTCTCCCGGGGCCACCTCCAAGTTCAAGGAAGTGAGTTCTTCAGTCTTGCCTTCAGATGTCCTTTGAGAACATTTGAAAACCATTGGGAACGACAAAAAACGACAATTACTTCACTTCGAATGATCCCCACCATGGCATTTATACATTTTCTTACTGGCAAATCTTCTGGCATTCTATCTGACATATCTTCTGGCATTCTATCTGGCATATCTTCTGGCATATCTTCTGGCATTCTATCTGGTAAATCTTCTGGCATTCTATCTGGCATATCTTCTGGCATTCTATCTGACATATCTTCTGGCATTCTATCTGGCATTCTATCTGGCATATCTTCTGGCATATGTTCTGGCATATCTTCTGGCATTCTATCTGGCATATCTTCTGGCGTATGTTCTGGCATATCTTCTGGCATATCTTCTGGCGTTCTATCTGGCATATCTTCTGGCATTCTATCTGACATATCTTCTGGCATTCTATCTGGCATTCTATCTGGCATATCTTCTGGCATTCTATCTGGCATATCTTCTGGCATATGTTCTGGCGTTCTATCTGGCAAATCTTGTGGCATTCTATCTGGCATATCTGCTGGCATTCTATCTGGCATATCTGCTGGCATTCTATCTGACATATCTTCTGGCATTCTATCTGGCATTCTATCTGGCATATCTTCTGGCATATGTTCTGGCATATTTTCTGGCATATCTTCTGGCATTCTATCTGGCAAATCTTCTGGCATTCTATCTGACATATCTTCTGGCATTCTATATGGCATTCTATCTGGCATTCTATCTGGCATATCTTCTGGCATATGTTCTGGCATTTCTTCTGGCATATGTTCTGGCATATCTTCTGGCATATGTTCTGGCAAATCTTCTGGCATTCTATCTGGCAAATCTTCTGGCATTCTATCTGGCATATCTTCTGGCATTCTATCTGACATATCTTCTGGCATTCTATCTGGCATATCTTCTGGCATTCTATCTGGCCGTTGAGGTCCGGCAGTGCCCACTGGGATCTGGAGCTCGCGGTTGAGGTCCGGCAGTGCCCACTGCGATCTGGAAGTCGCGGTTGAGGTCCGGCAGTGCCCACTGCGATCTGGAAGTCGCGGTTGAGGTCCGACAGTGCCCACTGCGACCTGGAAGTCGCGGTTGAGGTCCGGCAGTGCCCACTGGGATCTGGGTCCGGCAGTGCCCACTGGGATGTGGTGGTTGCGGTGGAGGTCCGGGTGTGCCCACTGGGATCTGGACTGCGAGGAGGAGGAGGAGGCGGAGGAGATGGAGGAGGATGCGGAGGAGATGGGAGGAGGATGCGGAGGCGGAGGAGGAGAACAGCTCTGATAAAATCTAACAACCCTCACCTGGCAGGTGGGGAAATATGAAGCGCATTATTATAACGCATTGAAATGCCCATACATGCCCATACAAATTCTCATACAAAATCAACAAATCCCGTCATGTGGAGCTCTGTGGAGCCATATGGAACACACATGAATGCGCCTCGCATCTTCCAGCACACAGGAGCAAAGCCTTGCTTCTGCCTGCGATGCACAGGCCAGGGTTCCTGCCAAGTCCTCTGCGCGCTCAGCGGCATTGTCCTCAGACTACCTTTGAGAATCTTCGAGAACCATGCAGAATCACCCATGCAAATCATTGCAAATTTAGAGTCATCCAAAGTCTCATCACGTGGAATGTGGAGTCATGTGGAACCATGTGGACCCCGTCGAATCCGCGTACTTTAAATGGTCGTAGGATCAAATCTTTCCGACGCCTGCAGGCAGAGCCAGTGCCTCCCAAGCCCAAGGCTGGCGCAGCATCTCCAGTGTTGTCCTCGGGTTGTCGGAGAACATCGGAGAACCATCAGACCCACATAGACATACATAGACCCACACAGAGTCGTCGTTAAAAACCGATAAAAATCAACAAATCCATAAAAATCCTTAAAAATCCCATCATGTGGAGCATTGTAGAGCATTGTGGAGGCATGTGGAGGATTTTTGTTTTTTTAATAGACAGATATTATATAATATTACCGAAGGAAGTTTAGAAGTCAAACTTCCGACTGACTGAAAGATGCAGCTAGGTCAGTGCGACGAGTCAGGAGAGAGAGTCAGGAGATAGAAGATCAGAGAAGAGAGAGTTAGAGAAGAAAGAAGATCCAGGTGTGCGAAATGTTAGGAAAGTTGCGAAACGCTGTGTTTTTCCAATGTTCTGTGGTTCCGGGAGGTCGAAAAGTAGGCTCGCTAAAACGGCGGGTGCGGAGGCATCTCGAGAGAGGAGTGATCAAAAAGTGTCAAAACACCTCTCGTTTCAACGATTTCGAAGTGAAAAGTGATAAAAGTGTAAAAACACCTCAGCTCCGTGGCACTTTTGGGAAATTAACTTCGCAAAAGTGTCAAAACGCCTCGTGTTTTAACGATTTCGAAGTCAAAAGTGTAAAAACATCTCATGCTCGGAGCACTTTTGGAAGTTGAACTTCCAAAAAGTGTCAAAGCGCATCGTTTTAAGTGTAAAAAACTGACGGTCTCGGGATATTTTGCATTTTGAACGTCGTTTCGCGTGACAGGCGCAAGGGATGGGGCACTTCCTAACTTTAGACGAAAAGGTAGCTAAACGTCAGGTTTTTTTTTGGAAATCTCAAAACGTTGGCAGGCGTGGTGGATTTGAAGAGGGTCGCCAATGGTGCATTTTACGTGGCAGGCGCAATGTTTTTGCATTTTGGATGAAGATGTTGGAGGTCCAAGACGTCAAATTTGTGGAAGGCGTGCGATTTTTGACTTGCAGAAATCATCTTTTAGTCATCTTTTGTCGACATCATTTTTCGTGACAGGTGCAAGGTTTCGTATGCCTCGGCTGCACTTTTTCGTGGCAGGCGCAGTGTTTTGTAGACAAAGGAAAAAAACGCAAATCACAGTGGAACTGTGAGGTCAAAGATCTCCTTCAAATGTCAAATTTGACGGAAGTCTCGCAAAATATCGTTGTTTTTAAGCTTTCAACTTCGAATAATTTAGGAAGTCTCGCAGAATTGCTTCGTTTTCAAGCTTTCAACGAACAAATGTGGAGAAAGGATCGCAGAAAAGCTTTGTTTTCAAGCTTCCACCTTGCAAAACTGCAGGAAGTCTCGCACAAAATGCTGGTTTTTCTGGCTTGCACTGTGTAAATTGAGAGAAAGTGTCGCAGAACAGGTTGGATAGATAGATGGTCAGATAGATAGCAAGATAGATAGATAGATAGATAGATAGATAGATAGATAGATCGATAGATCGATAGATCGATAGATCGATAGATCGATAGATCGATAGATCGATCGATCGATCGATAGATAGATAGATAGATAGATAGATAAACAGACTGACAGACAGACGGACAGACAGACAGACAGACAGATAGATAGATAGATAGATAGATAGATACATATACAGAGATGGCTAGATAGACATTGACAATCCAACCTGGCTCTGCCATGGATTTTCCAAGCAACCAACCTTTTTTCCTATAGTTTCCTATCTTTGAAACTTCCGCCACCGCCTTGTGCGTTACTACTGGTATGTAAATATATTTTCATATACATTATCATTCGCACGGGAACCAGCCAGTTGCTCCCAGTCCTCAGATGTCCTTCGGGAACCAAATCCTTGAGATCAAGTATAGTGATACAAACATAGAAAACTTTACAGAACCGATTGTTGTTCCAAAGACTGTCGAGGCAAGCTTTTTCATTTTCTTCCAATCTGAAGAGTCAGGAAGCTAAAATGCAAGGTCAGTCACCCAAAGGGGATGGTGACATATGAGATCATATGAGATCAATTGAGATATATTGCGATCATATGAGGACATTTGAGGACGTTTTCTAGAGGTGATGCGAGTCAAGGCTTCATCCTTTTGTGCTCAAACTTGAGCGTACCTGCCACGCCTGAAGGTCCCGGAGCCGATTCATCCTCCACAGTCTCGCCAGGCCTTTGCATTGTGAACTTCAATCTGTGCGCATATGTGATATTGTGTGGTGTGTTTTGCATTTTTCTATTTTTTTTAGTTTTTTATTTTTTTTTGCATTGCCACTAGATGATATGGTGCCAAGTTCAATCCAGCCTGAAGGTCCCGGAGCCGACTCATCCTCCGCGGTCTCGCCAGGCCTTTGCATTGTGAACTTCAATCTGTGCGCATATGTGATATTTTGTGATGTGTTTTGCATTTTTCTATTTTTCCCCACCTGCCAGGTGAGGGTTGCTAGATTTTATGTCAGATGCGCGGCTCCTCCTTCTTGTTGTCCTTCCTTCCTTCCTTCCTTCCTCCCTTCCTTCCTTCCTTCCTCGCCGGACCTCATCTGCCAGCTCTTGATCGCAGTGAGCCTCGCCGGACCTTTATCTGCCAGCTCTTGATCGCAGTGGGCCTCGCCGGATCTCAAGTGCCAGCTCTCGATCGCAGTGGGCCTCGCCGGTCGCCGGACCTCAACCGGCGAGAGTCGGAGCGCTGTGGGCCTCGCCGGACCTCAATCGGACCTCAACGGCCAGAAACAAAGCCATATAGAATGCCAAAAAGAATGCCAGAGAGAATGCCAGATAGAATGTCAGAAGATATGCCAGATAGAATGCCAGATCGAAGATGTTCCAGATAGAATGTCACAAGATATGACAGACAGAATGCCAGAAGATATGCCAGATAGAATGTCAGAAGATCTGCCAGATAGAATGCCAGATAGAATGTCAGAAGATATGCCAGATAGAATGTCAGAAGATATTCCAGATAGAATGTCAGATAGAATGTCAGAAGATATGCCAGATAGAATGTCAGAAGATATGCCAGATAGAATGTCAGAAGACATGCCAGATAGAATGTCAGGAGATATGACAGACAGAATGCCAGAAGATATGCCAGATAGAATGTCAGAAGATATGCCAGATAGAATGCCAGATCGAATGCCAGAAGATATGCCAGATAGAGTGTTAGAATATATGACAGACAGAATGCCAGAAGATATGCCAGATAGAACGTCAGAATATATGCCAGATAGAATGTCAGAAGATATGAATGACGGAATGCCAGATAGATTTGCCAGATAGAATGTCAGAAGATATGACAGATAGAATGCCAGAAGATATGCCAGATAGAATGCCAGATAGAATATCAAATAGAATGCCAGATAGAATGCCAGAAGATTTGCCAGACACAATGTCAGATGGGATGAATTGAATGCCATGGCGGGGATCACTCGAAGCAAAGTATTTTTTTGTGGCATTGCCACTAGATGATATGGTGCCAAGTTCAATCCAGCCTGAAGGTCCCGGAGCCGACTCATCCTCCACGGTCTCGCCAGGCCTTTGCATTGTGAACTTCAATCTGTGCGCATATGTGATATTGTGTGATGTGTTTTGCATTTTTCTATTTTTCCCCACCTGCCAGGTGAGGGTTGTTAGATTTTATGTCTGTTGCCTCCTCCTCCTCCTGCCGCCTCCTGCCTCGTCTGCCGCCTGCCTCCTCCTCGTCCTCCTTGTCGTCCTTGTCGTCCTCGTCGTCCTCGTCGTCCTCGTCGTCCTCGTCCAACTGCGACCCGCGATCCACAGTGTTCGCTGCCGGACCTCAACCACGACCATCCACGACCAGTGTTCCCTGCCGGACCTCAACCACGACCAGCCACGCCCAGTGTTCCCTGCCGGACCTCAACCACGACCAGCCACGCCCAGTGTTCCCTGCCGGACCTCAACCGCGAGTATCCATGCCAAGTGTTCCCTGCCGGACCTCAACTGCGAGTATCCACGCCAAGTGTTCCCTGCCGGACCTCATGTAGGAATGTCAGATAGACTGCCAGATAGAATGCCAGATAGAATGTCAGATAGGATGCCAGATAGAATGCCAGATAGAATGCCAGAAAGAATGCCAGAAAGAATGCCAGATAGAATGCCAGATAGAATGCCAAAATATATGTCAGATATAATGCCAGATAGAATGCCAGAATATATGCCAGAATATATGCCAGATAGAATCAGATAGAATATATGTCAGATATAATGCCAGATAGAATGCCAACATATATGCCAGAATATATGTCAGATAGAATGCCAAAATATATGTCAGATATAATGCCAGATAGAATGCCAGAATATATGCCAGAATATATGTCAGATAGAATGCCAGAATATATGTCAGAATAAATGACAGGTAGAATGCCAGAATATATGTCAGATGAAATGTCAGAAAATATGTCAGATAGAATGCCAGATAGACTGCCAAATAGAATGCCAGGTGGAATGTCAGGATATATGCCAGATAGAATGCCAGAATATATGCCAGAATATATGTCAGATAGGATGTCAGAATATACTAAATATATGTCCAAATATACGTCCTGACATGTCATGGTGGGGATCACACGAAGTAGAGTAATTTTTGTTTTTTATATTTTGTTGCATTGCCATATGGTGCCAAGTTCAATCCACACACCGCTTAGGGTTTTCTGTGGTTTTCTGTATTTCCAGCAGGGCAGTCAGTGCTCGCGAAGTACCCCAAAGCAAATAGAATAGAATAGAATATGCAAATAATTTTAAATAACTTGAAACATGTGAGCAGCCACGGAGCAGGGCAATCATGCTCGCTTCCCAGGGCTTGTTTTGACTACCTTGGGCATGCTGTCGCACCAAGTGGCAAACCGCGCGAAGCGTCGGAAATGGTACCAATGGCTGCAATGAATGTGCTGTCCTTCCATATCCTTCCATCTTAGATCTGAAACTGAAACTCCGTGAGGCTCCCGTCCGTGACCGGCGGATACCGACCGCGTTGTGCGATAGATTTACGAATATATATATATATGTAAATATACTTATACTTATATATATATATATATTTGTAAATATACTTATATATATTTTGATATGTATATTTTCCATATATATATAAAAATATATTTGTATTTGTATATCTACATGCCGGTTTACATGCCGTTTTTTTTTGTATCTATTTGTCTAATATGATCTAATATGTGATGTTGTGTGACGCCAAAGAATGTGACGAAATTATGTGATGCATGGTGACACCATGTGACACCCAGAGAATCGAAGTGGGCTTTTCCGCCATTGCGGCAATTTGTCAAGTCATGTCAAGTCCTGGGCAGGAAGAAGAGCAAGAATTCGTTGTTGAGGAGGAGGCACTGGTAGCCCGGACTCCTCTTGGATCTTCTGGGTAATTGCTTGAAGGAAACATGGGAAATACTGTACATGGAAATACAGGGTTGCAATGGAACGCAATGGAACATGATGTGATGTGAAGGATTGTGAAGGCTTCAGTTGGGATCGGGCAGGAATGGCAGGATGAAGCTGCAGCCCCAGAGGTTCCTCAGCAAACGGGCCGAGAACGCATCAGTGTAACATAACGAATTTGCCCGATATGCTTCGAGGAAGTTGTCTTGTTTTTGCCCTTGTCAAAACCATTCAAAACCTATCAGAACCTCGAAAGAGGACATGATAGGACCTGTGATCGCACAGGATCGCACCACATCGCACCTCGTTGAGTTTTTTTGGAACATATGAAGGTATATGAAGGTATTATGACGGATTATGAAGGAAACTGCTTGTCCGTGTGCATAAACCCCTTGCGTGTTGAATCGTTTTACATATTGACTGTAATTTTTACATATTTTCCCTTGCTTTGCTTTCAGCATCCTTTAGCCTGTAGGCTGATGAATAAGTCAAATACAGGCTACATTTCAATGTGTCTCAGTATCGCTCAATGCCAGTCTGATCCAGTCTGCCAGGGCCAACTCCAGCGCGCGGGGTATGTGCAGGGCTGGGTGGATGAACACGGCGTGTTTCATCCGCCGGATACTCAGAATATCTCAGAATTCATTTGATTTCATATGATTTCATTTGCAAAGCTGGATCTTCGTGCCTCCTTCCCTCCATCCCTCCGGTGGGGTCATTGTAGTTCATCCTTTCCTACTCGGGCTTTCCTGAGGCCCGGTGGTGGGAGGCTGCGCGCACGCACCAGAGGGGGCGCACGAGAGCAAGCCAGAGGCTGAGCATGGCTGAGCCCTTCTGAGAAAGTCTGGCAAAGTCTAGTTCCAGGCACAAGATGGCACAAGTGAGAGATAGCGAGAGCAATTACGTACGGTCAAGTATGACCACCAAGTCAGCTCAGTACCTTTCAAAGCTTATCACATCCCACCACTACGGGTCACACATGGCCACACCCAGCTTTCGAGGCTGCCCGGGCGCGCAACCACATGAGGGATGTAGTGGTCCTCGCCTTGGATCGCATAACCTTGCGGAACCACGTGTCGTCAGATTTTGTCAGTCAAAAGAGGTGGGTGTCAGAAGCTGTCCGTTTAGACACGTTTACACATGTTTAAACCTGCGTCAGCCATCATGGGCCAATGGCAGGCTGACTAGATCTGACATGGCGTGGGAATTTTGAGGATGGCAACACCTCCAGCTTCTGTGAAATATTGTGAAATTATTTCATTTCAAAACTGCAAGTCCGCCCTGGCTTTCGGATTCTAATGGATTCTACAGTTCTGACCAACTAAAGAAATTTCAAAAACCGGACTGCCACCCAGATGGCTTGAGGTACTAACCATGATCGATTATGGCGTGGATGATTTGGGTATCACGCTATCCTCCAATTTCAAGAAACATCAATCTGGTCATTTTGGAGTTTTGATGATTTCAAAATATTTTACATACCACCGGTTACCACCAGCAGTGACAGGTGAAATGATTATAATCCATAAAAAACAGTTGGGTGGCATTGCTTCACATGTTCACATGAGTATATGATCAGAGGTCTTGTAGGAACTCAATTAGCTAGAACTGGCTAGAACCGCTTTTGGAGGATCTTCTTAGGTCACATTGACCCCCCTCATGATTTCGATGCTTCGTAACTTTTCGTTCTATTTCGGTGATTCAAGCCATCCAATTTGGTGAGTTGATCATTTTGAACCACTGACCATTTTTTTGTTGATGAACATCACTTTGCACAACTCCAATCCCAAAATGTGGGCGAACCTGTCTGCATTCTCGTCGCCAAAGATGTGTCCATACTCGAAGAGGATCAGATGCCAATTCTGCCAGGAACCTGTGGAAATGCACCCAGCGTGGATGGGTTTCCAGAAATTGAAGGGTACCATTTGATGGATGGTTTTTGGATGTTTATGGGGAATTCAAGACCACATGGGATGATGATTTGGGGGTCCCCCCGTCTATGGAACCCACCACATAAAATTCACCGATTGCTAGAGTACCATGCAAATCCCCGTCTAGTGTCCCTGTCTAAGGTCCTGGATCCTCAGGCTACATTTTATAGCCTGATTCTGAGCCTGACAGTTTGCCACTCGCATGGACCATCTTGGAGCATCTTGGTCTTGACCCGAGCAGATCGCTTGTACAATCTTGCACACACAAACAACTGGCAACCACGGCGATTCAAATCGATTCAGCGCGGTCTAGACGCTGATAGACGCTGTTCGTGAGCAGTTGCAGTTGCTGCATTCAAAAATACTACAAGATACTACAAGTAAGGAGTTCTTTTCTTTGACAGCGACACCATGGCACGACATGGACAGCTCATGACAGTATGCTTCTGTTTCTCAACCCAGGTATGCCCAGGTATAGACCCGAACATTGTCGAACATTAAAATCTACATATATGTAAATATATCTAAATATATCTAAATATATCTATATTATTCTACATTGGACCATTTTGGATCAGAACTCCCTGCCGCCGCCGCATCCGCCACTCATGTACCAGGCGAAGCCAATTGCCATGTTGGCCGCCTCAGCAGATGAACACCAACTGGGGCATGTATTGAGCAAGAATAACAATGAACTGATTGTGGAAGGACAGGGGAGGCAAAGGTAGCATATGGTAGCATATATGGTAGCATGATGCAGCACTGTTCCCTGACAGAAGCATCTTGAAGCCATGTGGTTGGAAAAAGGTAGGGGGAACTGAGGATGCAATTCCATGCAGGCCAAATTTGTCTCGAAGACAATCGATGACTTTCAGCTCATTTGAGACCTGGATCTAATTTGATGTTGCCGCGCTGTCAGTTTGGGCCCGAAATCGAGATTGAAAACTTTTGAGAATTGGCAGACCCGACCGATTTCGATCTGTCGCCTGCCATGTCTTTGCTGATGCATGACTTACACAATGTGCTTGGCCGCCATTTGCAGGTCTACCGAGTTGATGAGTCAGGCTTGGATTCGTTTGAAAAGACAATTCTCCTGGTGGTCTCTTTCTTCAGCATCCTGCAGACTTTGACGTCAGCATGCGACAAATTTCATTGGTCAGAGTTTCCAACCTTTGTCACGTTTGTCAAGCACGGCTCAACCATGATGGCGCAGTATGCTGGTGCTCTTTCCCTCCGTGACTGGACATGGCTCCATCACCTGGGTTTGGAATCTAGCCAAAGTGAAGTGGACAAGGAAAATGCTCAGTTGAAAAGCGAGATGCAACGTGGCTTTGCAGCCAGCCATCTCAGGCATACTGTTTGGAGATTGAGAAGCTGTACCAAGGAGCTTTGCTTGCTGTGGAGCATCTCAAGTACGTGCTGGATATCTACATGCCTTTCATCCATATTATGGATGCATTAGCAAGTGTGGTCCCCAATGTCAGATCACACCAGCTGCTTCAAGGGCCAGTTGCGGAACAGACGCCAGAGCCGCAAGAGTAGCAAAACAATCCGCGACGATTGCAAATTTTAGAAAAATGTGGGCTGCCAGGGCCAGGCCAGCACTGCCAGCCTGCACTGCCAGCTGCCTGATACGACGGTATAAGCAGTATATGATCATATACGATCCCACATTTCTTGGAAGCGCACTCATATGGTTGTGGATCGAAAGGTTCAAAAGGTCCTTGAAGGGATTGAAGACGACGATGGATGACGCTGGCAATGTTCAGGGCTGGTGGTTTTCTGAACATAATTTCTGAAAGCTTTGGTCTATTTGACGAAGATCAGAATGTAGATGGATGTAGCACAAAGGAGTGTTGATTTCACATCGTTCCACGCGGCAGGCGCTTGGGAACATCGCTGGCGACTCACCCAACTTCCGAGACCTTGTCCTGCAGAGTGGAGGCAGAACTCCATTGGTTTTTGGAGGGAAGATTCTATGGTTTTTTTTGAATGAATCTTAATCAATCCTCCATTTTTCCCCACCTGCCAGGTGAGGGTTGTTAGATTTTATCACAGTTGTTCTGCTCCTCCTCCTCCTCCTCGGCTAGCTATCCTCTTCCTCTTCTTCCTCCTCCTCGTCCTCCTCCTCCTCCTTCTCCTCCGCCTGTTTCTCCTCGACCATGTCTGCATCAACTTCCACCTCAACTTCCGCCTTGCCAACTCTTCGCCAAGCTATTTTTGGCCAGAAATTCGAAGCAAGCTTTTTGTAGCGACCGTTTTTGGAGAAACATGTGAAACAGCATCGGCAATGTGTAGATGACAGTTTCCAACGCAGAGTTTAATATCATCGCATCTCAAACCCATATAATATATCATTCCCAGCGCCAAATTGCATTATAATCTGTTATGATAGGGGGTGGCAGAGGTATGTTTCAGCGCTCCTTTGTCGCCAGCAGGGCATAATTTTGCTCGCTGGCAGTATGATAACACATGATAACGCACAAAGTTGTGGTCCGATCTAAGCATACCATAGCATACCTAACCGCAGCAGGGCAGGATTCGGCAGGATCATGCAGGATCGATTGCTCGCTGCGGGGCTCACGGGTTTCCGTTCCCATTTTTTGCATAGTTTTGCTCAAATATATTCAAATATCATCATTTGAGTTCTTTCGGTGCTGACTACATGTTTGATAGCCATCCAAAAGTGTTCGATTGTGTTTGCAAAATTGTGCCTACAAAAAATCACAACCCATCAGGGTGAATACGAACCCCCATGTATGTTTTTTTTGCCTTTGCTGGTTCCCAGGAGTTGCACGATATCAAGATCCAGCAAGTTCGCGAAGCCGAGGCGCAGGCCACGAACAACACTTGAGTTTGAGCAGGGATCCCTTGTTTTGAGTTAGGTTTTTCATCCCCGTTCGATTTGCACTACAAACATCATAAGCTTAGGGCTCTTACGTTTGCCATTGGTAAGCATATTTTGTAAAAAAATGGGGTCAAGACCGATCTTTGTGTAGTGGGCACCCCTTCTTTGTAGAGAACGGAGAGTGCACGAGAACAAAAGCAACTCCTTGTAGAGAATTAGAATGAATTAGATTTGTTTGTTTTTGAGCATGGTGGCAACTAAAGGACATGTTTGTAGAGAACCTGGACAAATCAACTATGGTCAGGCACCCCCCATTTATATCTACAAACATGGGTAGTTGACGGACCCCCCTAAATTCCAACAGGGATGGTTTTTCTGTTTATCCCCAATTTACAGCTGCATCCTGCTGCATCCAAGGAGGTCCGAGATCCAGCAAGACCCCGATAGCTGATGTGCACAATGCGTGGAAAATCGAAAGGGGGGGAGGGTGCAGCTTGAAATATTTCAGTTGCACGGGGTCCCCCCCCTTAGGGGTGGGTATGGGATTATTATGGGATGATTATGGGAGTATTATGGGATGATTATGGGATGATTATGGTATTAATATGGGATGGTTATATGGGATTATATGGGATGATTATGGGATTATTATGGGATGATTATGGGATTATGATGGGATCACTATGGGATTATTATGGGATTATTATGGGATGATTATGGGAGTATTATGGGATGATTATGGTATTAATATGGGATGGTTATATGGGATTATATGGGATGATTATGGGATTATTATGGGATGATTATGGGATTATGATGGGATCACTATGGGATTATTATGGGATTATTATGGGATTATTATGGGATGATTATGGGAGTATTATGGGATGATTATGGTATTAATATGGGATGGTTATATGGGATTATATGAGATGATTATGGGATGATTATGGGATTATGATGGGATCACTATGGGATTATTATGGGATTATTATGGGATGATTATGGGAGTATTATGGGATGATTATGGTATTAATATGGGATGGTTATATGGGATTATATGGGATGATTATGGGATTATTATGGGATGATTATGGGATTATGATGGGATCACTATGGGATTATTATGGGATTATTATGGGATGATTATGGGAGTATTATGGGATTATTATGGGATGATTATGGGAGTATTATGGGATGATTATGGGATGATTATGGTATTAATATGGGATGGTTATATGGGATTATATGGGATGATTATGGGATTATTATGGGATGATTATGGGATTATGATGGGATCACTATGGGATTATTATGGGATTATTATGGGATGATTATGGGAGTATTATGGGATGATTATGGTATTAATATGGGATGGTTATATGGGATTATATGGGATGATTATGGGATTATTATGGGATGATTATGGGATTATGATGGGATCACTATGGGATGATTATGGGATTATTATGGGATGATTATGGGAGTATTATGGGATGATTATGGGATGATTATGGGATTATTATGGGAGTATTATGGGATGATTATGGTATTAATATGGGATGGTTATATGGGATTATATGGGATGATTATGGGATTATTATGGGATGATTATGGGATTATGATGGGATCACTATGGGATTATTATGGGATGATTATGGGATTATTATGGGATGATTATGGGATGATTATGGGATTATTGTGGGATTAATATGGGATTATTATGGGATTATATGGTTATACCCTCTGGAAAACATACAAAAAACTATTGAAAATTGCCATAGGCATAGTTAGTTGATTTATCCATGAAACATGATGATTTTCCATGGTTATTTTTGTTTACCAGAGGGTATAGGGAAAATTATCCCCAGCCACGGCCGCAACAATTCAGCGCCTTGTGAAATATGAGAAAATTTACCCCGATATATCCGATATGTAAATACATATATACATATATTCTAGCTGATGAATGGATGGTGATTACATGTGATTACTCTAAATATGGTAATATGTTTTGGGGGTTTGTATAGTATAACATATATCATTAATGGTGAATAGTAGGTGACTAAGATATATCGTTGGGTACCAAGCTGAATTGATAGAAACAACTTCAAACAAGTTGGTTGTAATCATTGGAATGACTGTAATTGGTTGATCGATGAAAATGATACTAAAGAAAAAGAGAAACGCCTTCAAACATCACCTCAGTAGATGACCAAGCTGAATTGATAGAAACATATCATGAAAAAATATATCACCGCAATTGATGTCTAGACTAGACCGTCATATCATCCTATATCTATTATTTTTTTTTAAAATGGATCAGAACCTATTAAATTACCCGTATTTAGATGCCTAACCAACTAGTTGGTATCACCATATAGTTGGTGCCTTTTTTATACGGTGAGATGTTTTTCATCACCATTGTGGAGATGCACAGTTTTCTGCCAAACAATGGCCGCCAACAGCAGGAAAAGATGAGCTGCGTGACGCAGGCGGAAGACGGTTCCCGTTGGCCTCCAGGATGAAATGCTTTGATGCTTAAAAATGGAGGTTTCGTTTTAAAAAAAAAACCATAAATGGTGGTACTCGTACCCCCAAATGGATGGTTTATTTCATAGAATTTTTTTATCTGTAAATGGATGATGAACAGGGGGTACCCCTATTTTTTAGGAAAACTCCATATGCCTCCAAACCATTGGTTTTCCCATTGATTAGAAACATTTTTGCATGATTTTGATCCCCTATAGGAAACCGTCTGCCAAGTTTGAGTGAGAAATCTCCCAAGCGATGGCAGGTCGTCATGTTGTTTTATGGCACAGATTTGTCTGGGGAAACAGTTGATTCTGTGGATATTTCATGGTGAGCCAATGACAGATGAAAATAGTGGATATAAATCAATACAAATGATATAATTGATATAACAAATGTTTGGGATCTTGAACGTTAATACTGAGGAAACCATCTGCACACATCCGAATAACTGACTAGCATTGACTAGCCAAGAACATAATTGTTTGCATTGCTTGCAGGATATCCAAGATTGGCTATGAATAAATGTATGCATTTATGATCTAGTTGAATTAAGACAACCTCACAGCGATGCGTATTGGTTCGTTTGGCAATAGGGAACCAGACAAATTGAATGGTTTATTCTCATATTCTCCAGACAAACCCTGTTGTAATCCCTCTGATAATCAAACATGGCAATGGAATCGATCGTTTTCCCAGGGTTTCCCCATGGGTTTTCCACATCTATGTAAACGTTTAAAGCCAGGGTAAATGATATTTTGGGGCTATACCCTCTGGTAAACTAATATAGCAATTGTAAATCACTATTTTAGGAGGCACATCATTAATATAAATCACCTATAAATGGGTCATGTTGCACAGCTATGTTAGGTAAAAGTTGCAGTTTTTGTCCATATCTTTCCACATGTTCCATGGTTTTTCGATGTTTTCCCAGGGGTGGTATGTTGGGAACTGTTCCCTTCGAAGCAGACCTTTCTAGGTCCTGGCCAATTTGCTGCACCGCCGGCCGAATGCCTGCCGCATCTTGGGTTTCTTGGCCAACGGAAACTGCGGATGAAGACCCATGATTTTTGTCGGCGAAAAAAAAACAACTGCTTTAAGGGGATGTAGCCAGAAAACAACGGTTAATATGTTTTTTTGGGGGTAGATTTCAGCCACTTAAAGAGGGGATGTAAGCCACTGAGATGATTTGATGAGTTTTTGTTGGGGGATTTTCGCCACCAAAGGGATGTAATCCAACACAAGTGGCATGAATTGTCTATGACCAGTTGGTGGTTTGGAACATGACTTTTATTTTTCCATATATTGGGAACAATAATCCCATTTGACTAATATTTTTCAGAGGGTTGAAACCACCAACCAGATGATTCAAATGAAGGACTCTGAAGGACAGATAAATTCTTTGTGATCTATTCGATTGTCCATTTTTGGAACAAAGGGATGCGATTTTTACTCTTTGGATATGTTTATGATGCAGCCAGCAATGGGGGAAGATATTAGCCACCATAAGGCCCAAATCCGGGATGGTGTTCGGTATTTTCACTGCTGTGTGATGTCACTGATCGACTAGCCACTCATGGGGGATAATGCCAAGGACCAACAATGAAGAGAAATTCCTACTATTCAACATGGGCTTGTCCAGTGGGTAATCATACCCCAACATAATGTTAGTGGAGAATGGAGATAGACCATATTTTATTTCGGGGTTCATTTTTTTCAGACACCACATGTCCTGTTGAGGTATGAGGTCAACCTTTATTTATTCGTATTAACACCTTCATCCACTACTGGTCAGGGACCGACAGGGTGGTGTCCACACAGGTGCCAGCGGTAGCACATTTGCCTTCCATCAACCAACCACTAAAAAGACCCCAATTGACCCTTGTTTATCGTGCTCACACATTTATTTGGTCAAAACATGTCAAAACTTCAATGGGAATTTCCGGATCCTAAAATGGAGGCACCTACCTAAAATGGCCAGAAATATGGTACTAACGTACCTCCGTTTTAGGATCCTGGAGATCTCCCATTGAAGTTTTGACAAAACAAAGGTCAATTGGCTTCGAGCTCCAGAGGTCTACAGTCTATGTTGGAATTTGCTCAGTGTGATGCTGTTTGGTCATTGGCTAATCCACCATTCTGCAACAATATTCTGTTTTTACAGTCACCGCAAAGGCAAATCCACGTACCTGCTAGGAGCTGGGCAACTGCTGAAACTCAACCCCTTAGGAAGCTACAGATGTTGGATTTTTATCGGGAACTTCCAGAATGGGTGGTACTCTAAAGCCATGGTGCTTTCATCTTATTTCAATACGAAACCAGGATGACATTTGGGATGATTCAAAATTCAAACGGCGTTTTTTGTATTCTGGGCCCCCCATTTTGACCCCCTGGTGAACTTTGGGCCATTGAACTCGGATGAATTTTGAGGTACCCAGGATTTTTGATGGTTTTTTGATATATGGGGGTCCCAGAATAGCCTAATTTTGAGGGACCCCCATTTCTAAACGGTACCCAGACTACACCAGCCCATCGCATCCCCATCGCGGCCCATCGCGTTTTCGCGAGGTGAGCGAAAGGGGAAGAACGGCGAGCACGGGCTGAAGCACTTGCTGCAAGAGATCCACGACTGGCACGGAGCCACAGAATGACAGTGGCTGCCAGACCTGCAGAGTGGGTCAAGTTGGGTGAAGCTGGGTGTATTGATAATGATTAACATGGATCAACATTTATTAATGTGGGTTATTCTTAACATGGATCAACATGGATTAATATGGGTTATTATCTGGTTGGTGGTTTCAAACATGGCTTTTATTTTCCATCATATATGGGATGTCATCCTTCCCATTGACGAACTCATATTTTTCAAGATCGTTAAAACCACCAACCAGTTATGGATCAATATGGATTAATATGGATATTAATGATGGATTAATTAATGATAGTTGATTTGGTGATATGGCTTAGGTTCGGTGAGAAAAGCTGGGTGAAGCTGGGCGAAAGGTTGTAATAGAGCAGGATCATATGAGTCATATCCAGATGTCTGGTTGCTATCCCCGTGTTACCCGTTACCCATGTTCATTGCCTGGAGAAGGCATTTGTGTTGTTAGAACGCCCGAGAAGCAAGGGTGTCTATACTTGAACCCATACCCCAAATCCCTCAATGTATACACATACGTATATATATATATATACATAATATTATATATATATATATATATATATATTGTAGTTGTTTTTTGTTTATCATGGGGACGGGACATGATGGATTTCACACTTGTGGGCCTCTTGTCAAGATGATCTTGCAGTTTTATCAGTCAAGCGTCCCAGTTTTTGGGGATACCCCCATGATGGTTGGAAACGCACTTCCGTAATTGAATCAGATTTGCTTGTCGGTTAATGAAAAACCATTGATATCCACTGACATATAAAGTCTTTTTCGGGATGTTCATTGCTGTATTTCCACAAGTTCCATTCAGTTTCCATATACTTCCCATCAAATTCCCAGAAAGTTCACGACATTTCCACCATTCCACAAAAATCCCATTCACTTTCCATGACATTTCCAAAATATAACAAAAAAATTCATCGAATTTCCATAAATCCACTGTGGTGAAATCATCTCCAAGTGCCCCCAGCAAAATTTACCGCGATGCCCAGGTGTGTGGCTGGCATCGACTTTACCAAATCACCAGAGGCCGCGATGGATTTTGGAGTCGGGAAACGGGTGTTAATATCGCCCCAACCATGGCGATTTCTCATGGGGAAAGTGATGCTGAACTATGGGATTTTGGTGTTCTTTGCCTAATTGTTCAGAGAAAACATAAAATTCAATGGCTTGACGCCTTTGATTCTGACGAGCTTTACATTTTGGATGGTATGTACACCATATATGATGAACATCTATGTCTATGTCCATATGTAGTGAACATATATCCATATATCATATACATATATTAGTACTAAATATATGTATATATATATAAATACATATTAGTATATATGAACACCTGGTTACATCTATATTCCCATGGATATCTATCTATTTACCCATATATATATACACCATATATATATATACACCATATATATATAATAAACAAAAGATATAAATATCCACAAATTGTACATGTATATACTGTATATATCCATTTAATATCCATAGCAATTGGAGTCATGAACCAATTTACTGTAGCTCTCCACCTTGATTTGTTGATATTCTATTGTTTATAGTAGATATTCCCATGGTTATCAATGTAATTATACAGCATGTGTTCATTATGAATATAGATGTTCACCAAAATATTGTGTAATGTATATATGATAATAAAGCGTTATATCCCATGATTTTGGGCACTACATTGACATATATAACACTGTATTGTGTTAATATGCCAGTGACAAGGTAATATTCATATTGACATTACTGTATATCCCAGTGACATTTAAGTTTAATGTAATATTGACAACAATAAAATGGTGTGTATATGATAATACAGGGCTATTTATGTAAGACTCATAATGATAACAGTATATAACACTGTACTTTTTCTTTTACAAAAACTGTTATCATTCACAATGCACACATAGTTTTAGACGTACCCTCTGGTAAACTAACATAGCTATTGAAAATGGCCATTTATAGTGAGTTTTCCCATTAAATATGGTGATTTTCCATAGCTATGTTAAATTACCAGAGGGTAATATTCATGATCGGAGTATGATAACAATAGTCATTGTCATTTCTACGTACTGATCATAAAATTGTGTATATATGTGGTATTCACGATTTACATATACACCATTATACATGAACAATATAATATATATACCAGTTTATGTGATCCAGTATACATCAGTATGATTAATATACATGTAATATTGTTAATATTCATCATGGTTTAAGGGTATCTAATATCGGGTGAAAAATGGGGATTGACCCAATCCACTTGCTTAGGAAATATGATTTATAACATTTTTCTATATATACTATATATACTATATATATACTATATACTATATATATATTATATTAAATATATATATATATATTATATTATATATATATTATATATATTACCCTCCGGTAAATAAACATAGACCCTGAAAATCACCAATTTTTAATGGAAACTAGTCTTCCAACCCCTATCTGCCAGGGTCTATGTTAATTTACCAGAGGGTATATATATAATATATAATATACACCATGTGTGCAATGTGAATCCCAGGCTTTTTGGACCTGGAAGCAGCGCCAGGAACGTGGCCATCGCCTGATCCACTGCACCGGCCGCGCGCCGGCGCCACCAGGAGCGTCGCCACCCGGGACGCGCGGCTGGCCCCGGGCACGATGGGTTTTCCCATGGGAACTCGCCGTGAAAGTGGGCATGAACCTAGGAAACATGACTAAAATCAGTGGGATATAGTACATATATATATATATATACATGGTATAATGGTATATATATATATATATATGGGATATAGTACTAGTATGTACTAGTTTTTGGATCTTAATGGGATATTTTGATATACTTGTTAAGATGTCATAAATGAGATGCCCGGTACTCAAACATGCCTCCCTTGGCTCGCTACACATTTTCCAGCGAGCCAGGTTTGATTACCTTGCAGAGTTGTCACTGGGAATCCACGTTATACACCCAATGGCAATTGAAGATCTACATTAATAGCATGTTAATGGGAAAACCATAGGAAAATGGAGGTTTACCCTCTGGTTATGTCAAAATAGCTATTGAAAATGGCCAGTTATAGTGGATTTTCCCATTAAAAATGGTGGATCTTTCCATAGTTATGTAAACGTTTACCAGAGGGTAAAGATCAAAGATGCGTAGCTTTGGTGTCTTCTGTGGCCGTATCTGAATCTGCAGCAACCGGCTCCACCAACTGGAGGTACTTCAGCGAGGTGCAGAGAGGATGATGCAATGCCTGGCTGCCTCATGGCTGTTCCATCCAAAGGCCACAGCAGCTGAAACATCCACCCAGATCACATCTAAGTGACGATGATTTGCCGCATGCAACGATGAACTTTGCCCGAAGTGCATCGGCGATCGACTTTCGTCCGGGACAGCAAGTGTCGCGCTTGGAAGTCCCTTGAGAAGCGGGAGTGCAACCACTAGCGACCCTCCTGCATCCAATGCTGCTGATGGTCCTCCTGGCGCTCATCCTGAACAGTTGAGCGGGGTTGAGTGTGAGATTGCCATGAAAAGGCGGCCAGATGCGAATGATGAGCCGACGAATTGATGAATATGGCTTGCATTGCGATCAGAGAAGCCGTTGGTTTCATTATATAAGATTCCGCTAGCCTGATGCGGAAATTGTTGGTGGAAGCACATCGGCATTTGCGAAGTTTGCATGTTGCATGTGCTGGTTGTTTGTGTCCTGAAAGCCACTACAGTAGGTCAGTTAAATCACTTAGATAATCAGATAGATCATGAAAAGCCCGCCGCAAATCCACAGTATTTTCCCGGTTTCCCTCCAGATCTGACAGTGACAGGAGTGGGTGACGCCTTGCTTCCCGCGCCCGCGTGGTTTACCCCTGCCGTTGCCGGGGGACCCGTTGGCAAGTTGAATTGCAACCCCACATCCGGGTGTATGAATGGTATAGAACAGTAAAGTATAATATAGTCTAGTATGGTGTGGTATGGTGTAGTATAATGCCAACACCGGATTAATAACCCCCCCCCCAGAAGGTCAGGGTAGACCTTGCAAGGTCTTTTTCGGTTCCCCCCTAAATAAACGGACCCTGAACCATAAAATTTTGGATATGGTTTACGTCAATTGGCTGAAAGCTATGGGGGACATTGGGAATGAATAGGCAAATCCAAAGAAAAAACATTAGGAACATGGTGGTTGATTAATCGGGGGCAAACCCTGATTATTATTAATGGGGGACATGGGCTCATGGGGGGTACCCTTTGGGAGCTTCCCAAACTGATGATTTTTATAAAGAATTTGATTCGACACCGATCATTTGGGGAATAGTTGTTTTTTCAAATTTTCAATGATCAACGGTGATGGGTTCTGGTGTTCATGCGGTTTCAATTTAAATATAAATCATAAGGTCACCATAAGGAAACCATTTGAAACTTTGGGATAAACAAATGGATTTCAGCACTGGTGGTTTTTTAATCGGGGGTGTTTATTAATCTGGGGGGACCACATGTTTTTAAATTACCATTTTGTTTGGGCAGTTGTGGTTGACTAATCGGGAGGGGTTTATTAATCCTCACTTGACATTAGTATAGATTGAATTCATCATGTAGATGGGTAGCACTACACGTATGTTACAAACATAAATCTATCTATCCATCTCCTATCCTATCCTATCCTATCCTACCCTACCCTATCCTAGCCTAGCCTATCCTATCCTATCCTATCTACCTATCTATGCTTTTGCTTAATTACATTTCGTTATATATCTACAAATTTTGTTTTACTTATATGATTTGTGTTGATATATTTACATATTGTGTAACTTGTATTTATCTAGAATCAATATATATATATTTATACTTGGGATCTTGCTGAGTGAACTGGGTATTTTGATCTACCAGCAAGTAGCATGACATGACAGGGGTTTTAGACCACTGGTTTCCTATATAGTGTGGTAGATCAAATAATGAGACAATCCCAATGGGTGTCTGCTTGGTGGTTTGGAACATTTTTTATTTTCCATAATATATGGGATGTCATCCTTCCCATTGACGAACTCATATTTTTCAAGATGGTTATTGCACCACCAACTAGATGGGTGTTGATTGTTGGATATACAACTTTTTAGAATGAGTTAAAATGACACCCGAATGGTCGGCTAATGGGATGTGTTTTTTTGGTTTTACCATGGTCATTTATAGTGAGTTTTCCCATTAAAAATGGTGGATCTTTCCATAGTTATGTCAGTTTACCAGAGGGTACATGATATCATCGAATATACAGTGTAGAAATACCTATTGTGTATATAGTATGTTGCAGATATGCGCCAAAAAATGGAGTTGCAAAGTAACTTAGCTGGCCTCGGGGCACCACTTTGATCTAAAAATCCATGTTGGATGTATGGAGGTTTTCGAAAATGGGGGTACCCCCAAATAATAGGATTTTCCAGTATAAACCATCAATTTTTGGGTACCACCATTGATGAACACCCCTGGTATGCTATTGCTTGGCAATTTTAGTTGGGGTATCGCTCTCGATGATTTTTTCACCATTTTTAAATGGCAATCAATTGGGGTAAATCTCCTTTTTTGGGACAAAATCAAATGATATAGTTTTTGGGACAAAACCATGATATATATATATACATTGTCATCCCAATCTCTGAAATCCTTCAACATCTCCAGTTCTTGCCTTAGCTGTCTACCATGTAAAACTAGAATATGCAAAAATCACAACTAAAAACCACTATTTTTGGACAACAAAACTACTAAAAACTGTTTCAATATGGTGATATTCCAGGAAATATCCCAACGAATTCCACAAAACGCAAGTGTTCAAACATTTCCAGGTGGTTCAATCCCAATGTTTCATTGGTAAACCGGCAAGCCCACTATTCTTCATGGCTAAAAATATCAATCTTCATCAACCAACAATTTTTAATGGCGAAAAACTGGGTGGTGGTTTCAACTTTTTTTATTTTCCATAATCGAAGGAAGTTTAGAAGTCAAACTTCCGACAATATGGACAGATGAAAAGCAGAGCAGGGCAGAGGCAGAGAGAAGAGAAAGATTAGAAGAGAGAAGATCAGAGAAGAGAAAGAGTCAGAAGAAAGAAGATGCAGATGCGCGAAAAGGTAGGAAAGTCGCAAAACACTATGTTTTTCCAATGATTTGTGGCTCCAAAAGTAGGCTCGCTAAAGCGGCGGGTGCGGAGCCAGCTGGCCAGATGAGAGATGAAAAATTGCACGCCGTTGTGGCGCGAAGCACATTTAATTTCCAAGTCAAAATGTACAAAACACACCGTTCTCGGACCACTTTTGGAAATTGAGATGTCGACAAAGTGTCTGCCGTAGTGGCGCGAAGCACATTTCGAAGTCAAAATGTACAAAACACACCATTGTCGGACAACTTTTGGAAGTTGAGATGTCGAAAAAGTGCACGCCGTTGTGGCCCGAAGCACATTTCGAAGTCAAAATGTACAAAACACACCATTGTCGGACAACTTTTGGAAGTTGAGATGTCGAAAAAGTGCACGCCGTTGTGGTGCGAAGCACATTTCGAAGTCAAAATGTACAAAACACCACATGTTCGCGCCACTTTTGGAGGCTCAGATGTCGTTTCGCGTGGCAGGCGCAAGGGATTGCGCACCTTGTCGAAAGTGAGCAAAACGTGAGGGTTTTGTAGCATTTCCAAAAATGATGGCAGGCGTGGGACACTTGAAGAGGATCTGCAAAGATGCATTTTCCGTGGCAGGCGCATTACAAAAGACATGGTCATGAGAGATGTTAGGAGGTCAGGGCGCTGATTTCCTGAGAGGGGTTGCATTTTGGAGCATCAGATCTGTAGGTTTGCTAAGATGATTTTGCGTGACAGGTGCAGCACTTCGTATGACCTGGCATCAATTTTTCGTGGCGGCGCAATAATTTAGACAGGTGGGGTCAGGTGGAGTGGAAAAATCGCAAAACGCATTGGTACGAGGCTGTCAGCGCTGCACTCAACTTGTGATTTTTGAAGGAAGTCTCGCAGAATTGCTTTGTTTTTGATGTTGTCAAGTTCAAAAATTGAAGAAGTCTCCCAGAATTGCTTCGTTTTGGAGGTTGTCAAGTTCAAAAACTGCAGACGTCTCCTAGAATTGTTTCGTTTTTGCTGTTGTCAACGTCGAAAAATGAGGAAGTCTCGCAGAAGTGCTTCGTTTTCAAGCTGGCAGATAGACAGGGAGATAGATAGACAGACAGACAGACAGAGAGAGAGAGAGAGAGATAGATAGATAGATAGATAGGTAGATAGATAGACAGATAGACAGATAGATAGGTAGACAGCTAGACAGCTAGACAGATAGACAGATGAAATAGATAGAGAGATAGAAAGATAGATAGAAAGAAAGATAGATAGATAGGTAGACAGATAGTTAGATAGATAGAGAGATAGATAGATATACGGATAGACAGATAGACAGATAGACAGATAGATAGACAGACAGACAGATCAATAGATAGATACAAGGATAGATAGATAGATACATAGACAGACAGATAGATAGACAGACAGACAGATAGATAGATAGATAGATCAGTAGGCAGGTAGGTAGATAGTCAGAGAAAGATAGAGAAACAGAGAGAAAGAGAGAGAAAGAGAGAGATCAAGCACCTTTCAGTCCATCAGTGGCTTCGCTCTGCCATCCCTGGTTCACAACAACCAACCTCTCCTATAGGTTTCCTATTTTTGAAACTTCCGCCACCGCCTTGTGCGGTACTACTGGTATATGGGATAATCCTTCCCATTGACTAATATTTTTCAAGATGGTTAAACCCACCAACCAGAAAATATCGAAAAATCGCAATTTTCATCCAGTTCAGAGGTGATAATTGGTGGCCCAGGTCTGCGCCCAACAACTGCTATGCAAGGTGGGACGAAGATTGCCGAGAAGTATCATGACTATCATGACCAAGAAATCATGGTGTATACTTATGGGTATACTTGTGGTATAATGTACAGTATTTGTAAATAGATGTGTATAGATACATATGACATTATATGACAATCAGTATATGTATATATATATAATTATCATTTATTGAGGTGTGAGAAAATGGTGGGGGTACCTGAACTTCCCCTAGGGTAAACATAGAGAAAGATGTGGAAAGATCCATGGGGAAACCCGATAGGAAAATTGATGCTGGGTCAGGGTGGTAACTTGTGCTGCGGTTGTCTTCTTGTGCCGCAAACGGTGTGCCGTTGGGAAGTCCATGATATACATGTCATTCTTACTGGTTGGCACAAGTTCGTCAGGTTGTGGGGTAAGCTGTGTGCCATGCGGTGGGGTAATATTATAGGTTGTGGCGTAAGTTACCACCCGTACTCGTAGGTTTTCCACTCCTATTGCAGTTTGCGGGAGGGTACAAACCATTCTATGTCATCGAATGGGATGTATATAATGGGAACTGAGAATTGGTATGAGTTCGGATAGCATATATATATATTACAGGATATATATAGCAGGAAAATTATTCACACACGCATCTTTTTTCTAGGATGATTCGGGGGTATGACCCAAATCATGAGTTTTGGTTTCCTCCAGAACTTTAGATTTACCACCCATTTTCACGATCAAATGAAGTGGAACTGATTTTCCCAACCATGAGATTTGATATGGTTACATACTTAGTTATTTCATATATCAACCAGCAATTCATCAACATTCTTAAGGATCAGAATATCTCTCCTCATGACTTCAATGGAAAGTATTGTTCAAATTGACGACTGGAGGATTGCCTGCTTCGACCTCAACTAATGGAAGCGAGCTCTGGCCGATCTTCGCCCTGGAATTCTCGCTCGTGACGGCACATCCGACCGAGCTTGAGTATGGCAACTCCAAGCTGCAATCAATGGAACTCGGGATGGACCTTTCTCAGGGGAGGCCATGGGATGTCCTGAGACACCTGAAGCAACATTTCCATGATTTCAGCCCTAAAGCTGGGGGATCTCAGCTTTATTTGGAGTTCATCAACACTCAGAAGTGGTCCTTTATGTGTGGAGGTAAAGTTGGATCTCATGTGCTCCACTGTGTGTCTTGGTTAATAAAGACACTGTCAGTTTTATGTTTTTTTTTTCAATGCAATTAATTAATGAATTTGTAATTGCACTCCACCATAAACCCTATGTAAACTAGCATGTGTATGACAGCTATTGCGGCTCAGAAAAAGTGTGAGCAGCAGGTGCTTAACGGTTTTACCTTTGTCCTTTAGGTTTATCAGTCTACTTGGGTATAACTAGGTTAACCCCAGCTGAAACCTGAAAATACAGGTTATCAGCCGTAGTCTCTAAAGCCATGGACAAAACGCACGACGCTACAGGTGGAGGTGCTCTCGTGCCCGCTTCAGGATCTCTGGCGACTGCATCAACTGGGTCTCAGCCTGTGACGGCTGGGGCAACTCCCACGCCCATGTCGGTGGATGAAGGTTTCTTCACTCAGCCCGTTCAGGCGTATTTTCAGTTTGTGCAGAACAATCTTACCTACATCAATGAGGGTAACATTGACGCTTTCAGACAAGAGGCAGAGGAGAGACACACACATCTCATGGAACAAAAGGTCCAGCAACTGTACCAAGAGTTTGAGGGAATTTGCCTTAGTGAAATCGCCCAGCAACGTGCAGAAGCTGATCGTAGACATGAACATCTAGTGTCAGAGTATTCAATGTCCCAAACGGCAACTGAGCATGAGGTCACGAAACTGAGACAGGAACTTAGCGACGCAAATGCAAAGTTGAAGAATGCTGCAAATGCAGTTGCACTGGAAGCTGAGCAGAGAGCAAACCAAAAGGTAGCCCATGTTACAGCCCAGTATGAACAAAGGTTTTCTGAACTCAGAGGTAGCCTCGAGGCAGACTGTAAACGAATCGTAGACGAAACAGTGGAGCATGCAAAGAATGGCATGGAAGGCTTTAAGAAGGAGGAACAAGCTGTAATCCAAGAAATCAGAGAGGAATGCAGTAGGCAGGAAAACCAAGCTGCTGAACTCAACTTTCAACTACAGGGACAAGTAGAGGATTTGATGGAGAAGCTCAACAAGTATAGCGCCCCCGAAATCAAGATTGACAGAGCCGTTGAAGTCGATGAAGGACAAGGCGGGAACAATGTTGATTTGTACTTGACCCCAAAATCAGCGGTCGGTACGAAGGCTGGAGCAGAACCCATGCCAAACACTGGTATGGGCAGCTTAGCTATGGACGCAAAAGAAAGGTTGAGCAACTTATTCTCAACAACCCCTGCCGGATCAGCAGCACCTCCAACATTGCCACCATTGCCCGTCCAAAGACAAAACGATGATGATGCAAACCAAGAACCAAGTGTGCCCAGTCCCACAGCATTAGCAAGTGACACTGGCAAGAAAGCTGCTGATGCAGGCTTAGGTCTTTCAGGTCAGCAATTGTTAGATCTCATCGCTAGACTGACTTCAAAGGATTCAGATGGTGAAAAGCCCCGAACAAAAGAGGCTGAGACTATCAAGCTGAACGACATGCCTGCCCCAGAAGCGTATCGTCACTGGCGCAACCACGTCAGGGATGAAGTCAAGTCATGCTCCGACAAACCCGACGAGGCTTGGCTTTGGCTCAATGAAGTCTTCGACAACAAAACTCCTAGGGAAAAGTTGGAGGAAAAGCTACAGGAACCTGGGAAATTCATCACACTTGATACCAAGTTGTCGGCAGCGTTAACTCGCTCGGCCAAAGGTGATTTAGCAACAAAGATCCACAACTTCAAAGATGAGAAATCAAAGAAAGGAATCCAAGTCAGAGGTAGGAGAGTCCTTTTGATGTTTGAAGACTACTTCAGGACGTCTGAGGAAGCCGGAAGCCTCTACCGTGCGGAGGACTTACTTGGAGTCGTTCGCACTGGAGAATCTGTGGAGGACCTTAGAAGGTTTTTGAACCGATGGGATGCCACAATTGCCGGTATGGAAACCCCGCCAGATGACTTGGTTCTTAGAGACATTTTACTTCGACAAATTCGAAAATGCCATGTGATGAAATATGACATTGAGGCATTTGACAGGGCTCCTGAAAAGTCCGAACAGAAGTCTTATGAATATCTGTTGAGAAACATTCGTGATCTGTTGGATAGAGAAAGACTCCGTTCAAACAGAAGCAGAATCGTTGAAAAGAACAAGCAGACTGAAAAGCCTCAGCCCGCTGCACCCGCCCAGGGGGGCAAAGATCGCGGCAAAGGAAAGGGCGATCGAGGTCGATCCCGTGGTCGAAGCCAGAGTGGAAAAGGGGATAGAATATGCTACAAGTTCAGGGATGGCAAGTGCGAAAAGGGTAAAGACTGTCCCTACAAGCATGTCAAGGATTCCTCAAGATCTGGTACCCCCAAAAAGAAGGGTAAGGGCAAAGGCGGTAGCAGAAGTGGTTCCCCTAACAGAAAGTCAAGGGAAGAGATGGCCAAAATCCCATGCACTTACTTCCAACAGGGCAAATGTCGTCGTGGTGACAAATGTTTTTACAAACATGAAGTTGCAGCTGCACCCACAAAGGATCCAAAACGTACCAATAGCCCTGCACCAAAGAAGAAGGCCAGTGCAAAAGCTGCGCCATGCATCACTCAAAGGTATGCATGCATAGCAAAGGGAAAAGGGTTGCCAAAGGCTACAAAAGCCATGAAAGAACAGTGCCATAGAGCTGTTGTATTTTCATCAAAAGTGGAATACATCAAAGTCCCAGCAACAGGTGAGCAAAGAAAGGTAGTGCACAAACCCCGAATCTATGAGAAGACGTTCCCCGATTCAGTGTCAGTGCCAAAGACAGACAAACTCACTGCCCACCGTGCTCAGGTTTCGGCCAGGCAGTTGCAGGAACTTGTGAAGCTCTTCAGCAGTGATGCGCAGCCCAAGTGCCGATTTCGTTGCAACGACCCAGAAGGAGGAGTCTCATGTAACCACTGCAGAGCGCTGATCGGTCCAAAGAACAAAATCAGTAACACTCATTTGCCAACTGTTGCCACTCCTGCTTCAAAAGATGGATGTGTTTGGTTGGTTGACACTGGTAGTGAACAGGACTTGATCAGTGAAGGCATGCTGAAAACTGCAAAGGCGACAAATCGTCGTGTCAGTGATACCCCAATCAGTCTTGCAACAGCCAACGGTTCAACACGTGCGGATGAGGTGGCCGACGTAAAAGTCGATGCCCTACACCAGCCGTTCTCACCATACATTCTTGAAGAAACTCCTGCTGTTCTTTCGGTTGGGGTCAGATGTATGGAACAGGGATACAGCTTCGTTTGGCCGGCTGATGGTAGGCCTTACTTCATTCGTCCGGATATGGGAGTCATCGAGCTGAATGTAGACGGCCGTGTGCCGGTTATTGACAGCTCTTGTCGTGTTTTGAACAGTGGACAGTTCAAGAAAGATTGTGATTTGTTGCGTCTCTTTGCAACGGTTGCTGCAAAAGCAGAAGGTGCCGAGGAAGAAGGTGTGGATGAGGGAGTAGCTCATGATAGTGAAACCGACTACATCAGATCTAGAAAGGCATCCGACCTTGAGCAAGAAGCATGTAGCAAGTCTCACCAATTTTGTCATTACCCCAAGAATCCATTTTGCAAGATCTGCCAGAAGGCGCGTATGATGGCGCCGCCTGCAAAGAAGAAGGGAGGGCAGAAAAGATTGGAAACCAAAAGTTTTGGGGATCACATTGTCGCTGACCACACTGTCATCAAGTCCAATGTGGAAGAAGGCGTCAAAGGTGAAACAGTGGCATTGGTGATGAAGGACATCCACACACAGTTCAGGCATGTTTATCCAAGTCAGACCAAATCAAGTGAATCATGTGTCAACGCTTTTAACCACTTCTTATCTCACAAGGATGAAGTTGGGGCAGTTTACCGTGACAATTCAAGAGAACTCATTGCT